ACCTCCCTACGGAAAGGATTCGTGGAAAGAATACCAGATAGAAGGGCAACTGCTCTTATACCTAATTTTACCAGGATTGTGAAATGGAGATCAATAATACATACGGATGAACGGAAAGGTCATAACTCTCTGTCCTCTCCTGAATATATTCATCATAGAGTGAACCATTCCAGTGATTTCGTCAATCCTGTTACGAGGACATACACAAATTCTATTAAAAGATTTTGGGGGAGATTGAAAAATGGGATTAGGGCTATAAATGGATCTCAAAAGGATCTCATTTATAGTCATGAATATACGTACAGAATGGGCTGTGACTTTTCTATTGACAGTCCTATGCTTAACTGGGAGATGTTCCTCTCATACGTCAGAGAAAGATACCCTCTGTAACAGTTTTGTGCTTTTTTTATTAGATATACGTTTTCCTTTATCTAAAATCCCTTTTTCATATGATTGGTCCATTGGAGGTCGTTTGCTGATTGGTTGTTAGTGGTGCCGAAAGTTTAACTTTGCCTGCCAGCAATATCAAACAACAATTTTTATATAAATTTACCCAACAAGAGCCAAATAAACACTAAGACCACGTCAGCTGCACTTGCCTTAACTCAAATCAACTTAACCACGCAACTGCCCTCAAGGTGAAGCAGGTGGCGCCATTTCAAATAGGGGGATATGTCATATAATCACTCCGTGGATTGAGTGGCATGTAAAGAACCTTCCCGTGGAGCAGAACACAGCCACCTAGTGCTCAGTATTGTAACAAAGATACGGGACCTGAGCTATAACCAAATCACTATATCTGGGGACTCCCGTGCTCCATCTTTTAGACTTGGGTCTGGGTCTGTTAGAGGGAAATTTGGCCATATACCACTAGAAGTGTACGACGGACTGGGAACTCTGGAGGAAACACTAGTGTAACGTCATCAAGACTCTATTATGTGCTGACTAGTGCCCAGTTACTTAAAACATTTAAATCGTGATCCTTCTAGGTAGTAGTCACCATGTGGTCACATTGTTTGACCTGGCTCCTTTGGAGCGCATACTGTGGGACACTACGCGAACGTCCGTGCTGTAGAATTGCTGACTTTGTCGAAATGTGAATACTCTTAACCGACGCAGAACAGCCCACAGACTGGACTGAGTTTTCTGTGGAGGAACATTGATAGCGGTTAAAGGGATTATTCAAAAATCAATCTCTGATGCCGTCCTTCTAGTTACAACACAGCCGAAGACAAGATTCTCATGGCTAAAGAGAGGTACGCAACATATTCTGAAATTGAAGCAGAAGGCTTAGCATACATGGCGAATCTACAAGACTCAGACCGACCACAATGCATACCTGGAACTCAGGAACCATTGCAATGCAAGATTTAACAGTAACCGGAGGTCATTTCAAGCAAACCTTCCTAAAAAATCCAGGCAAATCCAAAAGCCTGTACCGATACATGTTGGAGAGAAAACATATCAATCAGGGGCATACACCTTAGTAGGTCCAAGTGGTCAATATCTCACTAGTTTGTAAATGGCTTAAATATTCAGTTGAGCCCTTGACAAATAGTTACCCGTATATACCAAAGAAGTGGCACTGCTATTTTACAGCAGGAAAACCTAGTGGATACTTCCCAAATAAACCCGGCAATAGTACTAGGGAAGTTGCAGAGACTCACGTATAGAAAGCCACCAGGTTGTGATGACATCGGACCATCTGTTCTGAAATAGCGTGCTGTGAGTCCTTATGCGACCTGTTCCAACACACGGTCGTTTCAAGGAAAAAATCAACAGAGTAGAAAAGAGCCATCCTTTCCCGGATTTTCAAGGGCGTGTATAGGCAAAATACCACCGGTTATATACCAGCAGCACCACCCCCAGTGGTTTCAAAAGTACTGTGAAGTCTAATTGGTGGTCACATCAGGGAACACTCTGACAGGACTGAAAGACTACGTTAAGCACAACATGTATTCAGAAGGGGTAGATCCTGTGTGGAGAACCAACTATCAGCTTGGAATCATGGGACGTCACTCTGAGATATGAATGTTCCAGCCCATGTGATCTTCCTAGACTTTGAGAAGGCATTTGACACAGTTCACTATAACAATTTCCTACACAAAACAAGTCGGGCACATACAGGAGGGCTGTCTCCGTCATGGTTGGAGGAAACGCAATTCTGTACTGAAGTGAATCTTGTCAGATCACCCTGGCACAGATCGTCTTCAGGAGTATCACAGGCCTCTATCCTACTGTCATTGATGATTTCGATTTCGTCATTGTTCTGCTATGCTCTCTAAACTGCCTTGTTCTTCTTTAAGCTGACGACATAAAGACATAGTGCTCAGAAGAATATGGCTGCAGGAAGAGCCGAAAAATTTCGGAAGACTGGGTGATGGTCAGTGGTATGTCTTTTCACCTGAAATAGTGCAAAGTTGTGCAACCAAGCCTCTTTGGGTTCCAGAATGTAAGTTACTTCTTGTCTAGTATAAAAGAGTGATTTAGGTTCACGTCTATTGGAAGAGACCGGCGAAAGCGTGTATTCCACTGCTGATTTGATGACATCATATGCAGTTAAAAATTTTTGCATTGACAGCCTGTATAAAACAAACACACGACAACACTTTGAACGACACTGGGCACGATATTAATGCCTCTCCTCTGCTAGAGAGAGACGCCAATCTTTTTAAAAGTTTATGAAGGCGGAAGATGGAAAACGCCAATGGGTCTCCGAATTAAATCATAAGAACGACTTAGGGATGACTTAAATTCTGCCTATGAGTTTAAAAATGACCGGAATTATTGAGACAAAGATATTTTGCCATTAAATAAATATGGCCTTCGTCGTGGCAATCCACTAAGAATAGGACGCCAGTGAGGAGATACCAGATAGCACTCCCATTTCGTCTTGCTTCGAGTTCGCCACATCCTGAACTCTCTTTAGCGGTAGATGTGTCCATCGCGCCGTTCGTGGAGAGCACTTAACGGAGGTTAGAAAATCATTCAGCAACACAAGGACTGAATCTAGTCGTCCAATCCTCTAAGAACTCACACAATAAATGGATACACACCTAAGTTCACCCTTTTACTTTTCTCAGTTCTCCTTTGTCTTACAGCTTTGACTGCTTTATCTGTGAATTCCTTGATATTATTTGTTATCAATGATACATACAAGTATATACGTATATATATGCATCATTATATACATGTATATACAAATCATATGAGGGAAGACTGAAGAAATTAAGTCTTTTCACACTTAGTTACCGTAGTCACAGGGGAGACCTCATCACAGTCTATAAGATCTTAAACAACCACGCCCACCCTAATAAAAGCATCCTGCCATTAAGTGATTATAGGCTTCCACGAGGTAACCCGCTAAGGATAGCACACCAGAGACCAAAGACTCGAGTGCGTTCACATTTCTTCTCGTTTCGAGTTTGCCGTCTCTGGAACGCTTTACCGGCGGCCGTAACTACAGCGCCATCTGTGGAGACTTTTAAGCGGAAGCTGGACAATCATGCAGAAATGCATGGTTTGTGTCTCAATGGCTTACCCTCTTAAAATTTGAAACTACATTGTCAATGGATAAGCATACAAGCTAAATCCCCACGACTCGTTCTGTCTTCTCCCACTGTACCGACTACTCTATCTTTTCTTTCTTTCTTTATTATTTCACCTTTATTATTTCACTTATCTCAACCTATATTATCTACACTACAACCCATTATTATTATTACTATTCTGCTTTTATGACTACATCGGATGACCAACGGGTGTTAGGTCAAACTCAATTCACGACAGCAACTGAGTCCTAACATACTGCACACTACAAACCACAATCTTGACCAATCCCCGCACCACTCCTCTTGGAGTCTACCAGAGCTAAAGCAGTCGAGTAGCGGAATTTACTACGCATAAGTTCACCGAAGATCTGGGACCTCTACCTTACAATCAAGAAGCGAGCTCAAAGAAATCACTGGTTTATACTTGCTCGTAATCAGAATATTGGATATCAATTCCTAATTTCATTTGCTATCTGTTTGTACATTTTCTTTTTTAAGTCTGCATAACCTACACTAATTATATCTACTGTCATTATTATCCCTCTCTGCTACCAAAGAAGATGACTTAGAGGCGAATGGACCAACTACATTCACAGCAGCTGCATGGTCTTCAAAATCCGTATATCATCCACCCCATCACCGCTGCTTTTGGAGTCAACCAGAGCTACGACGGTCGAGTGCAGTAGCGAACTACACAGAAGTTTACCCTAGACTTGGAACCTTTATCTTGCAATCAAGAAGCGAACACAAAGAAATCAATTTGTCTTGCAATAACTCGTGAAAGCAATATCGGAAGTTGGATAAGGTTTAGAGGCTGCGGGTATCGACGTTCGCAAGTTGTACGGATTATACTAACGCAAGATCTTATACCAACAACTTCTATTGTGTTCGTTCTTCGAGTACCAAAGATAAAGCAAAAGACCAGATTTTGTCGTCCAAAGTACGTAGTATATTTCGGGACAAAATCGCGGGTAGAGGTGAATGCTTAGCTAGCTAGTAATCGTGCACGCACGTGACACGACGGAGTACCAAATGGCGGGGATGCTTGACCGTAAGCCTTCAGCTAAACAAGTCGACTTAAACAGTGATGGTCAGCATCCAATGTTGAGTGATGATTGCTGTGGTTAATAATTTTGGGGAATTATTTACCGCTACAAAGGTAATAATTGTCCTAGAAAAGTGAACAGAACTGCATCTCGGAAAGTTTCATGAAGTGAAATTATTCTGCAGTGGAGCTAAAAAGTACAAGAATGACCAAATAGAATTTTTTACCAATGAGGCGTAAAGGACCACCAAGGTACATCAATAAATCCCATACTTTACCCATATTTTGTGTTTTTAAAACTAGGTTGTTGGTTTTCTACACTAAGTTGTCTCATTTTAAATGATCTAAATGGGAAGAAGAACTGTGTTATTCCAAGTCATATAATCAATAACCTCACTTGCGCGCGATTATTGCTTCAGGTGTAAATGGAACCGGTAAGGGGCTTATTTTACTTCTAGTGAACTGTTCTGCTTGCGAATCACATAAAGCTACATATGTATTGAAGTATCACGCTAAACGGACAGAGGGCCATCAGTTAATAAGATTTTGCAATAAAGTACCTTACCGAGTCATTTATAGAGGACCTTAGCTAGCATTGACTTCGGGTTCACTTCAGGAACTCTCGAGGAGACTGCAGATAATCGTCCTACGTTTTGCAATGCGCCAGAAGAAAGTGTTAATTGGGAGATATCTGCTGAGAATAGTGAGATGAGGTATAATATCCAGAAAAGTTTTAGTCTTTGTGTTTGGTAACAGAAACATAGATGAATGCTCGGGTGAGCAGTTCACTGCTGACAGTGCTTGAAGTGGTCGTTATTTAGTACATAACGTGCAATGTATATTCACTTCACTTTAGTAAACTAAAAGGTTTGACCAATGCATATGTAAGTGCACCATGGTTTAGGAACTACCTAATGGATGGATGACAGAAGGTATGGGTTAACGATGCACTGATAAGGTGAAAAGGAGCCTTCAATGGATTAACTCGGGGAGCTGTACTGGGCTCCCTGCTTCTCTTAGTACACTCAAATGAACTACCAGAGATTCTTACATCATCATCATCATTATTATTATTTGTGGCGATATTAAGATCAGAAAAATTGTAAGTAACAATGATGATAGGTTAGTATTGCAAAGTGGTTTAGATAAATTACCTGATTCAATAGCATCAGCTCCGTTGGTGAACTATTTTGGAGCAAAATTAGATCTCTACGGAGATACATATTGCTAGGATTAGCATAGGCACCAACCGACTACTATCCATATTATCTGAATCTGAATTCATTCCAAAATTAATTACATTTTGTTTGTCATTGAAACATCCACACGTCATGTTGGGTAAAGCCATGGAACAGAGTTTCCGCTGAGCGACAGGCTGGTAAACATGTTTCGGAAAAGAGGTTTGATTTTGTTCCTTTTTTAACTACTTGTGGATCAAAGATAACAGTAATATCTTGCTTTATTTTTCATTAATAATATTTTAAATTGTTTTTTAGCTCTAAGGGACGAATTTTTTTCCTCAGCGTCATTTGTCTGAATATAAACTAATTTCATTTGTTGATTTCAGGTGGTACATGAAAATGATCCGATGGGAAACAATGAGAGGTTAGTTTCTTCCTACTACTGTTTTCAAGTACCAACAGGTTTTAATAAACAGCTTATAAAAAGTATCATTCATCGTACCTTTTTATATCATGATGGTAACCGTGTTTGTAATAAGTTTAGTACGAAATTTACCTTGGTCTTGTTATGCAATCTAGAAGTACATTTTAAGTATATATATATATATATATATATATATATATATATATATATGTATATATATATATATATAAGATTACCCCCTAATTCCAATTCCAGTTGTTTCTACTATTTTCCTTCCAGTCATGAATATCTCCAACTTTTTCTGGGTGTGTGTCATTCGTAGCAATGCAAATTTGTGTGATGTTGCAACACCGCAACACATGTCACATGAAAGCTTTGTGGATCCAAATTTATGTGCGTGCGTGTAATCCATGAGGGGATTTATGAACGCCGTAGTGAAGGTGTCTATTTAGTTTCTCACACCCCAGATTAAGACTGAGGCTTGCATTATAGCTGTTTACAAGTTGTAAAAGAACAATTTCGGAAAATTTAATGTTCTCACCTAACTTCCTCGTGTATCGTTATTTTTGTCTGTCAAGTGTATTGCTTTACTTTCATTGCGTCTGTATGTTATGTTGTGTCTTCATTTATGTTGTACTCATATAAAGTGGATGAGTAGATTTTACTTTTGGTTGTTTTACTTGTCAGTCTACGATTCGGCAACCTGTTCGCGCTACTTAGCTGCTCATGGCTGTTTGGAATTTCAGTGGATTCACTGTAGTTCACTTGCGTCGATGTGCTAAATCTAAATGATATAAAGTATCCATTTGTCTAACTTGCGGAATGAAGACATCCGAAAGTTGTGTGCGTTAAGTCCCTGTTATCTTCTTAGAAATCACAGTGTCATTTAATTTCGTGGTTCTGCATTTTATGCTTTGGACCTGGTGGGGTTACCACTGAACAAACTTTTTTACTGCGATGTCTTCTGAACACCTTGAGCAGCAATCTTCGTATGTTTGGTATGCGATTCGACCATGTAAAATGTAAGATGCTGCTACAGGACTGGACCACGTCAACTCCTGGCTTAGTGATAGGTAGTGAAGTGATAGAACATGTTGGACACTTCAACTATTTGGGAAGTTGTATCAGCACCAACGGATTGATTGGTGACGAAATCTCAGCACGGACCCAAAAAGCTCGAGCCGCTTTCGCTAACTTACACCGTCCCTGGCGTAGGCGTGACATCCGGCTATCAACCAAGGGACGTGTGTACTGCTCAGCAGTTCGCTCCGTCCTCTCTATGGCTCTGAAACATGGCCAATACGAGTTGAAGACATGAAAAGGTTGACTGCTTTTGATCATAGATGTTTACGATCTCTTTCTCACGTTAGGTGGTATAATAAGGTAAGTAATGTTGACGATAGACGTAGAGTGTTGGACAAAGAGGGAAAATCAATCGACGAGGCTATAAAGTTACATAGAATGAGATTGCTAGGTCACGTGCTGCACATGCCTAACCATCGCCTCCTCCGACGGGCATTACTAGCTGATATAGGTGCAGGTTGGAAAAGAGTAAGTGGTGGCCAGACAAAAACATGGCATCAATCCATGAAATCCCTGACAGGTAAAGTGAGTCAGGTAGGGAGATGCAGACTTCCGGGTTGGGGCCCTCGGGACTCTAAGAATCAATGGCTGGAGACAATAGGTGACATGGCTCAAAATCGTTGTCAATGGCGCAGATGTATTCAGTCTCTTTAACCTTCATATTCCTTTCTACCATTACTCATTCTATTTCACTCTTATACTTGTCTAAACTCTATTGATTCTCTTCACTCATTTTCTTGTCTACCTTTGTGTGCTATTTGGAACGTGGCAACTCGAACTGCGGCACTTCGGTGCCAAGTTCTATGTTGAATCCAGCAGCAGCAGCATATATGACTTGTTAGACTTTCCACTGCCGCAAAAGCAGTTTTATGCAGACTTAATAGCAAATTCTGACGGCTGATATAATTAAGAGCAGTAATTTTGCTCACAGTAGTACTCTATGTACTATAATCAGCATATGTGAGAAGTATTTTTCTAGTAGGTCGTCTCTGCATGAGGTTTCGTTCTGTTGAAATGCTGACTGTGCAAGTCTTGTTGTTTGCCAATTGAGAATGTAAACATCAAGTGTAGTTTTTCATAATGCGCTTGATTTTTATGTGTCTATCCACATCCTCTTATGTTGTTAGTCCTACACTTTTAGCCACTTCAATCACTGTTCATCCATTCTTCATCAGGTCTTCGTTATGCTTGCTAAAAGCTCGGCAGCAGCTTTGCAATCTTACTTTACTCCTAAAATGAGTTAATTCCGAACATTTTTCTGCCTAACTATTAAAAACCATAATAGTGCAAAACACCTGAAGACTGCTTCAAGTTCGTGACCAATCAGAAGATGCCAACACAAAGCAAATAGTACTAAGATTGAAATAGAACGCTATTTAACGAGTTTAAGTTGGTCGGTGAAGTTTTAAGTCTTCATCCGTAGAGATGTTTGTGGTACGTGTTACGGAAACCAAGCCACAACGTTCCCCTCCATGAAACGTTGGCCTAAAGAAAAAATTAGGTTGGGAGATAACTATGGGTAGTTTGAGCTAAGTAGCACTAATTTTTGAAATCACTGATGGTAGGTCTGATCCATGTAGAAAGTTTTATTCTCCCTAATTAAGAATCAACAGTTGGCGATTGGTGTTAAAATGGCTTAAAATGTTTCACAGTGGCCCAAACGTATTCTTTTTATGATCCTAAAAATAGTGAATATGGGTGCAGTGCACTCAATTAATGTTTGGTACGTCTTTAACCAATTCCTTACGTTTGCTTTTCTGAAGTTTAACAATTTGGATTGTTGCACATCTGGCAAGGCCCTAGAGTGATTTATGTTTTTCTGTCTTTCTACTTTATGTTAAATACTGGTACATCCAAATTTATGTACATCATTTGTACACTGTACACTGAGTGTTTTGTGATTAAAATTCTTCGTTTATAGTGGACGTATGATAAAGTTTAAAGTTGTTTAGAAATCATGCCGTGCTTATTGCTAACATCTTTTTAATATTTCTGATTGGGCCACATATAAAAATTGTCTTACAATTATTAACAAAATGATGCTTAAATTTTATGAGTTTGGTGTTTACTATTCATGATGACTAGATTCAAGGTAATTTTTTCCATGTTTTCCCACAGCTTAAAGGATGCTACAGAAGGCTGGTCTGTTGGCTTGTTTGTTTGTCTTTGTGACTATTGTATTTGGAATTCACAAAGATAACATCTTATCAAACCATTATTAGTCGTATTTTTTGTTGTTTAAGTTTTTAAAGTTTGTATCATAGTATCCTTTAGGGTGTCAGTTTTTCAACAATATTGTCCTAATTTTCATTGTCATTCTGTTTTCCCTTCTGTCACCCTTTAGCTATGATGCTTGTGATACTGTGAAACTTGTTTATTGTATTTTGGATGAAATTGCTGGGAGTGTAGATCGTCTGGGAGAAAGTCAAGTTAGCGGTTTGTTACCTCTCCTCTCCCGAGTTGAAAGCACCTTCAAGTACCGCCACTATCAGTTGTCACAAGCTTTGACAAATGATCTAATGGATGGTGAGTGGTATTACTCCAAAAATCTTTATGTATTCGTCCGTTAGCACTTAAATTTTTGTGGGACTTTTAATTTTGTAAGCTAAATAATACAAATATTTCATGAATGATTCCTCTTCGACTAAGTTATGAGTACTTCTTTATCATCAGTGTTAATCAAATGGAATGAGACGGACTAATTCACTTTTGATTTTTAAACCATCACCATGCATACGGGACCTCTGTTAGAGTTATTAGAATTCGTTTTCCATTAGCGGGTCTGAACAAGTTTCTAAATAATATGCTTTGTGCAGTTTAGGAAGTGAACCAAAAATTCATATTCATATCTGTTGGTTGATGTAGGTGTTTTTTGAGTATTGTCTAGCATCCTGACCGTCATTCCAATGAAGACATTTTTTTTACTATATAGTTCCAAATGATACATAGTAGTTTTTCTCCTTCACCTTCCCTAGTGGAACATAGGGCTTCAAGTTAGTGGCTTGAAGTTTCCGTAGCAGTGTTTGGTTGTTTATTAAATCGATTTTTAGGACATGCAGAGGTATTACAACATAAGATGTAAGCTGGTGATCATCTTTTGATAATTAAATTTGGCTTGTCAAAAAAAACTTGTCAGTTTTATTTTGGTGTACTAGAAACACTGAATTTCAATATTTGTGTGTCTTACGCATACTTTAGACGTAAACATGTTGATAGATTTCCATTTAAGGACAATTTAAACAAAACTAAGCAAATGTTGAATTTTCTCTGCATCTGTACTCAGTATTGCATGTTTTCTGTTTATTTAAAAAAATAGATTTCTCTAATTGGTGTATCTACCGTCTGATTGTGATTGCTTGTCGACCGCAGTTCACTTACCACTTACAGCTTGTTGGAGATCAAATCAAATCCCTTATGCTGTTGCTTGAAAGGCATCATTTAAACATATATCTCAAGCGTTGTGTACATTTGGTGTCAGTTCTTCAAGGTAAATACTTCAAAATATTCATTATATTTGTAATGTAATATGTCGGTCGGTCGGTTTTTGACATAGAACTTTGCACATATGTGCGGCAGTTCAAGTCGCCACACTCCATGTAGCACACAAAGGAAGAGGAGAAAGTAGGAGAAATGCATACTATAGACAGTAAACAGAGGTGTGAGACAAAGGAATGGTAATAACGAAGAACAAAACAGTTTAATTGGAAATCATAAGTCACAAGGAGTGGATGCATCTTCGCCATTGAGAACGATTTTGAGCCATTTCACCAATTGTTCCCAACCATTGGTTTTTACCGTCCCGAGAACCCCAACCAGGAAGTCTACACCTTCCTATGTGGCTTAGACTAACTGTTGTAGATATCACAATGTAATGTGTAATCTACCTCGTGAGGGTTTGGTATTTACCTTTAGGTATCGGTCCTGTGGCTGCCATAAGCACTTGGTTTATTGGCTAAATTATTTAAGTTATTATGAAATACTGTTGGTTTTGTGCATTTCAGCGTTAACAGGTTGATAGATAATATTAGGATAACACTTATCTGCTTTACGGCTTAAAGATGGATGAGTGTGTTGCGGGATATATTTTGCGAAATACTGGACACACTTAGTCAGTGTTTGAATGCTTTTTTAAGTAAAAGGCTCTAGCTCACTGATGTAATGTAATTAATGCATAAGTCACTCTATCTTAGTTTAATTTTAGTAGCTTTCACATGATAAATATAATTCATAGTTTGATGTACAAATCTGATATGAGCTGTACTACCGTTATTTTTATTGTTATTAGTGATTAGTGCTAAACTATTATCTTTTGAAGCTGCGTTTTGAGTTACTGATTTTGATTCATGCAGCAATTTTCTTATTTATTCTGATTAGTTATTTTTTTAGTCTTCATAATGCATAGACTTCAACCTCATAGCTGATAGAATACATGAACTATAAATGTTTACTAGTGTTTCACAGTTCACAATTGTGAGATGGAATACATAATCTGATTTTGTTATGGACATATCATGCACATCACAATAGCTATTTACATATTATGCACTAGGACAGTTAATACGTTAAACATTTGAGAGTTTAGAATATCACTCAAATGTTCAATTCACAGTTGGTGAAGTTGGCCTAGAACATGATAAAATTATGTAAAATTTAAATTTCTAACAGGATGAATCAAATCTGCCAGTGCAAAACATAATACTTGGTATTTTTTTTTGAGTGCAAATGACTCGTGATATTCTATGGCCGCTTTTTCAATCCTTAATGTTAAGATGAGTCGAAAGTGTGAACATAATGGCAGAGTTTAATTTCCATACTAGTTTGTTTATTTGATATACCACAATGGTACAATATTGTTTTCTAAATGACATTTCAAGCATGATTCAGTGCTTACGATCATATCAACGTACTTACATAACTTTCTGACCATGTTTTGTAGTCATAGCGTAACGACAAAAAAGGCATGACACGGAGGCCGAAGTATATTTTTCATTAATCAAACCGCTGTTTATATATCCACAGTTTATATTCGTTAACTAATCACTGAGCTTGTTGGCTGGCTGGATTCAATATAGAACTTGGCACCGAAGTGCCGCAGTTCGAGTTGCCACGTTCCAAATAGCACACAAAGGTAGACAAGAAAATGAGTGAAGAGAATCAATAGAGTTTAGACAAGTATAAGAGTGAAATAGAATGAGTAATGGTAGAAAGGAATATGAAGGTTAAAGAGACTGAATACATCTGCGCCATTGACAACGATTTTGAGCCATGTCACCTATTGTCTCCAGCCAGGCATTTCAGGAGGTGTGCGGAGGGGTGGCCAACCCGCAGCGCAAGGCACCCACCCCCGACCATCCTGAGGCTTTGGAGGCATATTCTAAGTCCATAAGACTATTCCCTGGTAACAAGTCGATTCCTAAGTCGTTAAGTTCAGTTAAGGATACTTCCATTAGCATATCTATGATGAAGTTAAACAGAAAAGGGGAAAGTGGACATCCTTGACGGACACCACTGGTTGTTATCAATTCAGATGACAATTCCCCATAAGCCCTTACACAGCTACGTGAGTTTGAGTAGAGTGCCTTGATTAGTGCAATGTACTTTCTTGGCACTCCCTTCACAGTCAAAAATTGCCATAGTACCTCTCGATCCACGGAGTCGAAGGCCACCTTCAAGTCAAGAAATATGGCGATTGTTGGACCCCTAAAAGTGTGTCTATGTACTAGGATCTGACGGAGAGTGAAGATATGATCTATGCACCCTCTACCTGGCCTAAAGCCTGCTTGATTTTCCCTCGTTTGTTCCTCCCGAGTTCGGCTTAGTCTGTGCATGATTAATGAGCCTAGGATTTTAGAGACTATGTTCGTCAGGCTGATCCTCCTATGATTATCACATGAGGACTTGTCTCCCTCCTTGAATATTGGTATAATAAGTGACTTACCCCAGTCTGATGGAACCGTCTCTGATTCCCAAACGTTACCTAGTGCCTTGGTTAAACTATATACTAGTATGTCACCCCCATATTTAAACACCTCCGGAATAATTCCGTCGGGTCCTGCCGCTTTGCCTCGTTTCAGATTACAGATAGCTTTTGTGACCTCACTTACAGACGGCGGGCCAGTGTCTATATCCCATTCGGGTGTGTGCTGGATGGCGGGGAGGTTCAGTGTGGCTGTAGGCAAGTTAAATTGTTCCTCAAAGTGTTCTTTCCAGCGTTCAAGGCGTCTATCCTGAGAGCTAATTAAGGAGCCATTTTTCTCAGAAATAGTCTCACTTATGATTTGCCTTCTCCCACCCGTTTCCCTGATGAGTCTAAAGAGTTGCCTAGTGTTGCCTATAGCCGGTGCTTTTTCCATCTCTTTCGCCTTTGTCAAACACCACTGTTCACGGTCCTTGCGGAGACTTTTCGTAAGTTTCCTTTTGTGCAGCTTTCGCTCCTCATTGAATTCGGAGCTCGCCGGAATAAGTCTTCTAGCATCTATCAGTTCGGATGAGGCAGTCGAAATCCAATGGTTTTTACTCACCTTTGGATTTACTTTATTCACAGCTTTTACAGCTGTATCTATGGCTGACTGAATATTCTTCCAGGCTTCTTCAGGGTGAGCGCAGCTGTCGAACTCAGATATGTGTTTAGCTAGTTCTTCCTCAAATAGGGACTTAGTTTCCTGATCGAGCTGGGGACGTGATGGGTTTACCGCTAGCTGTTTCTTACGCCCGTTCAGTCGTAAGCACACATGAGCTCGGACCAGTGCGTGATCGGTATCTATACACGTGTTCCAGAAGGAGCGACAATCTCCTACCGACCCACGCCAACGATAGCTTATTGCTATGTGGTCTATTTGTGTCCAGCGTTGGTTTGATGATGGGGGTCGCCAGGTCAAACAGTGTCTCTCCTTGTGTTTGAAGTTAGTGCTTACAAGAAACAAATGATTATCTGAACAGAACTGTAGGAGACGGTCACCGTTGTTGGTTCGCAGATTGACACAATTTCCCTACTTGAGCATTAAAGTCACTGGATAAAACGACTATATCTGAGCGTTTAGCCTTTCGCAGCAAACTAGACAGCTTTTGGTAGAACTCATCCTTCGTTTCATCCGAACTGCAGTCAGTGGGGGCGTAGGCGGAGATTACGAAAAGACATCGGCGAGTAGTACAGTCCTTTCTCCTTTTCACTGATCCGTCCAGACGGACAGCACACATTCGGCTATCTACCGGGATCCAGTCAAGTAATTTCTTTTCTGCCCTAGTACTCAAAGCTATCCCAACACCAGCTAATCCTCGTGAGCTAGCTGTGGCATCTCCTGACACCCTCAAGGTGAATTTTGCAGATTCATCCTGTTGGCCAGGTGGGGTTAGGTGAATAACCACACTTGGGTCTTGTATGCGTGTTTCTGAAACACAACATACATCAATGGCTCGGGATGCCAGAGTCTTGGCTAGTGATGCTTGTTGTCCTATTTGGCAAAGTGTCCTAACATTAAATGCTCCTATATGAAATTGGTGACGTGGCTTTAGGAGACTATCGATGGTGGTTTTTTGGCTTTCGTCGTTTTCAGTGCACACAGAGTGAAGAGGAAGTGAAGAGCCATTAAGTAGAGGAGTTGCATTAGTAGAAGGAAGGCAAGATAATAGAGATGAAGATGAAGACAAAGGTGAGTGAGGATTAGAGAGGTTTCGCATGCACTTCGGATTGTGAGGGCGATTGTTACTTCCCGGCTGCCCACACCGTGGAAGTTGGTTGCGTGACCGCAGAGCCCAGGGGACAACTGCTTGAGGCCGGTCACACACGGCCTGTTTTTGTTTGTTCTTTTTTATTTGGTGTGTCTCAGTAGCGTATTTATCACTTCTGCCCTGTGACAGGGCAGCAGGAAGCGCTGTCGTTGTTAATCCGGGCCCCGACCGATCAGGCATGATATTTTGTGATTTATTTTGAGTCATAGGATTGGGTTGGGTAACTGCTTTTTGTCTAACCGCTATCCAAACAACCTTTCTGGCATGGTAGGACCTACAGCAACATAAGTTCCAGCCAGTATAGCTTGTTGGGTCATCGAGGTGTTCAAGCCCGACCACCACGTCAAGGTAGCAGCTTTCGGTCGGGCACTGAGCTTGTGATTTCGGCTTACATCAGACGACAACAAACAGAATGTTTAAACATACATAGTATTATGTCGCCAATGCACTACTGAATTGTGGGAAAGTATTCTGTCTCTAACATCAAATATAATGTTCAAATAGATATATCGTATTCTGTTGTTCATGCCGAACTGAAGTGTGGAAACATGTGAGAATAACATTTTGTTGGCACGCATTATCTGTATCACACCACCACACTAGTATTGTTTATTTTATTGAAATTTAATACGATTTCTGTATTGTTGTAATTATGAAATAATATATAAATGGAGAAGTTATCACTCGTTCTATTGTATTGCCAACTGTATTCAGATGCTGTTTTCTAAAAAGTATTAAATTTACTGCAAACATAGAGGCTAGTATACGTTTAATAGAACTCCTGCTTTGAAAATTAATGTCCTCATTGTAAAAATTATGATTTTGTCTGACATATTTTACGTATTGATTTCTTCCAGACTTACTAGGCGCTATGGAGCTTTCTGATCAGAAGGTTTCTCATGATTTCCATTGGAAACTGAAAGCACCTGCCGGTTCAAAAAGTGTTGTCTGTCATGATGAGGTTAGTAAGATAGTTGATCTTTATTTATATAATCATTGTTTTTGTAGTCGAATGAACTAAAGTTTCTTTGTTCACCTGTCGAGTTGACTACTCTGAAGGAGGCATACCGATTAGTATCTATTTTAAGGTAATTCGTCTCTGCCACCTACTGATTTTTCTGTTTTTTAGCTACACATTAGGATCACTGTTTGCCAGTTTTCATGCTTACTTACCTCTTGTTGTTCATCGTGTATTTCACATTCTGTGCAGCGCTGTGGAGCTAACCGATGTATACGGAAAACAGGTCAGTTATCAGTTTTAATTTTATTATTTTATTCTATTAGGTTGTTTCAGGTGTGTTATATGTCACAAGTTAAATAAAAAATAACATTGACAAGCATAATTGAACATTTTTTAGCAGATGGTATGCTTTTTGCTTAGCAATTCAACAGTTAGTTGCCATTGGTTGTCTATTCAATTGGCTGTGTATTCCTGCGTGACATTCAGTGATCACATTTATATTTAGTATTTTTAGTCTATCTGGTCAGATTGTACTTTGACTCAATAGTGGATACATATTGACCAGTGGAGAAGCTTGTTGAAAGATTGGTGTTCCTTCCATGCACGAGTATGGCTGTGACCGTGATCTAGGGAACATCCAACTTGTCGGTGGGAAATTAATTCTATATTTAGGGTGTGTGTGTAGTTAAGCACATCCTAGAGTGATAGTAGTACTCATCATGGCATTATATCCAACCTGCCATATAAGCGGTGGAAATTACTGTTGATTACTTGCTACAAAATCTCGATAAATGGAAGCTGGTTTTTGCTGTGTGATCAGAAATGGTTGATGTTAGTAGACTAATTCTAAACGTGACGAGAAGTGAAAACTGTTCAAGTATAAGCTAACTGAAAGTCATCTCAGCGACCGCTAAAATGCAGGGGCGGGTAGGTGGGTGAAGAAAGAGGATAGAGAAATTGATATCAGTGATAGGTTCGTTAGAAAAAGTGCTCCCAAAATAATACGGTAAATTAATTGAGAAGGATCGGAGACATGACCTGAACGTTTGGCAAAACACATTAATAAGCAGTATAACTTGCCCACAGCTACAAACTAGTAGCCAGCCATTCAACAGCAATGTAGATAAGATGTAGATGTCACTCTTCCAACTTTGGCCGAAATCAAGTAAAGGTAAAATGGCAGGAGCTGATGGTTAGACTTCAAAGATAGTAATGACCTGTTAGCTGGATTAACGAAGATATTAGCAGGCATATAGGAATTCGTTAAACATGACATATTTCTTGATGTGAAAACGGTATTTGACTCTGTTGTTGGAGAGGTGCTATGACAATGTTCGACTGTAAAAGAAGTGCCGAGAACTTATGTTCTACAAATCAAGGTACTATGTCCAGGCTTATACTGTCGTATAAGACCTTATGCAGAGTTATCAGTTAAATTGACCAAAATTACTGATATTTGGCGGGATGTCCAGTATTGCCACTCTTATTAAGTTTGCTTAGAGATGTACTAGTGGATGCGACCTTCATTGATTCCCATGTTTTGGGCAATTGACCTGCTGCCAGGGAAAGTCTTTTTGATCTAAGACATACAGATGATGTTATTGTCATATTTGGCGAAGAATTTAACTAAATATAGTCTTCTGAATATCTTGTGTAGAAATAAAAGAATGTTTGGTATCAGTATTCCCTGTTAAATTAAGGTGATGCTTCAGGATTGGTTTCCACCAACCCCTAGTTTGAGGTTAGAGAGTGAAATGATTGTGATTACTACCGCTACCGAATGAATCTCAGCACAGATACAAAAGGCTCGTTTGGCACTTGTTAGTTTGTGTTAATTTTGGCCCTGGCGTAATATCTTGCCGTCCATCAAAGGACGTGTGTTCACTGCAAAATTTTTTTTGTCCTATTTCATATATTTTAGGATATAACTGTTGGAGATTGAAGAAATGAATTAGCAGCTTTTGATAATATAAGTTTTTGTTCAATCTCAGGTCAGTAATAATGATATTGAGTTTAGAGTGTACAATAAGGAGGGCAAGTCAGTCGATGAGTCTGTGAAGCGGCATTGATGGAGATGGGTAGGAACTTAGTTATGCATGCCGAAGACAGGGCACCAACCATGGAGTGAGGTTGATATCTGTCTGGGTGGGGGCCTCGGGATTTTTAGAATCATTTGTTGGAGATTGTTATCGGTGTAGTCCGAAATCTTTCTTGATGAGGAAAAGCAATCACTCCCTATCATCTTCCAGGTTCTCTAAATCCTCATTAAGTTTCATCCAATTGCTCTGTTTCCCGTATGCTTTCGTCCAATGAATTGTTTTCCACTTCAGTTTGTTGCCTTTTGATGAACTGATACGCTTTTACTCACGCCGATAAACCAGTCAGGCAAGATGTACATTATGTTAATTAAGCCTGTGGTTGATATTGCTTACTATCCTAGAATAATTGACCCTGCTAACTTAAATAACCTAGAAAAAAGCTCAGCCGTTGCACCCCATTCACTTGCACGTAATCACAAAATGGGGTGGAGCAGGGTGAGAGTATTGAAAAGTAATGTAGTTAGGTGGAGAAAGACGTTAACCACTGAAGCTTTGTTTATCGATTCAACACCGCACACGTGCAATTGGAATGACTCAACGCCTATACTGGAGATATGGAAAGTGGCAACAAACAATAAAGAGAAGTTAGAGTGACAGAAAGAGAGAAAATATATATAAGAGAAATTGTGAAAACGTGTGACTAAATTGATATGATTATGAGAAATAATTTATGCTCGAAACGTCATCCAGTTGTTAATATTGCAACACTGTGTGATTATTAAAATAAACTTATCTAATATGGAATTATATTCAGTTTATTGCTCTTGTTTACAGAGAGCCTTGGATGCAATATACCAAGGCACTGATACACTCTTTAACTTGACTTCTGAACCAGTTTATGGGTCTACAATATTGAATTATATCTACACTGCTACTGGTCTGGTAATCAGCTTCTTATCAACATGGCATGAGGGTGCTATGAAATTATCAGTGGATCCGTTGATAATGGATGAATATCTGTCCTTGCAGAATACGACTGCACTTTGTCTACGTCTACTCTGTGTTGTTGAGCAGCGTATTTTAAATTCAAAACTACTAAGTTCTGATCGATTTCCACATCTGAAGTTACTAAACACCGTGAGTTTGTTTTCCGGTTGTCACCAACATTTCTTTATATCAGCTAATATAAAAGTAATTTAAGTCAAGTGGTTTCCTACATTACGTTAGTTTCCGTTGAAAGTTTGTTATAGCATAATTTAAAAAAGCATTGGAACATTTTTTGTATTCTGAAGTGTGATGAATTACCATAAACTTTCTTAAGAGGAGAACCAAACTGATTTCCAGTTTGGTAAACACTAAACCATTATGATCAAACTCATGTTTTGCCGGATACTGGAAGTTATATTCCTTAGTTTTGAGTTTCTGCTTTCCTGAAAGCCAAATGTACTGCAGGAGAATAAAATAACTGATACACTGTATCCACCTATTTAGTTGAGCCTGCTTGTCGTTATGATGAATTCATTCAGGTGAATTGGGAAACCCTGATCCCAAACAAATGGTACTTATGGGTTCCATTATCTGTAAGAAACTAACTTGTTTTAGTTATAACCACACGAAAGCAGCTCTTGACGTTGGCCTGCTATGTTCTGTGTGAAACTTCAAGTCAAAGGCTTATCCCTTGAAGCAACCACCTGTTTCAATCTGGACGTCCGAGCAGTATCTCAACCCTCATATAAAAAAATGAAACGACAATTCATTCGAAAGCTCAGCTCATCTCTACACTCACAAACTATCGCATCTGCTAATTGATCAGTGGTACATTCGGTGATTTAATCAGTTATCATTATATTGTCCCTGCTAGTCCTATATATGAACTGTCTTGTTTTATCTTTATCATCCTTACGTCTGTTAGTTAGTTAATTTTCTCCAACTGTTCATTGTTTTTTGAAATCTTTGTCTGTACTGTTTTGAGTCGCTAATTAGTTGTTATCAGAAGGTAACCTACAGTTCCATATTTAGCGACCGTTCGGACGCCAGGTATTATTTAGAAACTTGCTGTATGTAACATTTATGTGAGTCAGACAGCATTCAGGCTTAGTCAGAACTCTGGTATACCTCGCTATCACTGTATGCTGCAAATTTCACAATCGCATACAATATCTGAGTAAAATGCTTTGAATAACTTCCCTATCTATCATCTAAAATGGTGTTTCACATGGGCTTATCCTCCGTCTCTGTGACATTAGCAAGTGTGGCTGTTGCACTAAGGAATAAAGCGAAGCTGCATTACTCAACTGGATGCTCAGTAACATTCATTTCTACGCTGTTATGTCATATTGTATTGTGCTTGGAGTTAACTAGGTTGAGAGCTATTTATTTTTAGGCATCTCTGTTTACGCGTCGATAGATCGCGTCTAGGTGTTATGAGAGATGTCTTATCATTATCTGATTGACCACAATCAATCTCTCTCTACAGGTATTATAGTACTATCTAGGAACTTGAAAATATTGATCGGGCGTCTAGGTGCATATGAGACTTGTTTAGGTGATTGAGACCGTATTTTGTAGCTTTGCATTTACCACAAGTATTTTTGGCGAGCATCAAATTTCTGAAACAACCATAGCTGTTGTGTTAATTGACTTCCTCTGTCTGGAGGATGGATTCACATTACCATCAACTACCGAGAGTGGGAGTACATTCAGGATTGCCACTCCTCCTGGACCAGTCGTCTAAATTCCATTCATACTTCCAGTGTGACCAACCTTTGCGTTTCGGCAGTCATCATAAACAGATTTATGTAAGTAGATGGGTTGCACCTACTACTGCAGCTGAATATCTGACTATCTACTGATCCCCCAATGAAATATAGAAGAACACTAAGTACACTTATAAAATGCCATGAAAATGGGTATGATGGCTTTGAAAAGCTTTCCGCTAAAAAGATGAGTTTGTGACAGTTCTTGGTATTGGTTGATCCACTCCGAGAGGTAAAGAGTACAATAACCTTCGTCATTAAAGCACACCAGTTATGTAAGAATGGTGAACACTAGTAATCAGATCGTGAGTACTTCTGGCAGTATTTAAATTATCTTCCAACTCGTCAAAGTCACTGGTAGTAAGCAGCATGGTGTCAAACAGACAGTTTGTGAAGCAGATGATATGCGGATTAACAACGTCCAAAGACACCTGTAACGCTCGACAGAGCTGGCTGGTCTACATTATCAGCATTCACTACTCTAGTATACAGTGCTCTATAGTTGGTTGCAATCAATTCACCTAACGAAGTGTGCGTCAGTAAGGAAGTAAGTCCAAGTACTCAAACGCCATAAGGCTCTCAGTCTAGACAACTCACCCTTTCAGTTCTTCCAAATATAATGGTGATGCTCTAATCATAGAACTGACGAGATTGTTTGTGGAAATTCGGTAGATTGAGTCCGATCAATCTGGGATGAAGCAATCATTATTTCAATTTTTAAAAAGGCTTTACGAACCCTTGTGGTAGTCGTTAAAGTGTTTGTATGTTGCCAGTCGCATGATAATTTGCAAACTTTATAAAACGCCTGAAAAACTGGTAAACGAAGAGGAAACTGGGCTTCGTCTACGACTACATGTTCATCCTTCTTCAGTTATTCGAACACCGTGAAGTGTATTGCAGACCAAAAAAGTTTTCTGAGGGTTTTACCAACATCTTCAAAGTCCCATGTAAAAACACCTCAGTTACAGTACAGAGTAAGATGATGACAACCACATTATCCTTTTCACACCCGGTAACGTGGTTAGAAAGGATTTTCCAATCTTGCCATTTTTCTTTAACTTTGCTATCGATAATATTTTGCAGTCAGCATCGAAGTGTGTATTGTGCTAGTGTGGATATGGTGTCCGGAGAAGGACTTTTCAACCATGGGTATGTAGACGATATCGTCTTATTGTGCGATGACATTCAGTCTACCCAATTCCCACTTAATCAGTTTGGGATCAGTGTCTGTAAGTATGTTATGTGCTTTGCACTTTCCAGGTGAAAGTTCCTGCTGTTTGGAGCTTGTACCTGCATTTACTCTCTCATTTTACAGGTAATCGACAAGTTGATTTATCTAGATAGTTGTGCGAGTACTAGTGAATGTATGACAGATGAAATTTCAATTGGTATGGTGAAAGTCAGAGAGGCATATACCAACTTGGACCACCTCTTGCGCCGCTAGTCTGGCCAGAAAAGATCATCTTTCAGTCACTGATGCTATCTTATATCAAATTCGATGTATTATGGACATTATCCCAGAGACTTCCATATCATTCATTGTTAGGTAACTATAAGATTGGGATGGAAAAGAAGAAAGCTAGTCAGTTCATGATGTGTTATCGTAGGATGAAGGTTAGTTGTATTAGCTTAGCATGTGTTAGGGTTTAAGCGATTATTGCTCTCAGTGGCCTTGGATGTTATCACACATGGCTTAGATTCGAGATTAGTGTTGAACATGCTTCAGTCCCTTACTTTTCCTCTGGCAGTAATGTGAAGATATGAACGCTTCTTTGAATGCTCTTGATAAGTATACTCACCTGCTTTCATTTAGTTTTTCATGAACTATTTTACATTTCTTTCATTGATTCATTACTTGGCGTGGCTTATATTTCGGTGCTCATATTGTATCAGGTTTATGTTTTGAAATTGTTTGCTCTGGATAAACGACCTGTTAACCTGAAAACATTTAGCTAGTTAGAGATTATGCAAACTGGTGGTAGGCAAACCTTTGTCAACCAGTTCACTGTTAAATTTATAGTCCTAGTAACATTGAGTAAATTATGGATAGAACAAATACTATCGTATTATTATTTCTATTAAGTCTTTTCTTGAGGAAAAAGTTGTTGTACGGGTACTGATTTAAAGTTATTGCGATTGAAAATCCCTCGGTAACTCATATATTGGCAAGTATTATTTAGGATTTTATATCGTTGTTTGTCTTAAAATTTACACCTGTTGTTCCGATAATTGATATTAAATTCCAAGTCAGAAGTGGTTCTGTCACCTTACGTATTGACAGAGACCGAATCCGTGGCTGGATGGCAACGAGGCTTCAGTAAGTCTTAGACGCTAACTTTTAAGAGTTCTCAGACTGAGAGAAAATAGCTTCCTAGTTCCTCTTATTTATGTGCCAATATCACTCATTTTTTTCGTCAATTGATTTTCAAAGAATGGACCATTGGTTCGAATCCTAGTGGTGATCATCTTCTACAGTTCTGTTCAGATAGTCACCTGTTCTTAGTCAGCACTAACTTTAGGCACAAAGACAGACATTGCCTAACCTCCATCACCAAATCAAATAGACCACTTAGCGATAGGGTCTGGCGAGGGTTAGTAGAAGACTGCCTTTTCTTCTGGAACACAAACCCAGACTCCGATCACTCCCTGGTTTGCTCACATTAATGCTTACGATTAAACGGACACAAAAAGCTTTCGGCAGTTACGCCCCCAACCGGATCAAAACACCGAGTCCCTATTTAAGGAAGAAATAGCGAAACGAGTATGTGAGGTCGACAGCAATACTCCTCCTGAGGAAGCCTGGAACAATATACAGTTAGTTGTAGACACATCTGTATTATTACTATTATTATCTCATTTAATTCCTCGAGGAACATAGGGCTTCAAACGCACGTCTCCATTGCATTCAGCTCTCCGCCAGCGTTTTTACCTGACTGCACGTCTCCCCACATGCTTTAATCTGCTATTCACATGACCTCCTCCATGTCACCCTCGCATTGACGACCAACTCGACGCTTCCCATTCGGGTCCCACTCGAGCAATGGTCTGGCATATGATGTCACTCGATGGTTTTCCCAGAGTGTGGCCAATCCACCTCCATTTCTCCCTGCATATTTGTCCACAATTGGTTCCTGGTTGGTTCGTTCTCAGAGATCCCTGGTGCTGATCTTTTCCGGCCATCTGATCTTGAGTATTGAGCGAAGACAGCTGTTGATGAAGGTTTGTAGCTTGTTCGAAGTGCCCAAAAAGACACAGCTGTGCAGGCTGTTAATAATCTGAAACCGAAAGTCAGCAAGAGCCAGTGGATTTCTACCACCTCATCCAAAATGATCGACGCAAAAAGAATGATTCCGGAGAGCTCCGAATATGAAAGGAGCGAAAGCTACTCAAACGGAAGGAAGCCTTCGCAACGACCGTGAATAGTGGTAGGCTACAAAAGCGACTAGCAGTGACTAACTGTTGTGGATTTCATTGACTGGTACCATGTTTCCGTTTGACCGCCGCTAGCTCTTTTCCAGGCTGGCCCTATATCAGCTAACATTGCCCGTCGAGGAAGGTGATGGCTAGGCATACGTAACACATATCCTAACCATCTCAGTCGATGTAGCTTAACAGTCTCGTCGATTGATTTCCCCTCCTTACCTAGCACTCGACCGATGCCTCACCTCAATATTGCTCACCCTATTATACCACTTCACACAGGAGATAGAACGCAGGCACCTATGATCGAAGACAGCTAATCTTTTCATGTCTTCTGCTCTCAATGGCCGTGTCTCACAGCCATAAAGGAGGACGGAGAGGACTGCTGAGCAGTACACACGGACGGTGGCGACAGTTTACTGCTTGCGTTAACTAAGGTATAAGGCTGTGTCTGGGAATCAGAGGAAGTCCTGGTGGGCTGGTGTAAGTCATTGCTTATCCCGATGTGCAAGAAGAGAGACAATTGTTCCTGTAATAATCACATGGGGATAAGCTTGACTGATACGGTATCTAAAGTTCTAGGCTCCATAATAATGCGTAAACTAAGCGGTCCACGAGAGGAACAAACACGAGAGAACCAGGCAGGCTTTAGACCAGGAAGAGGGTGTATTGATCATATCTTCACTCTTCGACAGATTCTGGAACATAGGCATACTTACAGGCGTTCACCAATCGTTATATTTCTTGACCTAAAGGCGGTATTCGGTTCTGTCGACCAAGAGGTACTATGGCGATGGTTGGCTGCAAAGGGAATGCCGAGAAAATACATTGCACTGATCAAGGCACTCTACTCGAACTCATGCAGTCAACCAGGTGAGAGCTTATGGTGAGTTGTTGCTTGAAGTGGTGACAACCAGTGGTGTCCGTCAGGGATGCCCACTGTCCCCATTTCTATTTAGTTTCATCATAGATATACTAATGGAGTTAACCCTAACTGACTTCAGCAACTCGAGGATTGACTTGTTACCAGGAAATAATCTCGTTGACTTAGAATATGCAGATGATTGTAGTCTTCCCTCCTAGGTGAAGACGCTGACAAGATGCAGAGTCTTCTGAACGCTTTGAGCTGCAATGTGAGGATGTTCGGCATGCGATTCGCTCCTACTATCGAATGTAAGATGATGCTACAGGACTGGACTACATTGATTCCTAGCTTAAAGCTAGGGAGTGAAGTGGTAGAGCGTGTTGACCACTTCACTTATTTGGGAAGTTGCATCAGCCCTAACAGACTGATCGCTGACGAAATCTCAACACGGATACAGAAGGCTCGTTTCGCATGTGTCAACTTACGCCATCCTGGTGTAGACATGATATCCAGCTATCGACCAAAGGGCGTGTGTACTGCTCAACAGTCCTCTCCGTCCTCCTTTATGGCTGTGAGACATGGTCATAGAAGGTGGAAGACATGAAAAGGCTAGCTGTCTTTGATCATAGGTGCCTGCGTTCTATCTCCTGTGTGAAGTGGTATAATAGGGTGAGCAATATTGAGGTGAGGCATCGGTCGAGTGCTAGGTAAGGAGGGGAAATCAATCGACGAGACTGTTAAGCTACATCGACTGAGATGGTTAGGATATGTGTTACGTATGCCTAGCCATCACCTTCCTCGACGGGCAATGTTAGCTGACATAGGATGGATCAGGTTGGATAAGAGTTAGCCAGTGGTGGTCAAACCAAAACATGGCATCAATCAGTGAAATCCACAACAGTTAGTTTAAGTGACGTAGGAAGGTGTAGACCTCCTGGTTGGGGTCCTCGAGACGGTAGAAACCAATGGCTAGAGACAATCGGTGATATGGCAAAATCGTTCTCACTGGCGCAGATGCATTCACTCTCTGTGATTTATAGTATCCAATAAAACTCCATTGTTCTTCCACATCACTATTCTTTTTGCCTCATATTTCTGTTTATTATCTCTCCTTTGGACCTCTCTTAACTCTCTTCACTTGCTTTGTGTGGTACATAGAGGGAGTGTTGCAGCTCGAACTGGTGCATATCTGTGCAAAGTTCTATGTTGAAACCAGTCAGTCAGTCAAAGGCGCTTTCTCTACGGTGAGTATTATTTTGTGTCCTCGTATGATTAAATACAGCGCATACTTTAGTCCGGTTTATAATGGAATCGTAGTATTCACTATCACTGAGTGGAAAAAATGACTTTTACTTTAATCCACTTAATACTATTTTTCTTCTTAATATATGCACATTTTACAGGCCTGCATTCAGGTGTTGAACACTGATTGGATTAGGAACTCTGATCAACAAAATCTTAAACGTGCTTTAATAGATTTTATTTTGCATTGCTTGCCGTACGTTTTATTATTTAATGAGAAAAATCCAAGTTGTCTGCTACATTGTATTTCAAATGTTGACGATGAACTCAGTGAATTTCTGAAGGATGATGAATATAATCTCGACCCGATTGCTGTTATCTTACCGATTGAAATGTTGAATATTGAGGTAAAATATTCTATAGCATAATTTTAATACAAGTTTCATATGTGTATTTTGAGTATTAACAAATTTCTTACCACACAGATGAAAATTAGAAGCCAAGCAATCGACGGATGTCGAACGATTTAATAAAAAGAGTAAAGCAAACAGTTATCTTAATTACATTATTGGTTACCCGCATTCCGAGTGAAATATCGGGCCTCAGCTGCACGTTTGTATTCCAATTGATCATATACCATCACTTTTAATTGGCCTCCATGAGTATCCAAAAGCTTTCATTCACTCTCCGAATTATCTGCATCTCAAATTTAGACACCCAACTCGTTGCTTCATATTCGAGTTCCATTCGAGGACCTGGCTTGTAAAATCACTTGAACTTCTCTCCAGCGCATGTCCAATCCTTCTCCACTTCCTCCTGAATATTGGTTGGGAAGTAGCATGTTGGTTGGGCCGCTGGCTGCCAGAGTCCTGTATTGCTTATTCTTTCTAGTCGGTCATGTGATCTTCAGTGTCAATCTAACGAAAAGCGCAGTTGTAGATGTGAGTTTGCAGTCTGTTGGAAATGCTTTTAGTGACATTCATGCCAAGTATCTGAATCGCATAGAGGCACTGACTTGACATTAGTGTTAAAATTACGAATATTGTCCCTCGCGTTTGAGTGTTATGGGCCTCCATATTGCATTCAGAGTAACGGACACCTTCCTGTCTTACTTTCCCCGTTGGAATCGTGGATGGCTTTGATATCATCAACCGTGTCTCTTGTAATTGAAACGATTCTTTTGAGGAATGCGAAAGAGACAACTTCCTTTATTATTTCTATCATTGATTTTGATTATTGCTTAGTGTTGTTAGTTAGGTATCTTCATCACCTATGTCTTTATCTTTATTTGCAGTCCCGTCTTCCGAGAGACTTCTGTTAACTTGTTAATTTTCACTTGTGAAGCTTCGAGTTTCTGTGACATGATACGCGAATCGTCGGTACAACGTATGACCATGTTATCATTCCCTATGTATGGTCTGTCTCATGTTCCACTCCACCACATTCGGGAAGAGCATTGGTGAATGCAGGCAGCGTTGACTTACTCCCGTCTTCACTTGAAACTGTTGTTATTGTTATTAAAACACAAATCTTGTACACTATGGGCACCGAGAAATGCGCCGCACAAAATCTCATGGTTTGTATTACGGCTGAGATAGTACGATAAGCCCAGACTGGAGCAGGCGGTGGTTGTCTTAAGAAGTCAACCCTCGAATCCTTGACTTGGAGCCTGGTCTACAAGGCAGTGGAGCAGCGTCAGCAGCTACATTTCCATGGTTTCCTGTAACTCTTGACATTCTGGAGCCCGTGTACACTGTATGTTATAAATCAGAGTTTTCCAGCTTCCCAACATAGACCAGCATGTCCACTAGTTTGGTTGTAAGTGCAGACGTTTTCATTCGCCTTTTCACTTTTTTATGGAACACTCACTGCGTGAAGTTAGTGAGCTTTCTGTTGTGAACTACTTTGCATGTTGCGTCATCATCACATAATTCTTCCAATCTGCAACTACCTTTTCTTTTCTTCTACATCTTTTACGGTAGTGGTGTGAGCATTTTTGCTGGGGTCTTTGGGTCCTTTCTCACTGCCTCTGGTGAGATTGTATCTGGCCCTGTTGCTTCCCCAGCTTTCAGTAACCTAACGACCTTCAAGACCATCTCTGTGGTAATTGGCTTCCCTCCACTATCTTTCACTGGTTTCATCTGGGTTGAATACTTCCAGGATAGCGACCTGATTATTAGACACAGTGTTGCGAAATCTCTTACTTTAAGTTTGTTCTGATTCGTCAATGGGTCTGTCCTTCGTTTCACTCTTCATCAACATCCCGGCCGCCAACTGCTACCTTACCGTGGTGGTCGGGCTTGAATACCGCAGTGACCCAACAAGCTAAACTGGCTGGGACTCATGTTGCTGTAGGTCCTAACATGTCAGGAAGGTTGTTTTGATAGAGGTTAGACTAGAAGCAGTTACCATGGAGTACATAGGCTCCAGAATCCAATCGTGTCAAATGGCGTATGAACCTATATGGGACACTGGAAACCATGGGAACGCAGCTCCTGACACTGCTCCCCTGCCTTGCAGATTAGACTGCAAGTCAAAGGCTCGGAAGGTGGTTCCTTAAGAAAATCACCTGCTTCGGTTTGGGCACCCGGGCAGTATCTCAGCCCTCACACAATAGATGAAATGAACCAACAAACTATCAGTGAAACTTCTCGCTCGCTCGTAACAATGCTTCCTAGCAATAATGATGTCTCAAGTAACACATCTCTTTCCAGCCTTACTTTTATTTTTATACATAGACTCCTGTATTTTACCTTTGCTAACCCTGACGTCTTCACATTCGACAGTCTTTCGCATTTGCCTGAATTCCCAGCCAATCTGTGCTGTTTCGAGGTGTCAGTGAACAGCCTTCAAAATGGTTGTCCCCGATGCGACACCTAACACAGATATCCTGAAACGGGGTGCCGCGTTCAAGCTGGCCACCTACAATGTTCGGACACTGATACAAATCTGACAACAGGCAGTGTTGGGAAGAACATTGGAAAGCCTCGCTATCGATGTCTGCTGCATTTCGGAGACCTGTTTCGATTATCCTCTCCATCTGGAAGTTCTAGTAGTATGTACCACCTGCGCCTGTCCGGGGACCCTGTGGCGTCGGCATCCGGTGTGGCTGGTGTCGGTGTCGCACTAAGCGCTAGAACCGAAGCCGCATTACTCGATTGGATCCCCATTGATAGTCGTTTATGTGCTGTGAGGCTGGAAGGTTATACGAAAGTAAGGAGTGGTAGGCCAGATAGGCGATGTCTATTTGTTGTCTCTGCCTATGCACCGACGGATTGCAGCCCGGATACAATTAAGGATGAGTCCTACTACCAACTGAGCGATCTCTTGAAACAGGCGGGTTGGAGGGATATCGTAGTGCTGGCTGGGGACTTGAATGCACAGGTTGGGCGTCTAGGCTCAGAGGAGAATCGTCTAGGTGGTCAGTGGGGTTTACATGGTTGCAGGTCAGATAATGGGACCATTTTCTGCAGCTTTGAGCAGATCACAACCTGTTTCTAGCCAGCACCAATTTCTGGAACAGCCATCGCCGTAGCGCTACCTGGCGTCCTCTTCCTGATAATCAAGTCTGCAATAAAGCTATTATTATTAATCACACTGCTGTCAGTTTCCTGTGGCGAGGATGCATACAAGACTTCCGCTTCTTCTGGGACATATGTCTGGCCTCCAATCATGCGTTAGTCCGTGCCAGATTTGTCTCGCAACTTGGTGGGGTTTATAAACGACGTCATCTACATGTTGATGTGAGCAAACTGATAGTACCTGCTGCCTCTTTGAAATAGCAGAATGAGTTACAGTCAATGCTTGCCAGCAACCCGCAAGAAGTACGGATGAATATTGGCTTCATCTGCAAGGTGCCATGCAAGTGGCGAGTGTAGCCGCTTGTGGCTTGAAAGAATGCTCGGCTAAACACCACTGGGTTTCTGCTAGTTCCTTGCAACTCCTGGATGAACGCTGGTCCATTCCGACTGACTGTGAATGCAGCAATTAGCGAAAGGCGCTCACGCGCAAGATTAAACAGTGCTTACGTAAGGACCGCGAAGCCTAGGGGGGCAGAACGTGCGTGTGAGTTAGAGTCAGCTGCTGCATCTGGCAACAGTCGGAAGCTGTTCCAGCTCATCCGAGCCACCGGCAGCAAGAAACAAGGTGTCAGCGAGACGGTCTGTGAGGCAGATGGCACGCCAATTACCAGCTTGAACAGACGCCTGGAACGCTGGGCACAGCACTTTGGGAAACAATTTACCTAGTCACCAGCTTCAATGTCTGCTGTCATTAGCCTCAGTGCTCCTTGCTTGGACAGTACCGACCCACCCACCGAAGTGGATGTCCGTAAGGAACTCCAAGTGTTAAAGCGCCATAAGGCACCCGGCCCAGACAATTTACCCCCGGCTCTTTTTAAAGATGGTGGCGAGACTCTCACAATATCTCTAACTGGGTTGTTCAGGAAGGTATGGGAAACTGAGTGTGTATCACCAATGTGGATCGAAGCCATTATCATCCCCATTTTAAAAAAGAGTCGACGTAATTCGTGTGACAATCATAGGGGTATCAGTCTGCTACCAGTCGCGTCTAATATATTGGCTGCTGTCTTGCTTCGCAGGCTGTGCAAAATACGTGAGGGATTGATTCGCGAAGAGCAGGCTGTGTTTCGTCCAGGTTGTGGATGCATTGATCATGTTGTTCACCCTTCGTCAGTTGTTGGAACACCACCACACGTATTGCAGGACAACGATCTTTGTGTTTCCTGACATTAGGGCTGCCTTCGATTCGTTGGATAGAACTGTGCTCTGGAACTGTCTGTTAGAGAGAGGTGTACCTGAGAAGTTTGTTAGCATCTTGAAAGCCCTATACAGAAACAGCTCAGGTAGAGTGAGGGCATACAACCAACTATCATCACTGTTCCCAACCAACAGTGGGGTTAAACAGGCATGCCTAATCTCTCCATTTCTCTTTAACTTTGCCATCGATGAAATTCCGGAGTCAGCTTTGAAGGACGTAAGTGGTGGTGGTGTAGATCTGCTCCCTGGAGAGAGATTCTTCTACCTCGAGTATGCGGACGATATTGTCTTACTATGCGATAGCATGCAGGTTGTCTAAATCGCATTTATTAGTTTGGCGATCAGTGTCTGTGAATATAGTATGTGCTATGCGCCGTCTAAGTGTAAAGTAGTTACAAGATTGGCAGAAGTCTGTACTTCCACCCACCATTACAGGTGAACCACTTGATGTTGTTGATAAGTTTGTTTATTTGGGTAGTTGTGTGAGTGCTGGCGGAGGGGTGACGGATGAGATTTCCAACCGTATCATGGAAGCTAGGGTGGCATACATCAACTTGAGCCACCTCTGGCGCCATCGCGACGTTAGCCTGGCTGTCAAAAGTCGGGTATACAATGCTTCGGTGCGGGCTGTCTTGCTCTACGCCTGTGATACTTAGCCTGTCTGAGCTGAGGATGTGAGGCGACTCTGCGTGTTCGATCATCGCTGTCTCCGTAGGATTGCTTGCGTTCGATGGCATCATCGCGTGAGTAATTCTGAGGTTCGGCGGCGTGTGTTTGGACACAGTGAAGATCACCATTCGACGAGTGTCGTCATCTAAAAACACGGGCTTCAGTGGTTTGGACAGGTGCTGCGAATGTCATCCCAGAGGCTTCCGTTCTGGTCTCTGTTCGCTAACCCTGGGACGAGATGCAAAAAGCCGAGAGGTGGTTAGTCCATGACGTGGCGTCGTGGGATGAAGGATATTTGTACTTGGTTAGTATCGGTTGGTGCGTCACGTCTCCGTGGTTGGAGTCCGAGAGATAGCTCGAATTGATGGCTCGAAACGTTATTGGATATGGCCAAGAATAGTAATCAATGGCGAACATGCTGCAATTTCCTTCTTTCTTCCCTTCCTGATGATAGTCGACGAATACTGTTTGAACTTGTTAAACATAACTGTTTTCCTTCCAGATGAAGTTCTTTATCCGTTCCCTAGTTATATTTTTACTTTTAATCCATGTTGTTTTATTATTAGTGTGTGGTGTATCGTCTTGGTGCCATACTGTACCAAGTTTTTTCTGCTTTTAAATAAAATAAAATTTTAATAATTATTCAGTGCGTCTTAGATTATACCTATCATTTGGTTGTGTATCTCTATTACGGTTCATTTTCTGCCTCACCATTCTCCTTTACTCTGTCAGGTGTATGTAGAGAGCCATTTCTTATCCTTATCTTTTGGCTTGAAATGTCTGTACAGGTATACTTTTGCGTCGCTTTTAGAGAGCTCCAGTGTTGATTCACGCAGCTTTGCTAGGTGATGTAGCCTAATATCTTCGACTTTTTTGATGGCTACAGTGATGGTGTCTTTTTAGCATCATCCTTCACTTCTTGAGCGTTAAATATGAATTCTGCTATATATCTGACTTCTTTAAAGACTTTCAGCTTCCTTGCACCAGATAGTGGTCTAATCATTCGTCTACTCCTCGTTTCAACGTTCTTGAGATGAAATGGATAGGAATTCTGTAGGAATTTGTATGTGTACATCTCGTTTAGTGCACGTCACTTCTTATGTTTGTACAAGCTGCCTTCAATCACGAAGTCACTAAACACGCAGTCCACAAAGAGTTTTCTGTTCTTATTTATTTCAGTGAGATCGTACCAACCCATGATGTGTCATCTTCCTGTTTTTTACCTCTAATTCATCATTCCTATCACCCATTAGAATTTTGACTTCGCCATCTGACTGGTGGAATCTTGTCCATTATTGCTAACGTTTATCTGTTCTTCTCTTGTTTGTAGGTTTTCATATCGTGTAATTGTAACTTTCCTTCCTTTTGAGTTCAACCGTGCTGTGATTATTCTGGGGAAGATTGTTTCCGTCATCCTTAGAGTCTTCGATTATGTTGATGATATCATGATGGCCGCACACAGCGTGTTCGTTGTTGTTGTCTGTGTGTTTGGAGTGGATTGTTGACTCTCCATTCAACTAATTTGGAAGTTCCATTTGCATTCCCTCCGCTCTCACACATTCGTAGCAATTCTATACCTTATCTTCTCATTTCCTCTGAAATCTGAGCAGCCTTTCCAGTTTAAAACATGGTTTGGTTATTCCAAGGTCCTATGCTTTCTCTTGCTTTCATAGGAAGAAGACACATCGGCAGAATAGCTTCCCCAAAGGCTTCCACTCACCAGCATTATTCGTTCTCAAAATGACTCGTCTTCTTATTCCAGATGAGAATAAGTTTTGTTTTTATGTTTTGAAGTTTCAGCAGCGATAGTGTTCTTTTTTACGGATTGGGGTTTTTTAGCCTCTCAACCAATCTCCAGGGCTTATGATGGTCTTATAAATAAGGCGAACAACACAAACAAAGATGCGGAGTGTGGTGATAAAGAGAAAAATGATGCATAAGTTTATATGCGCCTCAATGTTTGGTCCTGAGACATATTATCTGGAGTCTGCAATCATAGGTTGCCCTTCTCTCCATCAAAGAATGTATACTACCTTACACGACTGATATTAACAGCTAGTACTTTTATGAGTTGGTAATAATTTTTTGATTATAGCTTGATTCCACACCGTATTTTTGCTACAAGTATGGAATTTTCAACATGTGATATCGGTAGCTCAAATTTTGCAGGCCGACCATTGATATCGGGTGTGCGTCGGCAGGGGGTCTGACTCCGCACCATGTGCATGGTCGGCCAGAGTCCTAACCGCTGCACCACCGACACACTAGTTGGTTTTTGTTTCCTTTCGACATCATCCTACTTTGACCAATACATCATACTGAAGAATTGATAATTAGTTGGGTATAATGCATGACCTTGTCATCCCACATGATGCCTTTCGGTAATCGATCATGATGCATATAGTTTACTAGTAAGGGTGGAATTAAACCAATGACAGTTACCACTACCGTGTAGGTCGTTTACATTTGGGGTCTGACTTTGAAGTCACACAGTCAGCTAAAAAGTTTGTAATGTCATTCAAGTTTATCTGTGACATTACCAGCAAGCTGACCATGCAGCCTTCTTTCAAGAGGAGAGATTAGAAAATGTTGGCCATGTACATTTTACGTCTGGATTATTCCTAGACAGTGTTTGGTGGCCGGTTATGTTTTGCGTTGGAATAAAGCTCCATGAATTCTGAAATTTTCAGTGAGGCCGAATTCGACTCGTATTCAACATTTATTGTCAGGTAAAGGTGATTTTTCTTCCTATGAGTTACTGTGAGAAGTCATCGTCTATCACTTCACTGACATCATACTTATGATCTTGACTGTTTTTGCATAGAATTCTTGTTTTACTCTTTTAATTACCTTCTGTTATGTACATCGTGAAACTTCTGGGATTTTTAATGCTCACTCTTTTCTTACTTTAGTGTAAGTCAGTTGTCTCGAAATTCTTATTGTCGAGTGGTACAAATCAAATCAAGGCTTTTCTTAATACACATATGGTCAAGCACCCCGTTGATGACAACAATATTCATGAAATCATTAAACATTGGATTGTTTTCACAAGAATTTGGGGTGGTTTGTCTAATTTCCGAAATCATACGAAGTAAGTTGATAGGTGACGGTATATTAGCACAATTTGTAGTGGGGTATAACTTTAATTACTTTTACCTTTGAGCTTGTTTTGGTTGAATCTGAACTACTGGCTTGTATGTGAAAGTGATTCTTCTACTTGCTGCTACGTACTTTTGGATGTTATGTTGTCTTTGCTTACCTCTTTTACTCCTCGTCATTCTTGTTGTAATTGCTACTCGTAAGTTTCTGTTGAGAAGGTTCCGTTTATCTGTGTATCGCCCTCGTCGGCAATCGTTGAAAGGTGTGTCTACAAACTTAGGGAAACTCGTAACCCATTCGTTACCTGAGTCCGCAGAGTGATATCAGAGTATCAAAGTCAAAGACATTACCACCAAGCTGTTGTTGTGATTTATTATTATTATAAAAACTAAAGATCGTAGCTGCTATCTTCAAAAATGTTAGAATCATGTACTTTCAGTAAATCCGTCAAGAAGAATATAGTAGTTAATTTTGTTCGAAGAATTTTGAAGAGCATCCATTGTTCACTTTTCCATTTACTCTTCATTTAGTTGTTTCATATAACGCGAATGGAGAGCGACGAGTTGGACTTTTATGTATGACAAGGCAAAGATCATGTGAAGAGAGACTGAAAGCTTATGGGGAGTTGTGGTACCAGATAACAGATTACTATGGAGATATGCTACTAAAGCCCTGTGTTCCACTCGGAGCGCATGGAGCGAATAATAAATAATAATAATAATCTGAAACAAACTTGGTATAATATTGGAACCAAGTGATGCACAACACTGAGTATTAAAAACACAGTGTAGTGAAAAAAGAAATAAAACAGTTGAGAAACGACAGATAAACTGCCTTATCAGCATAGAATTTTGCACTAAATTGCCTTAGTTAAAGAATCCACACTTCGAAATAGGCCGCAGCAAAGTAGAGAAAAGAAAATTAACCAACGCGCTACGTGTTGTCTAATTGGTCATCTTAGATGAAGAACAGCAGGTCAACTTCTGAAAGTAACTAACTAGTAACTCAAAACAGTACAGACTTAGATTTCAAAGAAATAGCCACCAACTGTCAAGTGCAAAAATACAAACCTAAAGATAATAACGATAGAATGAGACAGTTATATATATATATATATATATATATATGTATATATATATATACATAACAGTGACAATTAAATATTTCACAATAATTCAGTATCTAAAGTGACTGATACCTTGTTTCTTCAGGTAGTTTTAACTTTGAATGGCCAATATCAAGTTGAATCCATTATACTTGATATTGCGTAAGCTGTTGTCAGATGTTTAAGATTTTGTTTTATGGACTAAGGCATGTACTATATATTTTGAAATTAGATATATACCGGTTGAATTACAAAGTAATGATTCATTGGAGTTTTTTCAAGTTGTAAGTTTTGAATTATGAAACTGCACAGCGGTAATTTCATTGTAAGAAGTTGTTGAGATATCCACTGTTTCATTTGTGACTCCCTATTGATTCATTCAATCTCCTTCAAGGTGCAAATCGGAAACAGTTGATCATGTCAAAGATTTGATCCTTTTTCGCTTGTTGACTTCCACTTAATTTGGGTGGAGATTAACTTATGATAAAGTTAGAATACTTACCAGATATTCGAGAGGTCCTTGTTGGTTTCCTGGATAACAAACTCCTAAAACCTCTCCTAGTACACTGGTTGGTATTGAGCCCAGGAAGGTAAGAAGGTTTGGCGTCAGGTTAACGACCCCGCCCTGAAAAGTATAACATCAAGGTCACTTAGACTAGGAAGAGGGTGTATTGATCATATCTTCACTCTTCGACAGATTCTAGAACATAGGCATACTTACAGGCGTTCACCAATCGTTATATTTCTTGACCTAAAGGCGGTATTCGGTTCTGTCGACCAAGAGGTACTATGGCGATGGTTGGCTGCAAAGGGAATGCCGAGAAAATACATTGCACTGATCAAGGCACTCTACTCGAACTCATGCAGTCAACCAGGTGAGAGCTTATGGTGAGTTGTTGCTTGAAGTGGTGACAACCAGTGGTGTCCGTCAGGGATGCCCACTGTCCCCATTTCTATTTAGTTTCATCATAGATATACTAATGGAGTTAACCCTAACTGACTTCAGCAACTCGAGGATTGACTTGTTACCAGGAAATAATCTCGTTGACTTAGAATATGCAGATGATTGTAGTCTTCCCTCCTAGGTGAAGACGCTGACAAGATGCAGAGTCTTCTGAACGCTTTGAGCTGCAATGTGAGGATGTTCGGCATGCGATTCGCTCCTACTATCGAATGTAAGATGATGCTACAGGACTGGACTACATTGATTCCTAGCTTAAAGCTAGGGAGTGAAGTGGTAGAGCGTGTTGACCACTTCACTTATTTGGGAAGTTGCATCAGCCCTAACAGACTGATCGCTGACGAAATCTCAACACGGATACAGAAGGCTCGTTTCGCATGTGTCAACTTACGCCATCCTGGTGTAGACATGATATCCAGCTATCGACCAAAGGGCGTGTGTACTGCTCAACAGTCCTCTCCGTCCTCCTTTATGGCTGTGAGACATGGTCATAGAAGGTGGAAGACATGAAAAGGCTAGCTGTCTTTGATCATAGGTGCCTGCGTTCTATCTCCTGTGTGAAGTGGTATAATAGGGTGAGCAATATTGAGGTGAGGCATCGGTCGAGTGCTAGGTAAGGAGGGGAAATCAATCGACGAGACTGTTAAGCTACATCGACTGAGATGGTTAGGATATGTGTTACGTATGCCTAGCCATCACCTTCCTCGACGGGCAATGTTAGCTGACATAGGATGGATCAGGTTGGATAAGAGTTAGCCAGTGGTGGTCAAACCAAAACATGGCATCAGTCAGTGAAATCCACAACAGTTAGTTTAAGTGACGTAGGAAGGTGTAGACTTCCTGGTTGGGGTCCTCGAGACGGTAGAAACCAATGGCTAGAGACAATCGGTGATATGGCAAAATCGTTCTCACTGGCGCAGATGCATTCACTCTCTGTGATTTATAGTATCCAATAAAACTCCATTGTTCTTCCACATCACTATTCTTTTTGCCTCATATTTCTGTTTATTATCTCTCCTTTGGACCTCTCTTAACTCTCTTCACTTGCTTTGTGTGGTACATAGAGGGAGTGTTGCAGCTCGAACTGGTGCATATCTGTGCAAAGTTCTATGTTGAAACCAGTCAGTCATCAAGGACACTAAATCTGCTAAAGGCCGATACGTTATGTTGCGCATAGAAATCCAAATGAAGAATGAATCAGATGATAAATGACGATGTACATTCCCCTTGTGTTTCATTATTAAGTTGTAGTAAATTTGATTAAGTTTTAGGGACTTCTTACGGAGTATCTTTCAGTAAATCTTGAGTTCAGAAATACTCCTAGGTGAATGGTCCTTTGACTTGAAGAGTAGAACCAGTATATTTTTTCGTTTCTGTCAAATTGTAAGCATTTTATTAGTAGATAATGCATTATTGTTTTTGAATAAAATAAATATTTTTTTTCTGCACTTTCAGGTTAAAAGATCTTATTCAAAAGTTATCGGCGCAAGCAGTTCACACAGTATTTAACCAGCTTTCTAAAACAGTTCAGTTTACTCAAACATCAACTTTAGTTGATGTGAAAAAACTTGCTTTGACTTATTTTGGTCTCCGTTTATTATCCAAAGCTGTCATCACTATTAAAAGTAGGTCAAATACAAAGAGTTGCTATGTTCAAGTCCAGTAAAACATAAGCATAACTTGTACACTTTCCAATTCAGCATTATTTTAAGAATATGATTTATTAAAAATGCCTACTTCTTTTAGTGGTAATGACTGTTCAAGAGTTTTATATGTTACATACGCAGAGTGGAAATGTTTTTAGCAGTTGAGTCTATTAGCCCGTGTTGAAGCGTTCACATATGATCTTTCAGTAAAGCAGTTTTTAAGGAGGAGGAAGACTGTAAGTGTAATGGGGCACAAAACGAAAATGGCAGTGTGGAATGGTAAAAGTGTTCACCAACCATGTATATTTGTCTCTGTTTGTTCTGTTAAAAAATGACTCGGAAATGTTTGCTCCATATTAAACTCTGTAGTGCGAAATTTGGGTATTACAGAAATTCAGACTTTCTCTCTATAATCTAGCTTAATTATCATTACACTAGGAACAATGAATGATAGGAAAGTTAGTCAAAATGTTTTCATGTATCCACTTCAGCTTTATTATAGAGCTGTACATTAATTATTCAAACATGACTCTAAGTCATAAATTCACTGATCAAAACGCATTTTACATACTAGAGTCTGAAAATGCATTGGTAAGCACTTGTTTACATTTTAGTGTGATGCACTTCTGTAAAATGTAAGGTGTTTTTGCAGGATTAGTCTGCATTGACTCCTAGTTTGAAGATAAGCAGTGGATGGAAACCGCATTAGCCGTAATGGACTGATTACTGACGATATCTAACGATATATAAGACTCATGCGGTGTTTTCCAACTTAGGTCATTTGTGGTGTGAGCATGATATCCGGCTACCGAACAAAAAATGTGTACTGTTTGACAGTTGGTTTCATCTTTTATGACTATGAAACTTGGCCGTTGTAAGTGAAAGACTTGTGGAAGCTGGTTGACTCCAACTATACATGTTTGCCTTCTGTCTGTGTGAAAACAGGATATTACTTTATGAAAGAAATAACTTACATTGTATTATATGAGTGTATTCAATAAAATGTCCTGTAAGATAGAGTAGTTGTTCAAGTTTTAGTATAAATTTTCAATTAACTTTATAGACTGTTTTGTCTCATTGGTTTGTGAAATATCTATTTACTAGCATTCTATTGGTCTTGGCTTCCAATTTGTTCTCTATTTACATTTTTTTAATTTTAGAGTTTAGTTGTTATGATACGTCAGTACTGCATTTATTGGTCAATTGGCTGAAAAATTTAAGGGTAATTCAAATTACTTTATTTCTGTTTACGTATTTAGTATATAAGCTGTGTCAGAAATTTAGCTGTTTCAGTAAATTCTGAATATCATATCTGTTTTGACTTTGATATGAATGGCTATTCCAGTCATGAGGTATTTTCTAGGATTTTGGTTTTGATGCAGTAGATAGCGAACGTCGCTTCGTCTACTGAGTTTTGAAAAACCTAGTGGAGACTGTTGCCGTAGGACCTGACATCGTATCATTGTAGTCAAAGTTGCCACATCTCATATTCATACATCAAGCAGGCAATTAGATGGTAGACAAAAAAGGTAACAAACCAATCTAACATATTAAAATGTTTTAATGCAAAGGATGAAACAAACGCGTAACACTGAAGAAGATGAAGCCGAAATTCATCTGAGTCTCTGTATGAGGTGTACTACTTGGAGTCTGCAACCTTAGGCTTCTGTGATCACACTGCGGTAATTTCCCTACACAGTCAATGTCTTCCTGGGATGGTATTGTGCGAGTTTGGTGAGTTTTTTATCTAAATTCATAAAAGACAAATTGACGTAATTCTTTGAATGTCAGTTTTGTTCTGGTGACTATTAGAGGAATAAAGACTGTCGATTTCTGTCTGTTGGGCTTTCTTCAGCTAGATGTAGGTACATTTCAGTGATTGATCTTTTTTCTACTAAGGAGCGTTATGAGTATTTTTAAAAATAATGTAATAATAATTAAATGGATGTGCATTAAACTCAGTTTGGAGAACGTAGTTTTAGAGATATGTAGATAAGTGTTTTTACATCAATCAGTTCGATAAGGTCTCTTAATGGTAAGTTGTACTTGAGACGTCATGTGAAAATAAAAATTATTTAACTGTATAATAAAACTTGACTTTTGGCCAGTGGGTACCCGACTCGAACCCCTCTCCATTTACAATAGTTTCTGATCAAGTCTAATTTTAAGTGTTTTGTGTTTTTCTTCTACTTTCAGACACAAGTTGCATGTGATAAAAGGTATTGGGTATATTTATGTGGAGCCACTATATCACTATTATGTTCGTTACTATTTTGGTTTTCATCTGTGAATACAATTTCTGTAGAAGAATTATCTGGATATTTAGTTGACCTTATCATTAGTTATGTACCACTAGATAAGGAACATATCAACCTGTGGTTGTATGATCTACTTGTCGAAGTACCGAGGTTATCTGCGGATTCAAGTTTTGGTGTTGCAGTTAGACAACACGTATTTGTTAAACTATTCGAGTAAGCTTTATTGATCCGTTTTGCCTCCAAAATTTTCCATATTTGTGTCAAGTTTCCCTATTAATTCATGTGCATATCAATGCATTTTTTGCAATATATATATATATATATAATGTAGGGTGGTTGTGTTTTTCGTAACTCCTTATGGTTGGTGTTTTCAGAAAAGAAATGTTCTATGAGACGAAATGCTGAATGAATAAGAAAACATGTATCATGTTAACCAGTTAGCAGAGTATCTGTAATATCGTTTCCCAAAATGAGTCGTCTATTCAACTGACTACATACCACGCAAAGTTTTCACTTATATCATGTAGTCTTTCTAAATGCCTAAATTTTCGACAACTTTTGAGACTTACATCACTGTCAAGATAAAACTTCCAGTTATGGAAGTTTTTTGTAATAACTACTGTTTCTGTCACTCTCCTTTGACCATAACAAAATGACACGTAAACATCCTATTATATTTATTTATTTTAGAAAAGTGAAAACTAACCGGTTTATGACAAAATCGACTATTCTCCTTCTATATCGTCTGTCAGCCAACATTTTATGCATTCTTAACAACTGCCCTGGTAATCCATCCTTATACTGTACAAATAACCACAATGGACCTGGTTTATTGAACACATCAACAGATAACCATGTTAAAAACGTAGAGAACTTGTCCTTAAATCATCATGTTGAATTTTTATTCTACTTATATGATAATCATGATATGGAAAAAGCTGTTGAAGGTAAGACTTCTTGGTTCTCGCTATGATCTATGCAGTAATATCGTAGTCAGAAGAGTTACTTAACTCAAAGGTGTTTTTTGTATAACTTCTCTAGTATTGATGAATGATTTCGCTGTTTATTTGGCATCACATATACAATGGAACTTCTTATCTACTGATCAAATACGTTTGTATTTTACTATCATCTTGAAGAATTTGCATCGGTTTACGCCGCATATCATTCGGTAAAGTTTACCTTACCATATTCATATTTCATTGTTTTATCTATTGAAATATTATTTTACTTTTCGACAATTTTAGTCAGTGTAATTACCTATAAAAATTATTCATAAAAATTGATAAACTTATTAACAAAAGGTATAACTAAGTGTCCTTGTTTGTCTTTCTAAATCGTCTCTATGGTCTTGTGTAGTCTTTTTTTGAACAGGGAATGAATGCATCATTTCCATTAAATATCATAGGTGTAGTTAATGCGTTTTCAGTGCTTTCTTTGTTATCCCTAAGATGCTGAATCTGCGTACTTAATCTGTTTATTACTGTGATAGGTTAATTGATTACTTTTCATTTGTTTTATGATGTCCTTTTTGTTTCCTGTAGTAGGGAATTCTACAGACTTTCGTGGTCTTGTTTTTAAGCTTCAGTTGATTAAGGCCTTATTTTTATTGAAATGCAAACGTTATTTTGTTTAACAATGGTAGGGTTAGGAGTGCCTTATCAGCTTATGACATTTCTCTCCTGAAAAACAATCCACTTACCCTTAAACTCCATCCTACTGATGTGAAAATATCAAGAAAGAATGCAAAAAGTAAGGAGGGGTATCACCCAATTTTTTAGGAATCTAGAAGGCAAAAGGAATGGATGGCATTGCAAGTAATGGAATACTAAATTGTAATCAAGAATTAGGTAACTTCTCAATACATCTACCATCGTATAACTGCTCGCTAAATAAATTCCCTACCAAGTTCCTCTGTCTTGAGGAACGACGTGGCTCAAAGAAACGGTGATTGGTTTTATGGATTAGTTGTGGGTCTATGGATTATTGGTTTCAGAACCCTGAATTTTTACTACTGCTTTTGTGAATCGGGTCCCCACTTCACCTGATATTTGAGCGCTCAGTGTCATTATTCCACATGGAATGGATGGGTGGTGGGGTCTTACAATGATATCTCAGTACATATAACTAATTGTTTCTGTATCTCTGATTTCTTCACTAGTGCCAAATGACCAGATATCAGAGTGTGAACTGTTGGTCTAAATGCTTATATTTTAAATGGAAAAGTAGCAAGTCATCCAAGGATAACTGCGATTGTAGGGAAGAATAGATATCGAATGGATGAATGACAGGTGAATTGTTGCTGTTTGTGGAAAGATATTAAATGCAATATTTGAAAACATTCAAATACGTACTGATATCATTCAGAGTCTATTATTTCATCTCATAAGTAAAAGAAGTATCAGTAATTTATTTCTCCGTTCTTTTTGTTTTTTCATCCTAATAATTAGGAAGATTTTTGGTGATGCTTCTTGCAATTTATCCAAAGCTGATCTAAAGTCATGGTTATTTGTGCATAAGTCTATTGTGGAATTCTTATGCATCCAGTCGAACGAAAACTCAACTAATTTCTCCATTGTAACTCTAAGTGAATATCATACTATGATATATGGTGCTTTAGGGTGTTGTCTAGCTGACCGATATGCTGATTTCATGTTCAGTCAACAATTGCATATTGATAGTCATGAATTTTTTTGTGGACGTATGTCTAGCGAAACTTTGTCGACCGGTTCACCAAATGTTACATCTACCCAACTGATTGATTTAGTTGTTTCAATTCTGTCAGCCCTATGCCGATTGGGTTTGTTGCATCAGTATATGCATCCAATGTTTGGCGCAGTTTATGCACAGGTGAGATGTATTTTATTGACAGAAATAAAAAGATAATTTTACTATTTTAGTCTTGATAATAGTTTTGAGCCACAATGCTAATCTCTTGTAATACCTCCGTTTGTTTATTCCTTATTGGTACTGATTGCAAAATGTGTTTTATTTCATTGTATACAATACTGCACAGCTTCGACATACTGTGTATTAGACGAGTTTTACTGCTGTACTTTATTTATTCATGAATAATTCCCACGACCTGAGCTTGCTCTTGATTCCAGTTTACAAAAACCATATTTCTGTTTTAAGCAGTTTGAGAAATTACCTCAGCAACATGTAAACAAATTACAGTTCAAAAATAGGAGGCATTTTAAAAGTATCTGTTTATATTCTCGTGTACGATATCCTAATTCTTTGTGTACTGAATGTGACCAAAATAAAATAATGATACAAACAATGGATTTGGTCGTTTAATTTTTAGTTACAGTTTGGTATTTTCATAGACAAAGTTTTTGAAAGATTCACATCACCACTTATAGTTAAGGTACCTCGATTTCTTCTACTTTTTGTCACATCTGTTGAAAATTATCAGAAAAAAGTATCCTCATCATAACTCTCATTTCTGTGTTCTTCAAAATAAATTTGGTCTACGAATCTAGAATATTCTATGTATATAAACATACATATAATTGTAGAGCCACAAGGGGAAATTATCGAAAAGAATGCTCATTGCTCAATTATTTTGTGTTTTAAATTTGGTCTGACGATTTATGATGTGCATTGGTGAAAAACTTATCGATGCAATTCAAGACACAATTTGAAACATCTGTAGTATGGTGCTGTACATTTTGACAATCATCCTCCTTTGCATCCTTTCTTTCTTATTGAGGATAGTTAAGCGTGAACATTCTGAATATCTCAAATGATGTAAAGTTACGACACTCAATGCATTACTGTAATACCACCTGCTACTTAAGCTTTTGTAGTAATATGTCCAACAGAGGGAGAGATAGATTGATATAATTGGCCGTTTTATTTTTATTTTTCCTTCTGTTTCTCCGTTATTCGGAAAGTTATTTTTTGATTGGTTTACTTGTAGATTCAAAGTATTATCTCACTACTTCGTTTGCCAACTGCACAAGTTTTACGACTTGGTGATCATCAATTGGCCCAGGTAAATTTTTTAAATGCATTTGTATTGTGGATTTATCGGTTTAAATTTCTCCAATTAACTCAGAACTTCACCTACGTTACCTCCACGCTAGTTTTCTGACCGATCCCAAGCCCGGGTAACGAGGTAGGGTTGGGCGTGCGGTTAAGGGATCTAACCTGGAAAACCAATCAGACTGCTACGTAAACTTCAGTGCACAAGAAAAATATTGAAAATATAAAAGACAAACTTATTCTTTGCTAGAATCGGAGAGGCGAAATGACACAAACTGGTGAAAGCCTTCAAGAAGCCAGTCAGCCAGTCGATGTGTCTTCTATCGATCAAAGCAAGAATAAGAATGGGGACATGGAATGTCCGTACAATGTACAAGGCTGCCCAGGTAGGCAAAGAAATGAAAAGATATCTTATAGAACTACTCGGAATCTTTGAGAGTAGATGGAATGGATGTGGACTATCGAGTCATTAATCTACTCCGGTCGCCCAGATGACAACGAAAAGCATGCAAACGGAGTGGTTATCATGGTGTCACTAATAGAAGCCGAAGTTCTTATTCAGTGGGAACCAGTATTCACAGGGATAAAGATAGTAGGACTCAACTCAAAAGGGAGGAAGCTTACAATCGTCCGATGCTACGCGCCTACAAACAACTCAGAACAAGGATAACTGCAAACAGTAATTGACAACATCTCAAATGGTGACATCAAAATCCTAATGGGCAATAAGAATGTCAGCTAAACTGGGAGCAGACAATACAGGAAGCCAACTAACTCATCATGGTTCAAGAGGCTCTCTCTCGGAGAAGTGAATGACAACGGAGAACTCTTCACAGACTTCTGTGCTGTCAATGCTCTAGTGATCGGGGACAGCGTATACAAGCACAAGGATGTACACAAAGCAACATGCGTTTCGCCGGAAGGATACGCCACGAAACAGATAGACTTCATCTCAATGTTGCTCAAGGAGGTGGAGATCAGCTAGCCTGCTGGACACAAAGTCGAGAAGGGGAGCAGATGTGGACTCTCACCACTGTCTGGTTCGGGGAACCTCCAAGGTGGAGCTGAAATCCCTCAAAACAACTGGAGACAGACCACAACTCAAGTTCAACACGCAGAAAGTGAAGGACAAAAGTACATGGGATACCTTTACTACAGATCAGATGAGATCAGATCGGAACAAACTCGGAGACACTACGCGTTATCACTGAGGACACCTGTGTGGAAGAACATCGGAACTAACTGTCTGAAGGTGATGTTCAAGGAAACGTGTACAACTGTTCTAGGAAGAAAGAAGAGACACAACAGGGAATGGCTGCCAACGGACTTCTACCTAGAAGCTAATCGAGGAGAGGAGAGGAGGATGGGGAAAGAGAAGATGACTCAATGCAGAGATGCACAACAGGAGAAGAAGAAGCTGAGTTCAGTGTACACTGTGCTGAATGGAAAAGTGAAGAAGAGTGCTACGAGAGACTAAAGACAATCCTCCGACACACTCGCCGGAAGCTGAAGTAGAACGGGCAGGTGGGCCGCTGGTGAAAGAGACCTCAGGACATTATATCAGATAACCAGACTGCTCGCTTTTCACGAAGAGATCAACCCAGATGATGAAAACTGTAAGAGACGTTCGAAGGAACCTGATTACCGAGGAGGAGAAACAAATGAAACAGTGGGCTGATCACTTCAAAGGACTCTTGAATCAACCATCATCTGCAACTCGCTCAGAAATACACCACCACTAGCATGCACAGAGCTGCCTCCCAGTGGACACCAATCCTCCAACGAAAGCAGAAATCTTGAATGCGATCAACCTACTGAAGTCCAGCCGAGAAGGCAGCAGGACCAGACAGAAATTTCCCCTGCCCCAGAAGCACTGAAAACGGACCCAGAGACTGCGGTATCTGTGCTCACGCCATTACTACTAAAGTTTTGGAAATCAGGAAAGGTGCCCATCAATTGAAAGGAAGGCTAGCTACCTTGTCAAGATACCAAAGAAAGGCGACTCAGGCCTCACTCTGCAAGAACTGGTGTGGAATAATGCTGTTGTCCACGCGAAGTAAAGTACTAAGTCGCATCATCCTGGAGAGAATAGAAAATGCACTGGATGCAGAACTCCGCCCACCAGAACAAGCTGGATTCAGAAGAGGCAAATCATGTGCTGATCAAATTGCAGGTATTCGCACCCTCATCATCGGATGGAGTATAGAATGTTAGTCAAATCTCTACTTCAACTTCATCGACTTCGAAAACGCCTTCACCAGACAGCGTCGAACGAGAAGTTATTTGGAAACTGCTTCAACACTACGGCGTGCAGTGCCCAAGTCTCCGTCAACCTCATTCAACAGCTGGCTACATGACAGTGCAACGGAAAACTCAGAGAAGCCTACCTTTGGAGTGAATGCAGGAGTAAGAGAAGGCTGCCTATTATCACCGATGATGTACTTAACTGCAGTGAACTGGACTATGCATCAGACTGTGTATGGGGAGTGAGAAGACAGGAATACGTTGGAGTGACCGATAAGAAGACGTGGATTTGACGCGTGGATGATTTATGTCTAATGTCACAGAAAGTCGAAGACTTAGAGGCAAGCGAGAAGCAACCAACTGTCTGAAGAAACAGTGCGAGAAGACGGGACTGCAGGTGAACACAGAGAAGACGGTGAAGATAACCAACGAACAGCAACAAGCACCAATCACCAACAACGGGAGAGATTTGACAGAGGGTTCTTCCTTCACTTATCTAGCCAGGAAGCACTGTTTCAACCACAGGCAGGCGAAACGGATGAAGATGTCAAAGCCAGATTTGTAAAGACAAGATGCGTCGTCATCGACTTGAAATCAGTTTGGAAATCTTCCGCACTCAGCCAGTATAAAGAACAGGATTAGGATTTCCAACACTGATGTGAAGTCAGACAGTTCTTCTATATGGATCAAAAAGTTGGCGTGCTTGTCACGAAAAGGATTTTCAACAGGTTGCAAATTTTTATAAACAGCTGTCTTCAATGGCTCCACATTGAAGGTTGAATGGCCGGCGAGAAGGAATTTGTAACAAGAAACTCTTGCAATAAACAAGCCAACCAAGGTCCGATTGCTCAACAAATGTGTAGGAGGAAATGGAGATGGATTGGGCACACATCTAGGAGACTGTCGATTGATAGCGCGCTCAATGCAGGCCATCACTCCAGTTGAATCCCAATGAGAAACGACGAGTGGGTCGTTCTAGGGTTATATGGAGGAGATCGTGCGACAAATAGATGAGGGAGTTTGGTCAAATGTTGACCCAGCTGAAGAGGACGGCAGAAGACAGAACAAAGTTCAGATGTGTAGTTGTAGCCGTATGTTCCACTCGGAACGCGAAGGAATAATAATAAGTTCTCAATTATTCTGGTTTCTAATCGCGTGTTAATCATGCAACAAAATGACCACCGACAAGTGTGGAGGAACGACTAGCCACCCCTAGCTCCCTTTTTGTCCTCCTCAGAATGCTCCCCAATTAAGCCATCCTTGTCTTTAATTTCATAACCGTGCAGCTGTTTGCTCATTATGTTATTAATTCCCCAATCTGACTTTAAACTAATCAAATCCCTTCAAAACAATACTTGAAAAATAATTTAATTTTCACTACTGACTACAGGATGAAGTCTTTAGCGATTCTAGCGAGAAGTCACCAACCGTGTTCGCCAAGTAGATTGAGAGGGTAAACGCTCTGCGATGATATTAGCTGTCTTTTATCATATGTATCGCAAATTCGCAGGAGTTAAAATTCATGGACCACGAGATCCCGTCCCAGTAGCTGATGGGCACGCCTCGTAAGCAAATGGTCCATCGTTCGATTCCCGGTGCATACGACTGAAAAGTACCAGTACTCCTTTGTTTTCAGTGTTTATCTAGCTGATGTTAGTGATCTGACTTGAACCCAATATTTCAGTATACCTTTTGAAACCAATTCAATCTTTGCTTTGTTATGTCCTCCTTATTTATCAACCTATCGTTTTGAAATATTTCGCTCCCACTATATGTCATCAATGAGTCACCGTTTTCATAATTGATTCTGTTGTTTGTAAACTATGCCTAGCGTAATTGTTATGCTCTGTAATATATTATATGATTAATTCTTTTTACTCGTGCCCACTTCATTAATTGCATCATACATTAGAATCTTTCGTTAGATTATTCTTTTTATTTTAGGTTATTGTTGAGCATATGGATCAGTCCGTATTTCAGACAATGGAAAGTCTTTCTAGACTTTTTCGTGTTGAGAAAAGGATTTTAATTAAAGTAAGCTCTCTAGATATATTTTCGTGTTGACAGATTATGTGAAAAATATCGCCTTGTAATTTTTAAGAAGTGTTTACTGCATTTCACTATTATTTGGATTACCAGCAACATACAGGAAAACCTGTTAGGTTGTCATAATGGTCAATAGACAATGATAGACTTGCTTTCCTGTTATCTGATTAATATATGTCATTATTTTTTGTAGGAACTTATTGCTGCTTTGTTCATCGCATTGGTTTTACGCGGGAATCAAGAAAGTCATTTAAGAATTAAACAGCTTGTTTCAGAAGTACCTTATTTAGACAATAAACAGGTAAACATACCAGTCATGTCTTCAACTGCGTGTCTCTTTCTGTATTTCCGTTTTTCTCACCTTTGTTGCATCCTAATCATAAGGAATATCTGTGCTAAATGAATCATACAATCTCATATCGTTTCGTCTTCCGTTTGTTTTGACCAACTTTACAAAATTGCAAAATGCATTATAGGAGTAGGATTACTGATCTACTTTAATTGTCCTCTTATACCTCGATAATACTTTCATAATACAATAACATTCAACTGATAATCGGAAATTAAGATTGTTATATAAAATTTTTTGCTTGGTTTAAGATAATCAGGATAATTTTGTAAAGGCAGGTCTATTTCTTTAGTAGGAAGCTTATTATTATTATTATTATTATTATTATTATTAAACTATGAAATGTGTACAATGAATTCAAGGGAAAAGAAGTAAATCTTTGCCACTACTTAAGTAATGTCCAAGCTCTGCAAACTAAGATGCGTCAAAATTTATGATACATTCTATGCAAATTTTTTATTATTCCTTTAGGTTCTTAGTGGGACATAAGGCTACAGCAGCACATCACCACTATACTCTGTTCTGTGCATCATTTCTAGCTAGCTCCATGATTGACCATAAGCTTTCATTTCCTCCTCACTTGGATGGACATCTCAACAGCTTCCCATTTGGGTTTCACTCAAGGACCTGTTACCCAATAGTCTCCTTGGCGTATGCCCAGTCTATCTGAATTTCGTTTTGCATATTTGTTAGAGAATAGGTTGTTGGCTGGTTCGTTGACTGCCGGAGTTCCTTTTTGCTTGTTCTTTCTAGTCGGCACTAGACATAAATCACTCACTTTTTGGGTCGTTTTGTCGGTGTATCGTATGTTTGTCTTCTTACTCCTCATGGTTTATCGCATGATCCAATCCATCACATTCGAATGGCATGCGTCACTTTGATAATTATATTACAATTACAGTTCGTTTTCCCCTATAATGTACTACGGGCCATATGGGGGTTTCTGTCGTACAACTTACACAAACTCTAAATTTTAAGAATTTTGCTTCAATGAACCAAATGACTTTCTTATGTATGCTTTTTTTACTATTTGACTTATAGGAGTATGTTGCCAAAATTGTTCAATTGTGTGTACTACCAGAAATTTTAGTTTACATTTTCACGCGTACTTCGAAGGAGGATCAAGCTGTTCATCTGGCATTTCTTGAAGTAATCATTATATTTTCAAATTTGTTTGTTACATATAGAATGATCTGACGGATCCAACTCTATTTGTTGTAATTGTTTTTAAGTGAAAATAGATTTTATGATCAGACAAGAGAAAGCGTGTATTTAAATGATTTTGACATGAGGTTTACAATTTTTTCTCTCTTCTCGACAATATTTATTTCGTGTAGTCATAAGACAGAAATATAGTGTCATTTTGGTTATTTAGTGGAGTGAGCTACTTAACCACTCAGCTAACAGTGAACTGCGCCTTTTTTCTCTCCAATTATCTTTAATACTTGACTTTCGATTAAAAGATTATGCGTTTCGGATCCCCTCCTCCTACTCCCGTTCAATCGCGTAGTTTTTCTGTATTCAATATTATTTATAGACCACTACTTAGTAGTAGGTACGTATATTTGTTTAGCTAGTTATCAAGCGTATTTTGATCGCAGTAGCCTGTGTATTCTCTCTTCAGCTGCCTCTTGGATGAATGACGATATAGTGTAAAAAATTACTAAGATCCATTCTTGAACTCGTAAAAAAGCATTAATACTGAACTATTTTGGTATTTAAATAAGATAATATTGACAAATAGTAACTTACATTTTAGTCCTGACTTGTATTACATTAATTTTCATTGTGAAAAAATATTTGAACGTTTTTTTTTTGTGAGTATAAGTGATTGGTAGAATTTAATTAGTTTTTCTGAGACTTTCATCTTTTCAACTTTCAGACGTAAATGAATGCCAACTATTCATTATTTTTATAAGGTCATAAAACCTTAATTTTTCATCCTCTAAGAAAATTATTTGTTTTTCGCAGGCACACCTCAGTATGTCTATAGAGCGTATAGCTCGACTGAATGACATTTCTCGTCTTATGCATCAGTTTATCCTTCGACTTTACCCGTATCGTGTAGGAACATGTTTAGGTCTACGTTGGGTATCCTCTCTGATTCTTCCACAGTGTGGGAGCGGAACACAATCTTCGGGGCTTACACCTATTGCTGGGAGAAATTTTGTCTTGGTAAATACGACGTTTTTTGTTTGTTCTATTTTTTCTGAGTATATATTCGCTTTAGATTAATGCGAAGTATTCAGTTTTGTGTGGGTTTACTTTCATACTGTGATGGTCCGTTTTCTCACTTAGTTGTGGATTCTCCAAAATGCACCTAGACTATTTATAGGCGCTTTACAAATGATTATTTATGAATATTATGTGAAGAATGATGGTATATTAATGCGTAATGATGTAACTCAAATCACGAAAAGTTGATTAACAGCTGACAATATCTCAAATTCTCTGTTCGATAACAAAATTATAAGTGATTTTAAGACTGATTCGCCGTACCATGTATTCTAATGTAAAATATATCTATCGTTTATACCTCTCTGCCTACACATTAGTATATGTAGGCAGTTTCAAGACTTTGATGAAGTTGTTAAACCAGTCTTAATTCGAACAATATATTTTTTCTGATAATACATATGTGTATCCATGTGCTCTTCATTTTGAGGTGAAACTTTTCTGACTCCTATAGGTGTGAATATACAAACTTTTTCCATGCTGTTAAGCGCCTGTACATTCGACACTGTTTTCAGTTAACTCAGTGTATCCTTAAAACAGTTGTCTTAAGTGAGTGGATTACTTATTTTAAACATTCACATCTCCAGTTACAAGTTCTCTTCATTATTTCTGTAAATTACCAATAACGTGCAAAGCTTTCTTTTTTTAATTTTCTATACCAAATATGGGAAATTATTGTACTGTTTATTTGACTATCTCTGTCTTACATCAAATTTAATTTTTGCTGTATTTTGGTTATTTTTCATTTAGGCTGATTTTCTAGGACATTATGTTTGCGGAATATTAGCATTTTTCGATAACATGCTACTTAATGATGATGTTATACTTGAACATCGTTGGACAGCTTTACGAAGTTTAGTTGTATTCATACAGCTTCTTGGTCCAAATCATGTTACTCGCATGAGGGCAAAATTTATGGCTAATCTTAAGTGAGTTCAATGTGTGTACACTGAAATATAATTTTTTCATTTATTTAAACGCAGAAAAAACTTGGTACAGTATGGCACCAAGACGATACACCACACACTAATAATAAAACAACATGGATTAAAAGTAAAAATATAACTAGGGAACGGATAAAGAACTTCATCTGGAAGGAAAACAGTTATGTTTAACAAGTTCAAACAGTATTCGTCAACTATCATCAGGAAGGGAAGAAAGAAGGAAATTGCAGCATGTTCGCCATTGATTACTATTCTTGGCCATATCCAATAACGTTTCGAGCCATCAATTCGAGCTATCTCTCGGACTCCAACCACGGAGACGTGACGCACCAACCGATACTAACCAAGTACAAATATCCTTCATCCCACGACGCCACGTCATGGACTAACCACCTCTCGGCTTTTTGCATCTCGTCCCAGGGTTAGCGAACAGAGACCAGAACGGAAGCCTCTGGGATGACATTCGCAGCACCTGTCCAAACCACTGAAGCCCGTGTTTTTAGATGACGACACTCGTCGAATGGTGATCTTCACTGTGTCCAAACACACGCCGCCGAACCTCAGAATTACTCACGCGATGATGCCATCGAACGCAAGCAATCCTACGGAGACAGCGATGATCGAACACGCAGAGTCGCCTCACATCCTCAGCTCAGACAGGCCAAGTATCACAGGCGTAGAGCGAGACAGCCCGCACCGAAGCATTGTATACCCGACTTTTGACAGCCAGGCTAACGTCGCGATGGCGCCAGAGGTGGCTCAAGTTGATGTATGCCACCCTAGCTTCCATGATACGGTTGAAAATCTCATCCGTCACCCCTCCGCCAGCACCCACACAACTACCCAAATAAACAAACTTATCAACAACATCAAGTGGTTCACCTGTAATGGTGGGTGGAAGTACAGACTTCTGCCAATCTTGTAACTACTTTACACTTAGACGGCGCATAGCACATACTATATTCACAGACACTGATCGCCAAACTAATAAATGCGATTTAGACAACCTGCATGCTATCGCATAGTAAGACAATATCGTCCGCATACTCGAGGTAGAAGAATCTCTCTCCAGGGAGCAGATCTACACCACCACCACTTACGTCCTTCAAAGCTGACTCCGGAATTTCATCGATGGCAAAGTTAAAGAGAAATGGAGAGATTAGGCATGCCTGTTTAACCCCACTGTTGGTTGGGAACAGTGATGATAGTTGGTTGTATGCCCTCACTCTACCTGAGGTGTTTCTGTATAGGGCTTTCAAGATGCTAACAAACTTCTCAGGTACACCTCTCTCTAACAGACAGTTCCAGAGCACAGTTCTATCCAACGAATCGAAGGCAGCCCTAATGTCAGGAAACACAAAGATCGTTGTCCTGCAATACGTGTGGTGGTGTTCCAACAACTGACGAAGGGTGAACAACATGATCAATGCATCCACAACCTGGACGAAACACAGCCTGCTCTTCGCGAATCAATCCCTCACGTATTTTGCACAGCCTGCGAAGCAAGACAGCAGCCAATATATTAGACGCGACTGGTAGCAGACTGATACCCCTATGATTGTCACACGAATTACGTCGACTCTTTTTTAAAATGGGGATGATAATGGCTTCGATCCACATTGGTGATACACACTCAGTTTCCCATACCTTCCTGAACAACCCAGTTAGAGATATTGTGAGAGTCTCGCCACCATCTTTAAAAAGAGCCGGGGGTAAATTGTCTGGGCCGGGTGCCTTATGGCGCTTTAACACTTGGAGTTCCTTACGGACATCCACTTCGGTGGGTGGGTCGGTACTGTCCAAGCAAGGAGCACTGAGGCTAATGACAGCAGACATTGAAGCTGGTGACTAGGTAAATTGTTTCCCGAAGTGCTGTGCCCAGCGTTCCAGGCGTCTGTTCAAGCTGGTAATTGGCGTGCCATCTGCCTCACAGACCGTCTCGCTGACACCTTGTTTCTTGCTGCCGGTGGCTCGGATGAGCTGGAACAGCTTCCGACTGTTGCCAGATGCAGCAGCTGACTCTAACTCACACGCACGTTCTGTCCCCCTAGGCTTCGCGGTCCTTACGTAAGCACTGTTTAATCTTGCGCGTGAGCGCCTTTCGCTAATTGCTGCATTCACAGTCAGTCGGAATGGACCAGCGTTCATCCAGGAGTTGCAAGGAACTAGCAGAAACCCAGTGGTGTTTAGCCGAGCATTCTTTCAAGCCACAAGCGGCTACACTCGCCACTTGCATGGCACCTTGCAGATGAAGCCAATATTCATCCGTACTTCTTGCGGGTTGCTGGCAAGCATTGACTGTAACTCATTCTGCTATTTCAAAGAGGTAGCAGGTACTATCAGTTTGCTCACATCAACATGTAGATGACGTCGTTTATAAACCCCACCAAGTTGCGAGACAAATCTGGCACGGACTAACGCATGATTGGAGGCCAGACATATGTCCCAGAAGAAGCGGAAGTCTTGTATGCATCCTCGCCACAGGAAACTGACAGCAGTGTGATTAATAATAATAGCTTTATTGCAGACTTGATTATCAGGAAGAGGACGCCAGGTAGCGCTACGGCGATGGCTGTTCCAGAAATTGGTGCTGGCTAGAAACAGGTTGTGATCTGCTCAAAGCTGCAGAAAATGGTCCCATTATCTGACCTGCAACCATGTAAACCCCACTGACCACCTAGACGATTCTCCTCTGAGCCTAGACGCCCAACCTGTGCATTCAAGTCCCCAGCCAGCACTACGATATCCCTCCAACCCGCCTGTTTCAAGAGATCGCTCAGTTGGTAGTAGGACTCATCCTTAATTGTATCCGGGCTGCAATCCGTCGGTGCATAGGCAGAGACAACAAACAGACATCGCCTATCTGGCCTACCACTCCTTACTTTCGTATAACCTTCCAGCCTCACAGCACATAAACGACTATCAATGGGGATCCAGTCGAGTAATGCGGCTTCGGTTCTAGCGCTTAGTGCGACGCCGACACCAGCCACACCGGATGCCGACGCCACAGGGTCCCCGGACAGGCGCAGGTGGTACATACTACTAGAACTTCCAGATGGAGAGGATAATCGAAACAGGTCTCCGAAATGCAGCAGACATCGATAGCGAGGCTTTCCAATGTTCTTCCCAACACTGCCTGTTGTCAGATTTGTATCAGTGTCCGAACATTGTAGGTGGCCAGCTTGAACGCGGCACCCCGTTTCAGGATATCTGTGTTAGGTGTCGCATCGGGGACAACCATTTTGAAGGCTGTTCACTGACACCTCGAAACAGCACAGATTGGCTGGGAATTCAGGCAAATGCGAAAGACTGTCGAATGTGAAGACGTCAGGGTTAGCAAAGGTAAAATACAGGAGTCTATGTATAAAAATAAAAGTAAGGCTGGAAAGAGATGTGTTACTTGAGACATCATTATTGCTAGGAAGCATTGTTACGAGCGAGCGAGAAGTTTCACTGATAGTTTGTTGGTTCATTTCATCTATTGTGTGAGGGCTGAGATACTGCCCGGGTGCCCAAACCGAAGCAGGTGATTTTCTTAAGGAACCACCTTCCGAGCCTTTGACTTGCAGTCTAATCTGCAAGGCAGGGGAGCAGTGTCAGGAGCTGCGTTCCCATGGTTTCCAGTGTCCCATATGGGTTCATACGCCATTTGACACGATTGGATTCTGGAGCCTATGTACTCCATGGTAACTGCTTCTAGTCTAACCTCTATCAAAACAACCTTCCTGACATGTTAGGACCTACAGCAACATGAGTCCCAGCCAGTTTAGCTTGTTGGGTCACTGCGGTATTCAAGCCCGACCACCACGGTAAGGTAGCAGTTGGCGGCCGTGATCAAAGATTATACTTGTTTTTAAGATAATCCTACATTTAAATTACGAATACTCTCATCCCTTTTTCACTTTATAATGCTGTGAGCAGGAATTAACACAACGCAGTAATTGTTATACTGGTTAAGGTAATTGAATTTGAACTCGTGTCTTCACTTCTATTTATTTTGATTACCTCTGAAGTGGTTGCTAACATCTCACCTATGATTTAGAGGCTTTTTAAGTCATCACAATGCTGTTTAATAGATAAATAAAGTAATTCACCCTTTTGAATGGACATATATGCTTATCCGGAATACAATGCAAGATTGATGACTTATCAAATGCACTACAGTCCTAATTGTGTATCATCATTCGGAAATAGTTTTGTAAATTCGAATAATTTGTCTTAATATCATGTCTTACTATTCGGCTATCTTAGAGTTTTAACATTGACATGTGCCCTACTTGATTCGTTTTATGAGGGTATTTCGGTTATTCATTAGTCTGTGTAATCTGTGTGAAACCCAACTACTATCGGTCTAATATCTATTTATTTAACCGTTGATTGTCGACTAGATTTTTTGAAGTTAAGCTTAGTTTACCAGTGTGTTCCGGTGGTTTTTGCGGTGGAACACTCGCCCCACGTATGGTTCGGGGTTCGATATCCGGTCGACTCACTCCTAAACCTCGCTAAGCCGGTGGTAAAGCTGGCAGAGAAGAAAGGTTGGGCATGAGGTTAACAACCTCACCCTGTGAAAATAAAAACTACTGGTATCGAAACTTCAAAGCCTAAGAATCTTGAAGCCTTATGTCCCACTCTGGACGTAAAGGAATAAAATAATAATAATACCAGTGAACAAAAATCAAGAATATCTGGTTTCCCCCATCAGAGTGTAGAAGTACTCTTAATTTTCTTATTCTACTTGAAGTAGAATATCGGCTGGTTGGATAACAGTACAAATGAATGTACAAGGGCTGTCAATCTAAATCCATTTTTTTTACTTAATAAACATTTCAAGTTGTTGCTATGCTTTTTTTTTCCTTTCCATTTTTATTGAAATGACACTTCCCTTCTCTACTCAAATTAATATGGAATAGTGTGAAGAGAGCTTTTGCATGAGTAAATGTCAACTGAGGGATCGTTTAAAACTCACTAGATATTGAATATCTGTTTTGTCCGTATTTAAGATCTGTTAGCAGCATTTACTCCTTACTTTTTTGAAATGGAGTCATATAAACACATTACGATTATATGATAACCACTTGTAATTTGACCTGTTACTGATAGTCTCTTTACAAATTTAATTTGCGAGCGGTAGTGTTACATATATGAAAATTATCATCCTATGTTTCAAAAAAAAGCTTTCGACTACCTTTTACAACATCAAGTATTAATAATTTGTATTAGTTCTTGTGTGCACACAATTTATTTCAATTCCCTTCCTATCTTTTAGAATATGTCTCCGCTATAATACATCACCGTTTGCAAAAGTTGTTGTAAAAGCATGGCGCAGCTTCATACGTATGTAAGTCTGTACTGAGTAAAATTCAATGTGTCATATTCTTTCTTTCTTACTAAACAGGTTACAATCAGATTTCACTAAGTACTCACTATTTTTATTTATAGGTTGGAGCCAGAATCGTTGAACGAATTACTTCCTGATTTAGGAGCTACTCTAGTTGGACTTTTATCAAGTGATGCTGATCAAGTAATAGATTTATTTCATTATCTGTTTTTAGAGAAAAGGTTAGTTTAATTACTCGTCATTGGGATTTCTTCTTATTTTTATTATTATTAGTGTTCAAAATAACTTTTTGAAAATTTAAACTATTTTGTAATATGCCTCCCTGCATATCATCTTTCTGGTTTCGAATTATTGTTTCAGTATTACGTAATGTGATGATACTTACCAATTTTACTTCACAGTATGCACAGTTCTGCTGGAACATCTCTTGGTTAAGTAGCTAGGTCACACTGACACAGGAGTATCAGTCCAGTTTGTCAAATTGCAAACTACTACACAAATTTAAAGTGGACAAATATAGAATAATTAGTATTTTAGGAAACTGGTGAATTAAATCAAGCTTTATGAAGACATTCTGCACTAATGAACGATGAATGCATATAAATCATTTTGAATGAATTTAGGCTTTGTAGTTGTGAGTCAGTTCTTGAAATCTGGAGTTTTTCAGTCAAATATTTTACGTATAACTAAATGACTCAAATGAACATTCAAAGACTGGATAAAGTGGTGTTATAATCAGCTGTGGTCATCCCCAAATTTCAAACATGTTGATATTCAACCTCATATATATATATATATATATATATATATATATATACATAGCGGTTTGATCAATTGAAAATATACGTTTCGCTTCCGTGTCTTGCCTTCTACAGTTACAATATGTGTTACATCGTGTAGTCTCGCGCAGTTTGAAATATTAGAGTAGGTAGACTGACTGACATCCTAAACTAAGAGATAAGTTAACATGCTTCTGTTATTAATTCTTCTTAAATTTTATAAATTCTTTATTGGTGTTTAATTCTGTAATTGCACTTTTTTCCTTTATTTTAGAGAACAACTTGGTGATCGTTTATCGTGTTTATTTTTTTTGCCTCGATTGCCTTCTTTGTTAACATGTCAACAAATTTTGGATGATTTATGCCCATGGTAAGTTATAAAAGTTATAACTAACATGAAGACAAAATAAAACATTGAATGCGTACATTTAACAAGTTACTGTTTATCAATTTCCTTCTCTGTAGGCGGAGATCGTGTTTTATCAATGACAGTAATCATACAGAAACAGAAATACATCAGTTACTTTCATCATGGTTATCAGCTTTAACTCATTCTAGTCGGTCTGTTCGACGACTTGCTCTAACATCAGAAGTGAATTTTGGTGCAAATGGCCAACATGGAAAAGTTTTACGATCTCGACTTTGGGTTTTACCAAGTATAACTGATCGCTCAATTTCTTCATCAAAAGGAACTGATATTCAGTCCATTTCTTCGGATACAGTTCAGTCTATGGAATCAGTATCTGCAATATCGTTTCGTGGGAATACCTCTCTTATGGCAGATATTATAGCCTCTCTACTAGAAGGTCTTACCAGAGATACTGATGAAAAGATGAGATTATTGTATGCTCAGTGGCTTGGTAATCTCGGTGCAATTGATCCCTGCAGGTATTCTACTAATTTTTCACATTCAATTTTTTCGTATTACTCTGAATTCTTAGATATGGTTTTCTTCTAAAAACAGTCTAAAAACAATTCTTTATATCTTAGTTTTGAGCTACATATTTCAGTTTCAAACAGCATTCAGCGCTTCATTAGCAAACGAATGATTTGATGTATAGTTCGTTGTTCTTTGTAGTATTGAACTTTTTGTAACCCTCATGTTTTGTATAAGAAACAGCTAAAAGTTCAGTTTTTGCATTTAAATCTTCACCTTTTGTGTGATAAATATAATAACTCACATCCGTCTAATCAATGAATTCCATTATATTATTGTATTCTTTTTAATAGGCTATGTTTATCAAATGGGGAAGGGAAGCCTGGTTCTCACAATGAAAAGGATCCCGAAATATTTGTTAATGATCGTCGTTTTCCATTTCATGTTCTGTGCGAATTAGCGAAAATATATTTACGTGCTGCTAGCCCCAGACAATTAGTAAGCAGTTTTGAGTTTTCTCATTCTGATTTCAAAGTAACATATTTTTCAGTTTATTTTTGTTTAAAGTATAGGTTTATTTATTCACAGGTGTGTATACCATTGGCGATCTGGTTGTGTTGGTACTCAGGAGTCACCATTTATTTCCAATAAGGCTTCAACAATTGTTCCATTGTACGCAAAATATGAATTTTTTTTAAATACCTGCTGTTGACTTCAGGCAGTAGCAGTCAACATGCATTCAAGTAGTAAAAAAGGAAATAAAATCGTGAAACGATTCATTGCTCTGATCTTTTTATTTTACGAATTATTATTATTACTATATCTTTTTGTGGAATTCAACTATTTATGTTTGATTTTTCGCTTAGGATTCAGCCGCTTTGGCTGTTCAAGAACTGTTAAAACTATTCAAAGTTCCAGATATTGGAAAGTCAAATAATTCATCTTCAGTAATCAATGAAACTGAAGATGAGTCTCTTAACTTATTCTTTTGGGGTTGTGAATTATGGAACCTATTCCCTGAATACATGCGTGATCTTTTTGCACCATTACTTACTTCCAGGTAAGCTAACCAATGCGTTAAAGTGAATATATTTCATCTAATTATTCGTACTTTTCTATGTATTAAACAGTCACATGACTTTTACTTATCACTCTCCATTAGGATGCATACATACATACCTCGCACATGGTATCATTCACCTACAGTTTGCCAAAAAATATCTTTCCTGCTTATGTACGTACCAGTTACAAATTTGAAACTCACAGCAACCGGCAAATGCTTAAAAATAACTCTGTTTTCTGATAACCAAAGTTCTTTACCTATCATTCAATTATCTAGCGTACAAATTTGGATGTAGTTGATGGTCTGCTTTGTTCTGTTATAGCTGCTAATACTGTTTGGGTAAAAAATTTTCATTTATAGTGTTGACTCATGATTACTTTAAATGTAATTTAACCTACTCTTATTTATTTGCTTTTTAGGTATGTTGTTGAATCATTTATAAATTGGTCAACTGTACATATTCCAATCATTACAAATCAAGTTAATTTAACTTATGAATCATGGATACGATTATGGTCTGGTTCTTTGAGCAGTCATGTAAGTTTTGTTTTCATTGTTTTTTAACAGTGTGCACTGTGTGTGTTTTGTTTTAGTGCCCTTTTTGAGCTATGTCATCTACACTGATTGCGGATATTGAAAAGTTAATTTTCTGTCTTTTCATTCTTCACATTTCAGAAAATAGAAGAGCCATTAAATTAAATGAATATGTGAACACAGGTGTTGTTTTTGTGTACAAGTCTGCATTGTTATTTGTGGAAATTTTCTTAACTGAATACTGCTATCACCAAGACTTTATTATTACCTTTCTGAGTTAGTCCAATGTTAGAATTTCATCCTCAGTAACCTTTTTGTGAGTGTATATGTGTAGCTATAATATTATCATATGAAGCTATACAAGTGTGCGTATTAGCTTCAAAATGAATGAATACCAATAATTATATAATTTTCTCATTTTTTTTAGATTAAATCTCCACTCGTCTTTCGTATCTTTCAATTTTGTGAACCTGTGGTGAAAGCTGATGCAACATTTGCTAGGCTAATGCTGGAACACTGTGCTTTACAAGTCTTACTAGATGATTCTGAAAATGGCATTTCTGCAGTGAGTCTTTTGTATACTAATTAAGGCGTTGAACCTAATTTCCTGTATTTTTTTAAACGTTAAAGAGTATTTTAGCACTTAAACACACTTCCATTTTTTAAGATACTATCAAGATTGTGATTAACTATCTTCATATCGCGTTTACAGATCTCCAGTTAATATGAGGAATGTTTTAGTTAATCAGTTATTATTTATACCGTCTACATTTCCGTAAATATTCAGTATTCATTCAGTCAATCTACTTGTTTCCTCCTCATTATTCATTGTGAGTATTTCCGTTCAGTAGATGATTCTGGTCAGTGTTCACAATCTACCTGCGTGAGATGTAAGTATCGGTCCTCCAAATGTTACTGAAATAGTGAAAGCTATCTGAAATCTAAAATAAGGCATAGTGATGAGATCTGGCTGCTGTATAACTCCAGAGGAGTTAATGGTTGGTGGCCAGTGGTGAGGAACTATTGACTGGGTTAACTAAGATGTTTTGTTAATAATAAAGTGAATACAGATGAAAGGATATTGTTGAAATTAAATAATTATCTCTTACACTTCGTTTTTGTTAGCTTCATTCCGAAGTTATGGCCGTTTTTACTGAAGTATCTGAATCAATTCGAGAAAGTGGAAGTCACATTAACTTTGATAATATTTTGAAAACTGTCAATTTACACGAAGTATGTAGTTTTATAATCTGATGGTAATTTTAATATTAGCTGTTATCGTCCATTTATTTTTTTTAACCATATATTTTACTCCACATATTTTGGTATGTGACCTAGGAAATATTAGTGATATTTTGGGAGTAGTTTACTAGAAAATTCTATTGATATATAGTTTCATTACAAACTGGGATGCAGACTATTATTATATATCATCACTTTTTATTGTAAAGTCCATAGTTCAGCGGACAAAAAGGACCAAACATTATTTCAGATTGGTTGAAGTAGCTAAAAATCATATCGGTGCGTCGAACTGAAAGTTGTAAAAAGAGAGACAAAGGAAGTGAAAACTGTGCGAAATATTTTATGACAAAGAAAGAAAAGTCGAAGTTTTTATAAACTCTACGATATCATAACAAAAACAAAGATAAAGCATGAGTGTGTCTGCGTCACGCCAATCGATTCTAATCCAATGTCGACTTGAGTCTGCAACCGCAGGTTTGTGCGAACATCAATCAGGTATCCTGGTCTTTTTAATATGGCTGAGAATAACATTTATCGACTTTATCCATTGCTACTTTTCACTGATATTATGTCCATTAGCTTTCCCTAGGTCAACTGTATTTCAGTCAACATAGGAAACCAAGGTATATAGTTGTTAGGTATGACGTCAAGCTGTGGTGCTTTGTGTCATGAGTTACAGTTCTACTTCGTCTGTTTTGATCTCTAATTTCTGTTCAACTCGTAGATCAATATAAAGCTATTAACAAACTGGGTAGTTCATCATTCCAAAGCAGTAAAGTATTTACTTCGAATGCGAATTAAGATTTGTGAATATAGTAAAAATTTTTAGATATTTTCACGGTCCTTGATCTCTTTCAAAATAATTGATGTACTATATCTTAACCCAGTGAACAAATCCTGTAGACAATTTTTTCCCGGTAATTAATTGGGCAAAACTCCACAATAACAGGACTTATTTCAGTTGTTTGATCAAAATGATTGTTTAGAACAATGAAAATAATGATAGTGCTTACAATTAATTATTTTAGAAGTAGACTAAAATAAGATTATATAGTCAACGATTAGTGGAAATATGTGACAAAATTTGGAATTATGTACGATTTGATTCTTATTGAACGACCTCATCAATTTGTCCAATTGTTGGTGTGCGTTGTTGGAGTGTATCAAATGCAACAGGCTTCTCGACTTTCCGCTATTTTTAGGACTGTCATCTGCTTATGTTAACAGCAAATATAATTTTCACATTTTCGTTCTGTTAAAGGGTGTATTTTTCGTTTTTATAACACTTAATGTAGTTTTTAATTCAATTACAATGATTATTTATTTAATTATGGATCATTAAGGGCCATCCAACAAGTCGTCGACCATGGAGATCATGGTTTTCACTAGCAGTTCAGACAATTTTTGGCTTATTGGATTATTTAAGGCGTTGGTTGGAAGCGCAACAAGTGCCTCAGCCGTCAAAATCAACTGGAAAAGGAGCTCATTCTGTTATTGAAACCTCCAAGGACAAAGATTCTCCTCATCATGTTATAGCTTCATCAGAATGTAAGTTTATTTTTGTATAAACCTTTCACACATGGCGGAACTTGACTTTGTTTCTGTTACAGCATTATAATCATTATTTTGTATTTTAGGTATTGAACGAGTCGCATCATTTCTTTCAAGCATTCCCAACCTATTGCAGGCGAAAGTCAGTCTACGTTGTGGCAGCCTAGCTCGAGCTTTATTACATTGGGAATTAGCATATAGTGAAGATACGGTAGCTCAACAATCAGCTTTTATCACTGGTATTGCTGTATGCCAATCTGATAGCGATCATACTCTTGGATTTACAAAATCATCTTCGGATAATACGGAATTGATCTCTGCTTTATCTTCTGATAAGAAATCTACCCAAAAGTTTTCTAATAAATTTGGTAAAAGTGGTATTATTACTCTTGTGGGTTTACTGGACACCTATGCTTCTTTGCATGATTCAGATGGTAAGAGTTTCCTTTTTTTTAAAAAGTAATTAGATACTAATTTTTATCTTTGAAATGTTTCTTTTATTCAGTTTTCAAATCTCTTGTAATATATAATCTGCTGACACATTGAGTCGCAGTGCAAATGAAGTGCAGTTTTACAGATATCAACCAGCCCGTCATTGTTGGTAAACTTCGAAATGTTTTTCCTGGAGTTCTATTGATGAGTTTTCACCTTCGAAGATCAATAAATTAAGCATAGATACATTGCTAACATTGGATGACAGAAGCGTTATTTCACACATTGATGAAGTTGAACTACGTGAGTTGTTGGATTTTATTTAAATCAGTGAGCGATGCACACACTTATCTAACCATCCTGTGCTATATATTACTCATGGAGTTGGGGACGCCCACTGGTAAATGTTGTTGGACGAAAATGATACAACTGGCTGAGGATCCTTTACTTACAGTGATTCTATCCGCTGACTTGTATTATTACTCTTAGTATGTGTTCTTGTCTTCATTGTTTTCGAAAACCCTGATTTTTGCTCACTATGTTACCTTCATACTGATTCAGCTGTGCGTAAGTGGCTACCAGAGCATACTTTCCTAATAAATCGTTCAGATATTGTTTCAACGAACAAAAGCCTATAGATAATTAGCTTATTCTTATTGTTATTTTCATTTTTCATTTTAATACCTTGATTTGACAATGTGTAATGATTTATCTGCTGTTTGTTCGTTCTTAACTTCTTTCAGCAATGTTAATCAACCATTACCGACAGATTAATACAAAACACTTCGAAATGACACTGTTCAGCTATATTTTATCTTTATATTCGATGGTGGTTGAATCGATCTTTCAGGGATTTTTTTCACTTAAATTTTATTTCTTCAAGTAGTTTTATCCATATTCATCGAATTCTATTGCATCTGCTCTGTATTTGCATATCGTACACTCTACATTGTTGTATCTACAGTCAGTGTTGTTTGTAGGTTTTCTATATCAGACTTATTTATCTTGGAAACTCAGTCGATGGATAATCCACTGGATGAATTCACACTAACGTAGCTTGCCCAGAAAATTTATCTTCTAATTTCTTTTACAGCTGACAATGTGGTTGAGATAATCAATTTATAATTTCTTAAATTTTAGGTTTAGCTGGTGTTCTCTCAGCTATTCAGCTGGCGTTTGCTGCATTCGACCAAGAAATCAATCCTGATAGACGACGTGATCCGAAAGGTCGCAATAAAAATTTGGATTCGTATGGTGGTCGAACACAGCGATTTCCTCTGCTTCGTGCTCTAGAGTTAGAAAATGAAGGACAACTGGATATGGCTGCTGCTGCATACGAGCATAGCTTAGCTACTTCTGAATCAGATCATCGTTGTTCGCAGAGTAAACAGTCCATAAAAGGAATTCATGACAATCAACATTTACTTATGTACAGTGGTCTTTTTCGGTGTGAACTTCCTGATCCAGCTCGATTGCATGGTTTGGTTGAACGAGCAGGTGCTCTTGTAAGAAAATCAAAATGTTATTCTAATTCTAATACTGCTGTTTGGGCTGATTGTCTTAATGCTCATCGAGCTGAGGCAGCGTGGCGATTGGGTGACTGGGATACTCTACATGAAACTACTAATATGGTGTGTCTGTCATTGAAGTTCACTCATCCCTTTTTTCCGATTTTTTTTTTAATATTTTAAACGTTTGTGTAGTGCTCACAGACGCTATTCGTTGGGAGATAGGCGTGAGCTGATGAAGTAGGTTTCGTCCTAATTAGGAATGAGGAACTGAATCTGTTCCACTCCCAGTAAGCAATAGTGTTTCCGTTCGAAGCTGAACTGACTACTCTACATTCAAACTATATAACTTTATCCAATTACGTAGTGATCAATGAGTATTTGACGTCTACATATGACTTAGTTGATTACATTTTAGTTTTTGAGACAATTGATAATGTGTTCATGTCTTATTGTGAATCCCATCACCTACTGGGATGCAGACACATCCAACTGCTTGGCCCGAAACGAAACTGAATGTGCGTCCTGATTCCAAATACTGGGCTTCTAACAAAGGATTTATTTGAATCGCCTTATGACTTTTTTATAACGAGATCGAACAATCGTTTTGGTAACCTTTTACTCATGCAGTATAAATACACTAATATTATAGAAGAATGGCTGGTAGAGATAAAGTAACATATGAGAAACTTTATGGTGGTAGATATAATCGAAATTATTGCCACCAGTCAAATCAGAAGAGGATAACAAATAATCTTAAAATTCTATTTCAATTCAAACACATCAAAACATTCTAACAATTAACTTATTTCGACTATAAAAACACTCGTCGTATTTCCCATCTAATTGTAATGGATTAATAACACTCGTACTATTATTTCTGAATGTACATTATCTCATATCGAATTTTATTCCAATATCTAATCGATTCCACACATGTATATAAATGAAGGAAAGAAGTTGTGTGAGTAACTTGATATGATTATGAGCAATAGTTTGTGCTCGAAACGTCATCAGTTAATTTAACTGTACAACACTGTGTGATTTATTAAAGTAAAATATTATCCATTATGGAGTTATACTCTACCACAGTGCCCAAGTTTTATACTTATATCAGCTATAATTAAATGCTTACTATTCTATCTTATGCTTTTAATATATTTGATTCTGCCTGCGACACTATATTTTTTTAGTTTTAACGTGCTTATGACTATATACGATTCTTTTTTCATGAAGATAAACAAAGTTTGGTACATATGAGAGTCTCCATCTCAAAAGATCTATGCAAGCATTCTGGTCTAGGAGGCTGCAAACGAGATGATGAGAAGAAAACAGCTGCGCGAATGTAAACTGGCTGAACGTCTTCTACATGACAACGAATAGTAGAGAGTGACGTAAGCTAAGGAGGTAAAAATTGCACTAGTAATAGGTAACACTTGGCGACTACTAGGGCTTATTACACGAATGTGGCTTGGCAATTCCATAGAAAGTGGAAAAATACACAAGAAGATTGACTGAAATAGGTGGGATGCAGATATTGGTCTACCAAATGCAACTTTGTTGAGAAAGCTATCTCTGCTTATTTGTAATGTCAGTGAAATAACGAAGTTTTGACATATCTTAAATGAATAGCTTGTCCATTGAGTTTTTCGAGATTTCGTTTTATTTGTGGGATAACGTATTAATCGAAAAATCATAATATGGAAGTTATTGAAAATCTTCAATAAAATCTTCATTACACATAAGTCTTTTTAAAATTGCTCTGTGTATTTTGAGAAAAGCTGTTCACTATTAACACTTTCAATTAGAACTTTAAAATGAACTTTCATGTGAAAATGAGAGATGAAACAGTTTGTTCTTTTACTTCTAACTTTTCTGCGAAGTAGTCATTCCATGATATTAGCATCTATCAATAATATAGACTTCCATTTCCTACTTAAAATCAGTTTATTTAAATTAAACGCTGATTTAATTGAGTTTTACGCAATAATTTTCCTGTATACTTTCTACTACACGTGAATTTTATCTTATTAACTTTTGTAAACTGTTTCGTCGATAGAACCTTCAAAAGTGTCCTTGGTCGGTTGGAATTGGTCGCTTGTTTTTAGCAATGAAAGATAAGGTCAGTTTCATTGTGGACAGAAATTATTAATAATTTGAATTCACTCGTCATGCTACTGACAATTAGTATATTGCTTTGAGTGCTTATTTTATCTCTAACAAGCGTATGTCAGCATATTAGGTAATGTATAAATGGTCCATTACATAATGAGGTAATTATCTGAAGATTAGATCTGTTGAAGCTTCCCAATAAATAGTAAGTGGTCAGTCAACATATTCAACCATTTCATTTACTACTGTTAACCTATGAATCAGTGCAGATCATTCCTATTGTATTATTTTTAAACATTTCACTGGAGCAATCACATTTTTGTCAAGGTGGTCAGAAGACTGCATTTTGTCGGTGTCTTCACTTAAAAATGATAACTCCATCAGTCAGGTGTGATAGGCACTATTACACCTAATAAGTATGATTGGTGACATTAAAAAATTTGCTGCGAATACTAGGAATTGTCCTCACTTGGGATGACGGCTTGGCATGAACTCCTACACGGCTGCATACACTTAAGTACAATGCCTTAATGTGTGTTATATATAAAGTGCAATGCCCACCAGACAAGTGTCTGGCATCACTTATTATATATATTTATATTTTTGATTACAGCCTGATGCCACACCGTATTTTCAGTACAAGTATGGCATTTTCAGCATGGATATCGGTAGCCCAAATTTTGCAGGCGACCATAGATATCGAGTGTGCGTCGGCAGGGGATTGAACCTCGGACCATGTGCATGGTCGGCGAGAGTTGTTGTGTTCCGCAGCCTATCGAAGGGTGAACATTTTTTCATCGGACTCTTTTCTTAAATTGAAAGCTGACTGGTTCTTGTAAATCGTATAGAGATTTCTCCTCCTTTTTTATGCTGGAATAACTACTGGTTTACAGTAGTCTGATAGGTCTAGCCCAGGTTCTTATTCGCTGATTAGTAGTTTTGTATATGCGGCCAGTATTATCATCACCATCCTTAAAAGCTTTCAGACTCAAACCCACATATTCTACTGCTTTGCTTGGCTTCGCAGCCTCTGATACAATGGGAGGACAGACGGCATCTAAAGGATGAGCATTGCTTAAATACATTTCTGGTTAATTCCTCCTTAAATATAAACTTGTCGTTCCTTTCACGTAGGTGTTGATCTTGGAATTTTCAGATGTTTGGCTTCTGGGTACATTTAGACTTGTGGCACCTATACCAACGTCGAAGAAGATACAGATATATCAGAGGAAGCGGTATATTCCACCTATCGTCTCCATCGATAATTTTTTAGCGATGCTGCCATAGGTCCCCTCAGCATGATATTCCAATTGATTCACCTTCCCTTCTAGATTATTCATATAACTAAATCTTGACGTTTAGCTTTTAATAGTGAACTAGATTGCTTCTCGTGAAACTGATCTCTTAATTACCACTTATTCATTTTTAGCGAACTTCTGAATGGTCAAAAATTTTGTCTCAATTACGAGTAGATCAAGTAACTGAGTTAGGCGCCGCTGCACTTGAAGGCCCAGGCGGTTATACTCGTGCTTACGATACAATAGTTCGTTTGAGTTGTTTGTCTGAAATTGAAATTATCAATTCTCTTGGGGAAGTCATCATGAATGAAATTAAAAATCCAATAAGTCGATCATCTGAAAGTAACCTTCAGGTTAGTTATCCGCAATGTATTCTTCACATACCGAGAAATATCAGTTTTGATTTTAGTTAAGTTAAAATGTTAAAATGCTTTATTTCAGTAGCATAAAGACTTCTGATATGCTTGAAGGAAGTATTGTCTGTGTAACCGATAGTTGTGTGAATAACTCATGTAGCATGACTGTAGATTTCATCCTAGTATCACATGTTGTTATTACAAATTGTGCATTTTTAAATACGTTCAGAAATATATCTGCAGTTATTGTTATTATTTAACTGAAAAGCTGCATTTTCTTAAAAGTCATATTAATATCCGTGGTTGTCACAACTGTTTGACATACGTTACATCAAAAAAGTGTGCACATAGTTGACGAATATGTAATAAAAATCGTCCAAACGAATGAGTAGTCAGTTTAGTGTTAAACATCGTTTATTTTAATTTATAGATAATTCAAGTGTTGGTTTGCAGGGATTTGATCGGCTACAGGTTTTCATCATGAGCTGACATCAGTTGGATAACCATTGGGAAATCTGGGAGTACTGCACAATTGTTTCGTTCTAATCGTCCTAATAAGTATGCACCCACCGACTTTCTAACCTATAACCTCGGTACAAGGCGAGCCCTATTTAGGTAGGTAGTTACCTTGGTTTTGATTGGAGGTCGTGATCAGTAGGGTATAGCAGGTCGGGTGTGAGGACAGATACTTGCCGATGACATTGGCTAATGGTTGTCCTTTATTGTGGTTTGGCAGAAGTTGGAATTCATAGGCCATTGGATCGAGTCCTCGTAACTGCAATTGTATGAACACTTAACAGTTTATATCATAGTATTTCTTGTGTCTGTATTGTATTTCGAAAACTGAATAAGATTTCAGTGCTGATTGTAATGATCTGTAGATATTTTTCTAATGCAAGTTCCTACTACACACAGGGTTATGCTGAATAAATGACACATGCTTATGAAATTGAAATAGGTAAGTATAAATAGTATGCGCATATATATTGGTCATGCACCTGATATATGTCAATTATGACAAAACCTACATTGTATTGATAATAAATACCTTAGATACTGAAGAATTCTGAATACTTTCCAAGCTGTCTAGGCACTTGTTCTTCAAAATCTGGTAAACGAAAATTAATGATGAATATTATGCACACATTTTCTCATTTGTTTATTGCAGCTTTTCTCTCTTATTCCCCTTCATCTCTATTTCTGTTCACAGAATTCAATTGAAACAACTTTGCACTTATTAGAAACTCGAATTCGTCTTAGCCGTCCAACTTTTCATACTTTAGAGCCTGTTTTAGCTGTCCAGCATACTGCTTTACAACTTATTACTTCTTCTCTTAGTTCATTGAACAACGAGGTTTGTAAACTGACTAATCAAGAAGCACTCAATTCAGCCATTTCTCGGTTACGTGTTGCGTTAGGCTATAATTGGTTAGAACGTGCTAAACTGGCCAGAAAGTAAGTTGTGGCATTACGATTAGCTGCTATTCCATGATATAGCTTATTATTTTGTTCAGTATTTCCAGGAATACCATGTTTTTTACGATAACTATGTCAGAGTTTTGTTTCATTGTTACATTCCATCTAATTTTTCTGCTGTTAATATTAAAATTATCAAGTGTTGCGGTTCATTCGTTTAAAAAACTTACAGGCAATGACAGTATGTCTGAAGGGAACACGTTAGGATTTAAATAAAGTCTTACAGAGTAGAAAAAATATAGTGTTGACTTTAAAATAAACTTTAGTAGTGAGTGACACCTATAATGTTAGGTTAGAAATTGGAGATATGTACTTCGTGTTGTTTTGGGTCTCATGGGTACTAAGGATACTTAAAATTTCCCACTTATATATGTAAATCCAATTATTTGGTTTAATTTCCGTGTGAAGAGTCAAAAGTACCCATAAGAAATGCGATTTACACATTTGATCATAGGGAATAAAAAGACGGTTGCAGCGAAGAAAATTTTCTTTTCGACGAAGTCATCATCTAGGCTGTACATTCGTGTATTTATATCAAATGGATGGGAAAGTTCCAGAACAATTTCTGTTTACGATGGCCATGGCAGGGACAGGGGTTGAATGTATCCAAAAGAAATACATTCAACCCCTGTCCCTGCCATGGCCATCGTAAACAGAAATTGCTCTGGAACTTTCCCATCCATTTGATATAAATACACGAATGTACAGCCTAAATGCGATTTAACAATTTGCCATAAAAGTGTTACCTAATGACTAAAAGTATAAACAAATCTAAAACAAGCAATAGCTGTGAAAAAAGCAGTATTTAATGAATTCATAAATTTTGGTAGGACTTGACTGCTGAATACTGCTCTACAAACATTGCTATTTATACAATTTCTTCATAAAGTTAAATACATACAAACATATGAACATTGTTACAATAAGTATATGATATGTGAGATGTGAGTGATAGTCTATTAACGTCTTTATCAAGTGAATAATATTTATCATAGCATATAGTAACATACAAACTAGGTATGATAATAGTGAAATACAAGGAACTTCGTGAAAAAGCACAAATAAATTTGAAATATGTAAACCGTATACTGGACTAAAGAACACGATTTTAACATATCTGATTTAAACTCATTAGATAGTTTGGAGACTGTTGCATTGAGGGGACTAAAATTGAAACTAAGTGTAATTCAAAATATCTTGGTCTAGTTCTATCTGCCGACCTTACTAGGACATCTCATATACTAATGATTTCTAAGAAAGTGTTCTGTCTTACCTACTACATTAAGAAACTTAGACAATCTCGAACCACCCCACCTCTACTTTCACAATTTGTCAACTCTTGTATCTTACCTATTCTACTTTACTGTGCTCCCCATTAGTCTTTCCTGGGCTACTGAAAAAGGACTATACCATCCTAAGAAGGATGTTGAAGGTAATCAGTAGGACTAGTGGTGTAAAACTCAGTCAGCTCGTCACTACATTAGTTCATAGGCATCTGAATACATGCGAAAAATGGTCAAAAACCATACTCTCCGAGCCCCAACACCCCGTCTATTCCCAACTCTCGCCTTGTATATCATCAAGTAAAACCAGAAATCAGTATAAAATAATCTATGCTCGTACAACCAAGTACAGGAACTCAACGATACCATACTTGACCCGTATTCTAAGCGACAGAGACAATGTTAAGCGTGAAACCTATGACTTGCTTTGTTATTAACAACATAATTTTAGGCTCTTTTATTTCTCTCTTATTTTGTATTCTATAGTGAACTCCTCAAACATACTTAGCTACCTAAATTATTAACATTGGCTTCCTTTTTTGTACTTTACTATATTCCTTCTATTGTGTGTCCACTGGTTCCGACTCTATAAGTACTATGAGTGTTACAAAATTGTCCTGTCATTAACCATCATGTTATTATTCGTTTTGTGGCTGTTTTTTCTTGTTTTTCTATACTTTTCGGCAATATTAAACTGACAATCATTGATTGTGAACGCTATAGTCACCACCTTAAAAATTTTTGTATTATGCAGGATTACTCACACTTCCACTACAAACATTGCATTAGACCTGACAATAAAAAACAAAACAACAACCCTAAAATGTTGTTTTATGATTGTTTAGAGTTTTTTTAACCAAATTAACTGACCACCTTGGCGATAAACATTCTTAAATATCATTTCATAATTTCTTGTATGACTATAGCTTTACTGTCACCATGCATAATCATATCATAGCTTCCACTGCCCAATACTGAGTTATTATATGATATTTATTTTCCTTTCTACTTCTTGGTATTTTTTCGCATTTATAATTATTTTTGTGTTTATCCTGTTTTTTTTGCTGTTGGTGTCTTTAGATTTATTTTTTTGTTAAATACTCCTTTTAAATGATTGTAAAATTAGATGCAAATATTGTAGATATGGGCTGTTTCTGGAATAAAGCAAATTATTATTATTATTATTATTACTCCTCAGCAAGACTAATACTGAACTATAACTTTCGATCTGTACATATTCTAAGGAAACTAACAGTATGTCATATGAAATAGTATGAATAATAATAATGGAGGAAACACTATAAATGGAAGAGGGAAGGGGTGGACAGTTATAAAGGTAAAGTGAAAGTATATTATGAAGGAAAATCACAGTTGTTGCTTGTTTTAAATTGACTACCGAAAAGGAATGTTCTCAAGTTAAAAACATATCACATTTTTCCGTATTCACTTATTTAATCACTACTAGATGCAGACAATTCTCATTGTTTATAATATTCACCTACGACAGCAAAAGGTGTTTTTGAATACAGCAAAATACAACAGTTTTTACAGAATGAAATGGTACCATCATTTATTTTGTTGGCTTCTCATCAGCAGCTTACAGGCCAAAGTTATTACTAAGTATATCTACAGATAAAATTTTAACATACTTGCACAAAGTTCATTTTTAAACAAAAATCAATCAATATATGCATACAGCAATTATATATATATATATATATATATATATAATATTAAACACTATTGCAAACAATAATGGTCATACACAGTGGAAACTTTCGATATTACGTAATCAGATGAAAGAGGTAAAAATATCCAGTTACCAGGGCGAATAAAGACTGAGAGCTGCTTCTTTCTGAACGCATAAATCAGGTTTCAGGCTCTTGATGGTGATCGCTTTAGCAAACTTTAGGAGGATTGTACTCCTTTGCTTATTGATAATTTTAAACGATCTTGCGACGTCCACCTCATGACCCGTGTCAAGGACATGCCTGGCAATGGCACTGTTTAAAGCATTTGTTCCTCTTAGACATAGGCTTTTTGGTACATGTTCAGAAAATCGTAGATATGCCCTTCTTTCTGTTCTTCCAATGTAACTGCTTCCGCAGATACACGTAAGTTTGTAATTACGGTTGGAGTTAACATGAGAAGGATAGCCATCGATTTTTGATTGCACCAAAGAGCAAGTTGTTTGATAGACGGGAACGATCATGGGTGCAGGATAGGCTCTGCCTTGGGACGTCCTCAATCTTCTTTTGATAACTGCTTTAATATTTTCACCTTGGCTTTTTCTCCACTGTGATTTGTTTGTTATTTGAGACTTCAAATATTCCGTACTTGTTAATGAATCTTTGAGGGTAACCGTTGCTTTTTAACATCTTTTCGAGAAACATTAATTCTTTTTTCTAATTTTTCTGTAGAGTATATTCTCCTTATTCTATAGTATAGAGTGTTGACTAGTCCACGCTTAAAGCTATTGGGACAAAAACTATTAAAATGTAGGTATTGTCCTTTCCATGTAGTCTTTCGGTAAATTGACTTCTGAAGACTACCATCTTCTGGTCGTTGCATGGGAGTGTGTAGGAAGTGGAAGTTTCCATCATTTTCATGTTCCATAAATTCAATATTTGTATGTGCGTCATTGAATAATCTGAGTAAATAGGAAGCATGACTTTGATTGTTGCACACTACAAATATGTCATCGACATATCGACAATAAGAAGTAGTTTCGGCGATTGCATGCTTCACCTTTGTTCTTTCAAAGTTGGACATGAATATATCTGCTCATGTTTTCCATGTGCAAACCAATATGTTGAATGATTACGGTTTTCATCTCCAAGAAAAAGCAGGATCACTCTGACTATCTAGTCCAGTTTTGTTGCAAAGAAGAAAAAAAAGATATCTACACATGAATGGTTATGCCTATCTTGTTTTACGCACTATTGGGATGAAAGCTTCTTTTACTAACTTACATTACACTACATTAATTAAAATCAAACGTTATAGGTGATGAAATAAAATCATGTCTTGAATTCATGTTATGGTTAAAGTTTTAATTTGTTGTAGCTCAGTACATGAAAAAGCATGTAGAAACAAATGATATACTTTAATCAACACAGTCTTCGAGTGTTGCCCTAATTGTTAAAAATTCTCAGTGTTTCATATGAATAGTTATTATTTTTAAAAGTATATTATTTCTTTCAATGTAATATGAACTTGCTAATGAAGCTTAATACACATTAATTTGATTTTGTTGAAAAAACAAACAAACAACAACCAGATCTGGACAATTTATGGCAGCGTATACATGTGTTCTTCGTGCTGAAGACCTTGGCATTCCAGATGCTCTAATTGAAAGAGCTAAATTATTATGGCAAACCGATAAAAGGGAAGCTGCTCAAGCCTGTCTAGACAAAGGCATTCCAGAGGTGTACGGATGTGTTATTTCAAATGTGCATAATAAGTCTTCCACTGGAAACATTGAAGTATCCACTGAATATCGAACTATTTCCGCTCAACAGGTAAATATATATATATTTAACTTAAGTATAATGTATTGTTTGTAAACGTGTCTTTTCTTGTTTTATTTATCAAACATAGTCAGTACACTGAAATATAATTTTTTCATTTATTTAAACGCAGAAAAACTTGGTACAGTATGGCACCAAGACGATACACCACACACTAATAATAAAACAACATGGATTAAAAGTAAAAATATAACTAGGGAACGGATAAAGAACTTCATCTGGAAGGAAAACAGTTATGTTTAACAAGTTCAAACAGTATTCGTCAACTATCATCAGGAAGGGAAGAAAGAAGGAAATTGCAGCATGTTCGCCATTGATTACTATTCTTGGCCATATCCAATAACGTTTCGAGCCATCAATTCGAGCTATCTCTCGGACTCCAACCACGGAGACGTGACGCACCAACCGATACTAACCAAGTACAAATATCCTTCATCCCACGACGCCACGTCATGGACTAACCACCTCTCGGCTTTTTGCATCTCGTCCCAGGGTTAGCGAACAGAGACCAGAACGGAAGCCTCTGGGATGACATTCGCAGCACCTGTCCAAACCACTGAAGCCCGTGTTTTTAGATGACGACACTCGTCGAATGGTGATCTTCACTGTGTCCAAACACACGCCGCCGAACCTCAGAATTACTCACGCGATGATGCCATCGAACGCAAGCAATCCTACGGAGACAGCGATGATCGAACACGCAGAGTCGCCTCACATCCTCAGCTCAGACAGGCCAAGTATCACAGGCGTAGAGCAAGACAGCCCGCACCGAAGCATTGTATACCCGACTTTTGACAGCCAGGCTAACGTCGCGACGGCGCCAGAGGTGGCTCAAGTTGATGTATGCCACCCTAGCTTCCATGAGACGGTTGGAAATCTCATCCGTCACCCCTCCGCCAGCACCCACACAACTACCCAAATAAACAAACTTATCAACAACATCAAGTGGTTCACCTGTAATGGTGGGTGGAAGTACAGACTTCTGCCAATCTTGTAACTACTTTACACTTAGACGGCGCATAGCACATACTATATTCACAGACACTGATCGCCAAACTAATAAATGCGATTTAGACAACCTGCATGCTATCGCATAGTAAGACAATATCGTCCGCATACTCGAGGTAGAAGAATCTCTCTCCAGGGAGCAGATCTACACCACCACCACTTACGTCCTTCAAAGCTGACTCCGGAATTTCATCGATGGCAAAGTTAAAGAGAAATGGAGAGATTAGGCATGCCTGTTTAACCCCACTGTTGGTTGGGAACAGTGATGATAGTTGGTTGTATGCCCTCACTCTACCTGAGGTGTTTCTGTATAGGGCTTTCAAGATGCTAACAAACTTCTCAGGTACACCTCTCTCTAACAGACAGTTCCAGAGCACAGTTCTATCCAACGAATCGAAGGCAGCCCTAATGTCAGGAAACACAAAGATCGTTGTCCTGCAATACGTGTGGTGGTGTTCCAACAACTGACGAAGGGTGAACAACATGATCAATGCATCCACAACCTGGACGAAACACAGCCTGCTCTTCGCGAATCAATCCCTCACGTATTTTGCACAGCCTGCGAAGCAAGACAGCAGCCAATATATTAGACGCGACTGGTAGCAGACTGATACCCCTATGATTGTCACACGAATTACGTCGACTCTTTTTTAAAATGGGGATGATAATGGCTTCGATCCACATTGGTGATACACACTCAGTTTCCCATACCTTCCTGAACAACCCAGTTAGAGATATTGTGAGAGTCTCGCCACCATCTTTAAAAAGAGCCGGGGGTAAATTGTCTGGGCCGGGTGCCTTATGGCGCTTTAACACTTGGAGTTCCTTACGGACATCCACTTCGGTGGGTGGGTCGGTACTGTCCAAGCAAGGAGCACTGAGGCTAATGACAGCAGACATTGAAGCTGGTGACTAGGTAAATTGTTTCCCGAAGTGCTGTGCCCAGCGTTCCAGGCGTCTGTTCAAGCTGGTAATTGGCGTGCCATCTGCCTCACAGACCGTCTCGCTGACACCTTGTTTCTTGCTGCCGGTGGCTCGGATGAGCTGGAACAGCTTCCGACTGTTGCCAGATGCAGCAGCTGACTCTAACTCACACGCACGTTCTGTCCCCCTAGGCTTCGCGGTCCTTACGTAAGCACTGTTTAATCTTGCGCGTGAGCGCCTTTCGCTAATTGCTGCATTCACAGTCAGTCGGAATGGACCAGCGTTCATCCAGGAGTTGCAAGGAACTAGCAGAAACCCAGTGGTGTTTAGCCGAGCATTCTTTCAAGCCACAAGCGGCTACACTCGCCACTTGCATGGCACCTTGCAGATGAAGCCAATATTCATCCGTACTTCTTGCGGGTTGCTGGCAAGCATTGACTGTAACTCATTCTGCTATTTCAAAGAGGTAGCAGGTACTATCAGTTTGCTCACATCAACATGTAGATGACGTCGTTTATAAACCCCACCAAGTTGCGAGACAAATCTGGCACGGACTAACGCATGATTGGAGGCCAGACATATGTCCCAGAAGAAGCGGAAGTCTTGTATGCATCCTCGCCACAGGAAACTGACAGCAGTGTGATTAATAATAATAGCTTTCAAATCTTTAAATATTCCCATTTATAATATTAGAACAAGACATATAAGCGAACAATATTGTTTTAAATTAGATCTTCAGGCTTTACTCTAATTTCCATAGATTTATATATAAAATTTTAACCAATGACGGTGATTTTGGGAATCAAACAATAATCTTAATAGTCTTAATAATAATAATAATAATAATAATGTGGTAAATATTTTGAGCGTATTTAATAACGATGATTATAATGATAACAAAATATTGATAATAGGGTTTATGCAGGTGATAAGAATAACAAAGATAGTATATGTATATAAGTGTATAAATAAATTGGGTCAAATCTTAAAAGGTGAAGTGGAACGATAATCAGAGTTTAAATAAATATTATAAAAGTACAAAGGAGGTGGAAAATAAGAAAGGGTGGGAGGGTTTTGAATACAATTCACCTAGGCCAAGGGAGAGACAAAGGTAGAACAAACTTCTTTTGTATGCAAAGACTAGGATTGTTCTCTCGAATTCCCATAGCTTCGGCTAGGTGTAAAAGACGGTTTCTGATTCCATTCGAAAGACTCGATGGAATACGATAGATAACTTTGAAAGCACTATTTTTGTCCACTTGGTGACCGCTATCAATCAAATGAGCCAAAATAGAACTTCGTATGGATTTTATTTGACCTTTTCCGAACCATGAAGGAAGATGCTCATTAATGCATTTGTTGAGCTGTCTAGTTGTTCGCCCTATATGGCTTTCTCCACAGGAGCAACTAAATTTATAGATACACATTGAAGTGGCCCAACTAGGTAGCTTTATTGCAGACTTGATTATCAGAAAGAGGACGCCAGGTAGCGCTACGGCGATGGCTGTTCCAGAAATTGGTGTTGGCTAGAAACAGGTTGTGATCTGCTCAAAGCTGCAGAAAACTGGGAAAAGACGATTGCAGCGAAGAGAAGAATTTTTCTTTTCGACGAAGTAGTTAGTACTTGTTACAAATGGCTATCACAGTTAGTTTATTTTCCCAAGAAAGTCATTATCCAAATATGTTTTTATCTGAACTTCTGGTTAATTATTCTTGTTATTATATGCAGTTTTAATAAATTTTTCTATTAAATAACTTCGTTTTTTTATTCGCAGTATTTTCACCTTTGACTGGAGGTAGCCCTGAAACTTTCCCACCCCATTGTAAAATATATTCTCGAATTTACATTCTGTTTAAGGCGAAATTGTCGAAAAAAGAAATCTCTGCTCGGTACAGCCATCTATTAGTTTTCCTTTTGATCTATTCCATATGTACTTTTTCACTGACATTGATTGTGTTAGTCGCTCTCACTAAAATTGTTTTGTATGAAAATGTACTAACACTATAATCAAAGTGTTTCATTTATCTTATATCGAGAGTTATTGAGTCGTATGTTAACTATTATATTCCAATTTAGGAAAAGGAAGTTTTAGGTAATTTAGAATAAAATATTTGGAATTTAGATTTCTCATCACTTTCTTTGCTGCCTGAAGGAAGGGTGAAATGGCCGGGTATCAGTTGTCAGTAATCATCTGCACCAATTGCGTAATCACAACAGTAATACTAAGTAAAAAACTATGCCTACGTATTGCTGATAATTAATTTTATTTCCTGCTAAACAGGCTTTATTGTTACGCACCCGATATTGTGAAGAGACAAACAGATACGATTTTGAAACTACTGGGAAACTTTATGAACAAGTTTGCAGTTTTAATTCTGGTTGTGAAGAAGCCCATTTCCGTCTTGCACGTTATGTTGATCTAGCCAGGGCTCAAGCAGTTGGCTCTAAACAACAGAAGTATGTGAAACCCTTTCTTTACCATAATAATTATTCATATAATTTCTTTCGTAATTTAGAATAGCCTACTTCACAATATCTGACATTGTATATTTGTTAGTATCACTCCAAAACAACTCGTTTGTTTCAGCTAATGTAACTAATGTTTATTATTCTTATCACTTTTTTAAACTTTTTTTATTATTGCAGTGCGCTTATTAAAGTTGCTTTAAAACAATATGGTTTAGCACTGAGTTATGGTAGTCAGTTCATATATCAGTCAATGCCAAGATTACTAACCCTATGGTTAGATCATGGTCAAGACTTTGTTCGTAGTTCTCATGAATTAAACAAATCTCAGAAGCATAACGAAGAAAATTATTCACATTCAGAGCATAAAGTATTCAATGAAATTCAGGAGGTCAGTTTACTTATTAATACATACTTTATAATCGTTCGGTTTAATGTATCTTAAATTATTCATTGTGATTCTTTATATGGAAGTCTGTATTCAACTTTTTTTTCCACTTGGTGACCATCAGTGTATATTGACCATGCCTCACGTCATTTCAGGTCCTTAAATTCAGACCTACGTTATTTATCATCAGGCGGTTTACTTTTTTCATTCTTTTGCGTTCCGGGTAGAACACAGGACTTTAAGCTTTGAAATTTCAGTATCTGAGGGTGTTATTTTTTTTTGTGGTTGGATTCCTAGCTTCAAGTGCAACTTCCCTTGTTATCCTTGCTTACTACTGGGTAGTAAAATACGGAAAATTTGTGACTGCGTTGGACAGGAATTGAGTCGAGACCACGTGCGTGGTTTGTGAGCATTCTAATATCGAATCATCGATCTTACTTATGAATCAGTTCCCTTTTCAAGATGTACAGAAACGCTTGTTATCAGTAACAAAAAAGTATGAGAAGTTATCACAACACAGAACCGAGCAAACGCACAATCATTTTGTTTAATGTACTTATTTGTTGGTTTCCAGCCAGTGGCATGACTTTTAGTATGAGGAATGTAACTGGTTTAGAAGTGATACGTATCTTCTTTTTTCTCCATTATAGATTATGCGGAATAATTGTCAAAGAATTCCTGTTTACCAGTTTTATACTGCTCTTAGTCAGCTGCTATCCCGTGTATGTCATGAAATTCCCAGCGTGGTCACTACTTTGATTGAATTAGTTATACGGATATTTGAGACATATCCTTTACAGACTATGTGGTTTTTGATCCCATTGAATGATGTACGTGAAGACTTTTTGTATTTTAATTCTTGTGCATATAAACATTTTTGTAGTTAATAACTGTGACATGAAATTCATTACAATGAACTAGAAACAGTATATAGGTTGATTGAGAAAGTTGACACTGGGTGAAGTGGTATTTAATATTTAATGGCAAGTGAAAGCTAAGTACATCCACTCTTCTGTGAAGCTTTCGAAAGAAAGGACCAACGTTAGGCTTTTAAGTATCTCGAAGTCCTTGGTATTAAACTGCATTTTTCATGCATATATTTCGAATATTGCGTCGACTATTTTTATTTTTTTACTTTGTTACATTAGGCATAATGAAGTTTGGTTCAGTATAAGTAAAACCATTTATTACCATCCCAGTGATTTACCTACTAATATGTATCTATATCCACGCAGCTTGTACACCTATGACTTATCAATGGGTGAAACAACTATAGTTATTTCGAAGTTATGTATTCTAACATTTATCAGTTAACTGTATACCCGAGTGTAGTTCACCTTTGTTCTGCGTACTAGACCTTTGCTAAGCAGTTTAGAGACATTTCTATTTTCTGACAGATATCGTAATGTTAGGTTCTTCTTGTACTGGGTACTACTATTAGCAGAATCTTAATCATTCGATTATGCGTGTTTTTTTACTATACATAATGTTCCTGTTATTTGTTTTGCTTTCCTGTATTGACAGTCCACTGTTCGTCAGAGACGAGATCGGTGTCAGCTAATGTTTAGTTTATTAAAGTAAGTCTGATGTGGTATACTATCATATTCTCTGAAGTCATTCTGAATTAAGATAACTATGTGCGTGTTTTTTCCTACAAAATGTATATTGGAAATACAAAAAATTCAAGTAACAATCTTATTCTTCGCTGGAATCGGAGAGGCGAAATGACACAAACTGGTGAAAGCCTTCAAGAAGCCAGTCAGCCAGTCGATGTGTCTTCTATCGATCAAAGCAAGAATAAGAATGGGGACATGGAATGTCCGTACAATGTACAAGGTTGCCCAGGTAGGCAAAGAAATGAAAAGATATCTTATAGAACTACTCGGAATCTTTGAGAGTAGATGGAATGGATGTGGACTATCGAGTCATTAATCTACTCCGGTCGCCCAGATGACAACGAAAAGCATGCAAACGGAGTGGTTATCATGGTGTCACCAATAGAAGCCGAAGTTCTTATTCAGTGGGAACCAGTATTCACAGGGATAAAGATAGTAGGACTCAACTCAAAAGGGAGGAAGCTTACAATCGTCCGATGCTACGCGCCTACAAACAACTCAGAACAAGGATAACTGCAAACAGTAATTGACAACATCTCAAATGGTGACATCAAAATCCTAATGGGCAATAAGAATGTCAGCTAAACTGGGAGCAGACAATACAGGAAGCCAACTAACTCATCATGGTTCAAGAGGCTCTCTCTCGGAGAAGTGAATGACAACGGAGAACTCTTCACAGACTTCTGTGCTGTCAATGCTCTAGTGATCGGGGACAGCGTATACAATCACAAGGATATACACAAAGCAACATGCGTTTCGCCGGAAGGATACGCCACGAAACAGATAGACTTCATCTCAATGTTGCTCAAGGAGGTGGAGATCAGCTAGCCTGCTGGACACAAAGTCGAGAAGGGGAGCAGATGTGGACTCTCACCACTGTCTGGTTCGAGGAACCTCCAAGGTGGAGCTGAAATCCCTCAAAACAACTGGAGACAGACCACAACTCAAGTTCAACACGCAGAAAGTGAAGGACAAAAGTACATGGGATACCTTTACTACAGATCAGATGAGATCAGATCGGAACAAACTCGGAGACACTACGCGTTATCACTGAGGACACCTGTGTGGAAGAACATCGGAACTAACTGTCTGAAGGTGATGTTCAAGGAAACGTGTACAACTGTTCTAGGAAGAAAGAAGAGACACAACAGGGAATGGCTGCCAACGGACTTCTACCTAGAAGCTAATCGAGGAGAGGAGAGGAGGATGGGGAAAGAGAAGATGACTCAATGCAGAGATGCACAACAGGAGAAGCAGAAGCTGAGTTCAGTGTACACTGTACTGAATGGAAAAGTGAAGAAGAGTGCTACGAGAGACTAAAGACAATCCTCCGACACACTCGCCGGAAGCTGAAGTAGAACGGGCAGGTGGGCCGCTGGTGAAAGAGACCTCAGGACATTATATCAGATAACCAGACTGCTCGCTTTTCACGAAGAGATCAACCCAGATGATGAAAACTGTAAGAGACGTTCGAAGGAACCTGATTACCGAGGAGGAGAAACAAATGAAACAGTGGGCTGATCACTTCAAAGGACTCTTGAATCAACCATCATCTGCAACTCGCTCAGAAATACACCACCACTAGCATGCACAGAGCTGCCTCCCAGTGGACACCAATCCTCCAACGAAAGCAGAAATCTTGAATGCGATCAACCTACTGAAGTCCAGCCGAGAAGGCAGCAGGACCAGACAGAAATTTCCCCTGCCCCAGAAGCACTGAAAACGGACCCAGAGACTGCGGTATCTGTGCTCACGCCATTACTACTAAAGTTTTGGAAATCAGGAAAGGTGCCCATCAATTGAAGGAAGGCTAGCTACCTTGTCAAGATACCAAAGAAAGGCGACTCAGGCCTCACTCTGCAAGAACTGGTGTGGAATAATGCTGTTGTCCACGCGAAGTAAAGTACTAAGTCGCATCATCCTGGAGAGAATAGAAAATGCACTGGATGCAGAACTCCGCCCACCAGAACAAGCTGGATTCAGAAGAGGCAAATCATGTGCTGATCAAATTGCAGGTATTCGCACCCTCATCATCGGATGGAGTATAGAATGTTAGTCAAATCTGTACTTCAACTTCATCGACTTCGAAAACGCCTTCACCAGACAGCGTCGAACGAGAAGTTATTCGGAAACTGCTTCAACACTACGGCGTGCAGTGCCCAAGTCTCCGTCAACCTCATTCAACAGCTGGCTACATGACAGTGCAACGGAAAACTCAGAGAAGCCTACCTTTGGAGTGAATGCAGGAGTAAGAGAAGGCTGCCTATTATCACCGATGATGTACTTAATTGCAGTGAACTGGACTATGCATCAGACTGTGTATGGGGAGTGAGAAGACAGGAATACGTTGGAGTGACCGATAAGAAGACGTGGATTTGACGCGTGGATGATTTATGTCTAATGTCACAGAAAGTCGAAGACTTAGAGGCAAGCGAGAAGCAACCAACTGTCTGAAGAAACAGTGCGAGAAGACGGGACTGCAGGTGAACACAGAGAAGACGGTGAAGATAACCAACGAACAGCAACAAGCACCAATCACCAACAACGGGAGAGATTTGACAGAGGGTTCTTCCTTCACTTATCTAGCCAGGAAGCACTGTTTCAACCACAGGCAGGCGAAACGGATGAAGATGTCAAAGCCAGATTTGTAAAGACAAGATGCGTCGTCATCGACTTGAAATCAGTTTGGAAATCTTCCGCACTCAGCCAGTATAAAGAACAGGATTAGGATTTCCAACACTGATGTGAAGTCAGACAGTTCTTCTATATGGATCAAAAAGTTGGCGTGCTTGTCACGAAAAGGATTTTCAACAGGTTGCAAATTTTTATAAACAGCTGTCTTCAATGGCTCCACATTGAAGGTTGAATGGCCGGCGAGAAGGAATTTGTAACAAGAAACTCTTGCAATAAACAAGCCAACCAAGGTCCGATTGCTCAACAAATGTGTAGGAGGAAATGGAGATGGATTGGGCACACATCTAGGAGACTGTCGATTGATAGCGCGCTCAATGCAGGCCATCACTTCATTGGAACCTCTTTTGGAAGCGATGGGTGGGTTGTCGGTGTGACGGATACATGGAGGAGATGAGAGTTTATGGGCAGTCGTGGACCCAGCTGAATAGGACAGCCCCAAATAGAAGAATGTGTTGTTGAAGTATTGTGTTCATCTCGGAACCCAAAGGAATGATGATGATAATAATAATAATTAATATGCTTTGCAACAGTTCAATCATCTGTGGTCTCTGGTCCATGTCCGTCTTGGTCTTGGGTTATAATCCTCTTTTTTTATGTCCTTTCTACAGGGTGTAAAGTCTGGATTGGAAACTGATGTGAAAATCCAGTGTGTAAACGAATAGTTTACACATATACTATCGTATATTACTTTCCTTAAACTCTTCGTTCAATTAGTTTCCATGATATTTATTAAATGTTAGTACAGTTTTACAGCATTTAGAAGTATTTATCTTAAAAAATTATGATTATTTCTACTCCTTTATTTTCTACATGCTAATTCTATAGCTACAGGTTTGATCACGAGGCGATGTCAGTCCCAAACCAGAAAGAAACATCTATTCAATACTCCCATGTTTTCCAAAGGTTCTCTGAATGATATCAATTCCTGATCAAGCCTGTATCCAATCAAATCCTTTCAAACCAAGACTTGAATTCAATATTTGGCTGCAGTGAAAAGCCTTTTGTTTTGTTAAAGTGGTTAAATAAGCTGCTAATGAGTATATATGTATGTAAAAGGGGAATGACTGTCATAGTATTCTCCCTGATCTGGGTTCATGATACTTTCAATAAAATAATTACAATAATATTAAATAATATAATTAATTAAAACTGAAACAAATACTATGGTCGCATTCGGTCGTCAGATAATGGTGTTCGTTATACCCACCTCTCTTTATCGCATTAGTTGTGGTACTTAGTAGATAACCTGACTAACGTTTTTGTTTGGACTCTAAACGATTTGATGGTCTCATCTAAATCATGAGTATTGTTTTTGGTACCATTTCTACATGTTTTTGTCACTCTCTGTGTGCTTCCCTTTGTGTATGTTTTTATGTGAAATTTGCTGTATTACTGCTTGACTTATGTATATTTTCTTTCTCTTTGTCAGGTCAAAACAACCACATTTATCAAAGTTTATTACTGTAAGTTGAAGATTCTGTTATATTTCTGTAGTAATTTGAAAATTGTTGTTCCATCATGTATTAAAGGTTGACCTTTTTTTGGTCTCAAATAGGATTCTATCGCACTATGTAATCACTTAAAAACAATTTGTGGGCTATTTATGACGGCTGATCGGCGGGAGCTGCGTAGTTTTAGTTTACGCCAAACTGCACGACCACTTACACGTCTTATTGAAAGCAGGTAGGTGTATGACAGTATTATTTTACATTGTTCTATAATAATCACTAAATATTCATGTCTTGTTTTTCTTTGGCATAAACCTTTTCTTTAAATTCTTCAACCTTTTTTCCTTTCGTTTAAAGTGACTTTTCGCGTGTACTCATTCCAATCCATAGACAACTAGTTCCCATACTTCTGCCGCCTAAGGCTTCTTCTGAACAGATTGCTAGACATTGGCCGTTTACTGAACAACCAGATCGATTGATTTGTCTTTCACACATCGAAGATGTTGTGGAAATACTTGGATCACAGACGAGACCAAAAAAAATGACATGGGTTGGTTCAGACGGTAGACAGTATATTATTGTCGCTAAACCTAATGTGAGTTAACTTTAGTTATGTGAAAACTCTGTGTTTTAAATCACAGTTATGTTAATATGTCAAACCAGTAGGACAGAAAAAGCCTTTCATTTGAGCAAATAATTGTTGTATTCACAACCATGTTTCAAAATTTGCTTTTTATTCTGAAAACTATAATTTTTTTGAAATGGTACTACTGTATGAAAACATGCTCTCTGGAAGCTTCTCAGTATTTATGCCAAATCTTGATAGTTAACTACTGAGTTTATAGGGCACTCATTAATTACTTATTATAACTGAGGACGAGTAGATTCATTGCCTTATTGTCCTTATTACTTGACTTTCAGCCAATGAGTCGAGAGTTTGAATCTTGGTCTACCTATTCTAGCTTAGGCGACTGTAAAGCATCAGTATGTCTCACACAATAATAGTCGCCTTATAGTCTGTTAAATGAATTTTTCTACGGATAACTGAGTTCTAACATTTTGCATACTTATTCATGACTCGCTTACTTGATTCAAGTATAGTGCTTCGGGGGTAGTAACAGGATCTATCACTTTAAAACGTAGATTTCACTGCTCTGTGTTCAGGATCTATCTGTCAGCTTTTGCGATATCGGTATCTCACTAAGCACTAGAAAGGAAGCTGTATTACTCCACTAGATCTTCATTAAAAGTCATTAATGTGCATATATATATATATATATATATATATGTGCAATTATTGTGCTGTTATGGATGAGTTCTACCATCAACTGAGTGTCCTCAACCAAACGCTAGTGATAAATATCGTAGTTTTTGTTCATCGAAGGAAAAAATTGTGCGGAGATATAGTACTAGCTGGCAACTTGAATGCACAGATCAGGAGTTCAGGGTCAGAATCGAGTTATGTAGATTGTTCATAGATCCACCGTTGAAGCTCACAATTATCTGCTGGAAACTGCCATCGGACACGAAAACATTAAATCTGTATCACAAATACCTAAGTTCGCCATTCTAGCATACTTCATTGTTTTAGGGTCATTAGTGCGGTCATTCAATTCATGTTACTATAGTTAAACTTTGCCCTGCATTTAAGTTTGCTAGGAATGATTGTAGACCATATTTTCAATGCGACTGACTACAAACTGTAATTTTTGTCGACGACGTTACGAATGTAATTTTAAAGATTGGTACATTAATGGCCTCGTGGAATAGTCTCAATCCCCTATAGTTCCTCAAGAAAGTAGCCAGTTTACTGACTAGAATCCAACTTTCATCTTTAGAAATAACTGGGCGTCTTATGGTTTTTTTTGAACATCCGCATATTTGAGTCTGATGGTAGTTATCTACCCTAAAGTGTGTTTTTACATCTAAATAATGATTACTAAGCCATTTGAAGTCGATCGATAACTCTAATTTGAAAAGTGAATTGAAATCCAAATTTGTTGATGCTTTTCCTCATTTAAATTTCCTCAGCTAATTGAAATTTTTATTGATATGTATGTTATTGGGTGAATTTTCAGAATGTAAATCTTATTAATTATCACAACACTAATAAACAGATTATTATATTTTTCCTTCCTGACGCTATGTCTTGCACCAAGAAAGCAAGTGAGATTGTAAGGTGGTGGTGTATACCCTTGAAATAGACAGTTGGAATCCACTCACCCACATCAACCAATTTTGCTCATCAGTCACATTCATGCTGTCTAAACATTGGTCTATCTTTTGCCTATCACGCCGAATTCATCTACATCGCATTAATTTAAAATCATCTCAGAGAACGAAATCAGTTCAAACCACGCGAATTGTGATCAGTAGACACTACTGATTGACGTGAGTAATGTGTAGGAGAATAAAATTATTTTCTATAGTTGGTCACCAGTCGTGATCAGTGAGGTCCAACCAGTCAAGTGTGAGGATGGATGTCCCACAGATGACATTGGTTGGTGGTCGCGCTCAATCACGAATTGGTAGAAGTTAGAATTCATGAACCATTGAATCGGGTCCCAGTGGCTGAATGGTATACAAAATGGTATACCTTGTAACCGGAAGGTCCAGGGTTTGAACCCCAGTGGTTGCGTACTGCCGATGATTCTCAAAATAGGATAAAACAGCTATCCAGTACTTCTTGGTTTCCAATGGTTATCAAACTGATATCAATTCATGATCAACTAGTAAAAAAAGTTATTATTGTATCTGAAATACAGGGTCACCTTTTTCTTTTATCAATTTTTGACAACAGGATGATCTTCGTAAAGACTCACGTCTAATGGAATTGAATGGAATGATTAATAAATTTTTAGTAATTGACGCTAATACACGAAGACGAGCTCTTCAAATTCGTACCTATGTAAGTTTCGTCTGAGGTGATGTGATGCAAATTTTATAGACGTCACATTTATCTAACTTTGTGTCGTTACTTCACTTACATTTTATGCTATCACAAAATACACTTCTATATATTTTTTATTTTTTATTTAATAAACTTTCCTATGCAAACTTATAGGTAGATATTGATGCTCCATAGTTGTGAACAACGTGAAATATACAACTCTTGAAAACTGCATTCAGGGGAATAACGAACGACAACAAAATAACGCTCAATAGTTATGCCTTTGACTCTAGCTTAAATTGCGGCGAATCAGATGGTTATTGTAGTTACACATGAAACAAAAGCCCTAGTTGTGCTGTAGGTTTCCAGAAGTTAGTTTGTGTTGTCAAGTCACAAATGGAGCCGTCATAATTTTCAATTAAATATAAACAGCCTCATATTTAAAACACGATGACTTGTGGAAATTCAATTGAATGTTTAGAAAACCTATCTACTTTGTTTACATTTTATAGTCCGTAAAGCATTATTAGTTGTTTGAGTCGTTAAATTGACCCATGTTATCAGTAAATACTGACATTACAAAATAGCGAAGTTTAATATGAATTAAGAATTTGATCCTTGTAGCAACTAATTATATTGACCGCACATTGAAGACATTTAAGTTAAAACACAGTGTTTATTATCGATAACTTGAAAAGACTTCGCAGTTAGTAATCGTGAACAGGTAAATAAAGCTAAATACACAAAGACACTTACATTTCACTGTAAATTCATCCATGATGCAGACTTGTTCCAAAATCAATTCATTGGGTCGCTATTCTTTGTTTTCCAGTGTTTTAAGGATTAAGCGTAGTTAGGTTATGATTAAATTCCTTTCTTTAAATGACTAATTATTTTTTAACTTGTTCACTTTAGGCTGTAATTCCTTTAAGTGAAAAAGGTGGATTAATTGAATGGGTTCGTAATACACAACCATTTCGATCTATCATTACGCGTTTATATATTGATGCCGGTACGCCAATAAACTGGACTAATATGAGTCGCGTAGCTCCTCTCCTTGAAGATCCTTTGCCGTAAGCTTTTATTTCACCCATGAGTTTCACAAGCTTCTTTTTTAATACTAGGTAAAATGTTCCTCCTGTGCTGACTTGTCATGGGATAATATTTTTAAATAATTACGTTTGTCGTCAGTTGACATATTTGTTACTGTCAAATCTTACTACTAAGCAGTGAATAACTTTTTTTTATTCATTATGCATTGGCTTTTTTGCGTATTCCTTTCTAACATTGACGTAATGTGACCATTAAAGAACGGTTATTCAATCACATCAGAAGGCTTAAATATATCCTTACTGTTCACAGATTTCATATTAATGCTTGGTCGGTCTACGTGTTGTATAGTCATAATAAGGATATACTACTATGAGGTTAAGAGACAGCACAATTCAAAAAATAATCGGTTATGGATAGTACCAAGTTCCAAAAGTTAGTATAAGGTTATATCTCATCATTCATGACATATTGTTTCTTGCCTTCAGCTTATGGCATGAAGTTGTTAATGATAACTTTCATTCCTTAGGACTACACTAGGCTTAGCATCCTGTCATGATTATAAATGCTTTTATGATTATACCCTGTGTTTCTTTGAAAAAAAAGTTATGATCATTTTTGTTTCGCTTTTTTTTATTTTCAGAGTGAAACGTGATAAATACCTAAACAAGTGGTTACCTATGTTCCCTCTTGTTTTTTATAACTGGTTTTTAGTCACATTTACTAATCCAAGTGCCTGGTAAGCTACTTTTTGTGTTTACGCTTCATCTTCATGTTACGTATACTCACAGTGATTGTTACAGTCTTTGACTGTATCTGTATCGATTTTTAAACTATTTAATGCACAAGTTGACTTTCTGTCTACTTAAAAAGACCTCGTATTATCACTGCTCAATGAACTTCATGCTATTACACTACAATTGTGTAGTTGGAACATATGATAGTATGTAAAAATACTGTTTTCATTTTCTTTGTGAACCTCAAGCCCTTGTCCTATTGTTTAATAATGAAATGTGGAATTTATAGGGCCAGTGTTTGTCAGCCCATCATTTCTCAAGGGGAAAGATTGCATGGCTTTCTTTCTTTTTGTTTAAGAAAAACTGCTTACTGTTATTACATCTTTTCTCACCAAGCGTATGACTTCTCAATCGAATGCGCCATAGTAGAATTGACTATCAATGCTTTTGATTTCATTTACTCAGTAGAATCCATAAGAATAGCCTATTCATCCCTTATTACTAATTGTGATGTGCAAGCCCAAGTCAGTATAGTTTCTGTATTCTCCACTTTGTACGTTCCCCACATGATATCATATATATATATATATCTGTAACTATATAGAATTAGGTGTCGTTATATCATCAAAATGTAGGCTTAAGCCATCTTGTTATTGTGCTGATATTACTCAAATACTAACCTGATAAATTTTTAAGCTCACACATGGCACAACTTATGCAGTGATAAGGTTCTGTATGTTAGTAACTCGTTAAATCTGAAATTAAATATCAACATGTTCGATATCCATCAAATATCACTAACTTATTGTACTTTCAAAATATCATGACTAACTAAGTGGTAGCTGCATGAATGACAATTACTAGTTCTTTGTCAAGGTGCCTCCAGATAATTCGAATTTAAAGTTTTAATTAAGAGTTACAAGTTAGCTACTGCGATTTCTAATGACACAATTAATTCCAAAGAACACACTTTTTTGTTTAGCGAAGAAATTTCTTTTCAACGACTTCATTTTCAAGCTGTACAGTCGTATTTATATTACAGAAAAAAAGGTTATTAAGTAGCACTAAATAATTGCTCAGTCAATATATAAATTTATATTTGTGATAAGAATAACGATAGTTAAAATGTTATAAGGGGTAGAGTTGAAGTGGATAAATTACAAAATTATTAAAGACTTTTATCAGTGAATTGAAATCGAAAATGGTTTAAAAATGTCAAGTGTTGTCTAAAAATTTTAAAAAATTATTAGGAGTACGATTACGATGAGAATGAAGATGTGAAGTGAAGTTGAAAGAATTCAAGTGGTAAAATAAAATAAAATAAAAAAAGTAAAGAACATTACTATGACCAAGGTAAAGAAAGGGGTTTGACAAAACGCTTTTGAACACAGAATTTATTAAATTGAATATTCCCATAATTTATTCTGAACAAAATATTTAGAGCGAACAGTTGTTTTTCAACGTCTTTGCTAGACGTTCGACGCAAGTCATGCGATTGATTCATGAAATTTTCAAACTGTACTTTTGTGTCTAATTTGTTAACTCTGGATGAAAAAGTGAAGAACTTCAGCCCAAGAGATAGGATTTGCATTTGAATATCTCACAAAGATATGTTAAAATAGTTAAAAACGTATTTCTCTGGCGAATCCGGAAACTTAAAGTGAGATTCGATTGTTTTGCAACTTTTCAGTATATTTATTCCAACATCTTCAGATCTTCTCTTTATAACGTCAGAAATATAATCCTCGAACAAGCTACGTTCTGTCTCTGTTAGTTCAAACAAGAAATGCATACGTTGAGATACGTTATTCTGAAGTTCCGGGAGACGTGTTTATATGGCATCGATCAGGTTCAACGCATGACGTTTAAGAGTCCGACCGTTAAGATAAATATGATTACAGTGTAAAATTTTCCAGTAAAATTTTGGATATTCACCATTCTTAATGCAGCTTTTGAGAGTATCAGAATTAGCATTCGCTTCCGCAAGCTTGACAGAATATCGTAGAATAAAAGATACATAGATGATACCTTCATTGTATGTGATGAAAACTCTTCAACTACCGAACTTCTTGGAATATTTAATGGTTCTCACCCATCTTTGCTTTTCACGGTCGAAGAAGAGTCAAATTCCTCATTTCACTTCCTTAATGTTAAGCTAGATAGAAGAGAGAATGGCACGCTGTTAAGGTCGATTTGCCGAAAGCCAACATTCACTGGGCAGTACACTAACTTCAGCAGTTGGGTACCGTTAGGGAGAAAGAGAAATTGTATTCATTCCTTATGCTTCAGAATTCGTAAAATCTGCTCTGCAGAGACAATCGATAGTGAACTAGATAACCTTCGATCAAATCTCCTTAACAATGGTTATCCTACAAGGTTTATCGAACGTAACATCAAGAAAGAATCCGCTCCTAGACAAATCACAGTGCCAAAGAAAAAACTGTTTATGAGTCTGGCATTCAAAGGTGACACCATTTCGGAATTGATTAAAAATCGTTTATCTAAATGTATTAAACGCACTTTTCCTGCAGCTGACTTGCAACTAGTTTTTACTAGCCGAAATATGATTAGACAATGCGTCAAGGATAGATTACCGCTTTTGTCCACATCTATGTGTATTTACTCTCTTACCTGCTCTTATGGAGCTGTTTATATTGGACATTGTTGAAATGTAATCTCCGAAAATGTGTAGCTGAACACTATCCAGTCTGGTTAATGAAAGGCGAATGTAGAACTGCGAAGTCGTCTATTTATGATCACCTGTTAGAGTCAGGTCATTTAGCCCCACGTGATTCATCTTTCAAAGTTATCTACATGGCAAAATCGAATCGATCCAAAAGTTTACGTTTTCTTCACTTACGCACAGCCGAAGATTTAGCTATACATGAACAGAAACCTAAATTATGTGTTCAAAAGCGTTTTGTCAAACCCCTTTCTTAACCTTGGTCATAGTAATATTCTTTTTAGTTTTACTTTACTTTATTTTACCACTTGAATTCTTTCAACTTCACTTCACATCTTCATTCTCATCGTAATCGTACTCCTAATAATTTTTTAAAATTTTTAGACAACACTTGACATTTTTAAACCATTTTCGATTTCAATTCACTGATAAAAGTCTTTAATAATTTTGTAATGTATCCACTTCAACTCTACCCCTTATAACATTTTAACTATCGTTATTCTTATCACAAATATAAATTTATATATTGACTGAGCAATTATTTAGTGCTACTTAATAACCTTTTTTTCTGTAATATAAATACGACTGTACAGCTTGAAAATGAAGTCGTTGAAAAGAGATTTTTTCCCTGAACAAAAATCTGTGTTTTTACTTATGAATAAATGGGTATTTTTCGTATTTCAAAAGAAATTGTTTTTGGTGAGTTTTTAAACCTTTTATGGGCATTTTACACAGAGAACGTAACAATAATGTCAAAATCTCATTTACAGTATTCAATGTTGTTACCAGTTTGTTCTATCATTTTATTGAAATGCTTTTAGCTTTATCTCGGTAACATTATAATGAAAATCAACTTTCTCAATTGTAAGATCTATTTATGTATTTTCATCATCCCAGGTATTCAGCTAGAGAATGCTACGCTCGAACTTGTGCAGTTATGAGTATGGTTGGTTATGTTCTTGGTCTTGGAGACAGACATACAGAAAATATACTCTTTGATTCAACTGGTGGTGATTTAGTTCATGTTGATTTTTCCTGTGTATTCAATAATGGCCTTACATTACCTTGGCCTGAACGAGTCCCATTTCGTCTGACTCGTAATATGGTTCATGCTATGGGACCAACTGGTTACGAAGGTACATTCAGGCGCTGTTCTGAAGCAGTTATGCACTTATTGCGTCGCGAAATCGATCCATTACTGGCAGTATTTCGTCCAATTTATTTCGATGCCGTTGTAGAACAAGGTGCGAATGTACGAGGTAGTCCATTTCATATCGGAGAAACTAGTAAGTCTAATATCTGTGATATTTTCATGGAAATGCTCTTCAATCATTTCGATTACCTGTAGCAAGAATGTTTTGTTTTCATTAATGATCGACAAAAGCCAGAAAACTGTTTATAAACTCTATTATGTGATTACAAAATGTCAATGTATGAGGTCAGTTTTGCCTAGTTTAGTAACCGGTTCTAAGCCCGGAGAAAGACGGAAGGCTTAGTGTGAGGCTAGCAGCCTACCTCAGGAAATCAATTCACTCGCTACAGAAACTTCAAGGCGCAGAAAAATACAGAAAAATTATTTTTCTTGGAAATTGGAGAGGCAAAATGATGTTAGCTGGTGAAAGACTTCAGTAAGCCAGTCTACAGATGAAACCGAAAGTAATCATGGTAACATTAAATGTTCCCATAACGTTGGAAGTCGGGAAGGCTGCTCAGGTTTTCAAACAAATTAGATGATACGGTATAAAATTGCTCGTAATCTGCGAGAGCAAATGGAATGGAAGTGAACTCTCCAAATTGTTAGCTGCAGAGTCAATAATTTACTCCGGTCACCCAGATAATAACCACGAGCACACCGATGTTGCCAACATCATTGTTTTTATTCCTTTACGTCCCCAGTTGAACATAGAGCTTCAGACTGGAGCTTTGAAGTTTCGGTAGCATTGGTGTTTATTTTTACGGGATGTGGTTACTAGCCTCATGCCCAACCTCCCTTCTTTGCCTGCCCTACTACCGGCTCAGCAAGGTAAACAAGTACGTTGTCCGGGGATCGAACCCCGGACCACAGGCGTGGTTAGCGACCATTCTACCACTGTGCCACCGACGCATCATCATGGAAGGCTTTTATGCAATGCGAACTAATTTCCTTCAGAATTATCACAACAACAGTCAACTCAAAAGGATGGAGTGTTACAGTTATACGATTTTGAAGTCCAACAAACAACGAAGATCCAGTGGAGAAGAAAGAGGACTTCTACAGACAACTTCAAGCAGTAATCAAAAAATCGCACTTAACGACATCGAAATTCCCACGAGTGATATGAATAACGAATTGGGCGCACATAACACAGGCAGAGAATTCGTCATTAATTCAGAGGCACTCCCTGAAATAAATGACGACAGGGAAATTTGCATTATTCTACGTGTTTCGTGATCAGGTGACTGGAGGCGGCAGGAGGATATACACAACGCAGCGTGGGTTTCACCTGATGTAAACACCAATAATCAAACAAGCTTCGTGTCAATCTCAAGAAATTGGAGACGCAGCTTAACAGATACAAGATGAAGAAGAGCAGCATAGTTAGGTTCAGATCACTGTCTATTCCAAGGGAACTTCAATATCAAGTTGAAAGTCTTTAGAAAAGCTGGAGGTAGAGGAGTATTCAAGTACAACACCCTGAGACTGTCGTACAAAGCCACAAACACCGCCACTGCAACCATCATGAGAAAGTCGGACACATCGTGTAGTATCACCAAAAAACCTCTTTAAAGAAGTACTGGAACTCTCTGAAAGTGATGTTAAAGGAAACTTAGGCAAAAAGAAGAGACAACCGTTGAAAGACAGTGAATGACATAAAGTTAGTAAAGGTCGCAAAAGTAACAGGACCAGATGGAATTCCCACAGAAGTACTGAGAACGGATGAAGAGACCGCAACGGATATACCAATCTCACAATTGCAGAAGGTTTGAAAAGAAAGGTCCCAACTTGTGAAAGAAATAATGCAGAATCATGCTTGTATTTTTCCGGAGCAAAATACTAAGTCGTGTTATCCTAAAGAAACTAATAGATGCCTAAAAAATATGCACTAAAAGAAACTCTTCGACAATAAGATATGAAGAGAGGTTTAGGCTGTCTAGCTGCTACCCTATTGCTTCTAAGGTTCAATGCTTGCAGATTGTTGTTGTGATACAGCACATTTCCTGTGGTCTCTTTGTTACTAGCTGCATTTCATCTATTTAAGCATTTCTAGTGTAGATTTGATATCCTACCAGAAGTGTCTACGTGATCACCTCATTTTATGCTTGGATATTTCATTCATTTTGAAGACTAGACAGAAGTTTCTGGCTAATGAATAATAGTATCAATCATTTGGTTTAATCACATTGAAATTTTGTGCAATATCTCTTAAAAGCTAATCAGCATTTATAAATGTATGTATATATGGCATTTGTTGTTTTGGTATCTTTTTAGGTGGACGTACTCGTCGTGGTGGCTCTGATGCAAGTAGTAATGTATCATCTGATTCGGATTTGACAGAACGTGCTACTAGAGCAGCTACAGAAAAATTAACTCGTATGGAAGATCGTTTAAAAGGCAAAATTACTGAACACGATGGATTCAGTCAGATTTTACCTATGTCTGTAGAAGGACAAGTAAGTTTATAATTTTTAGAAATCCCATATATGAGTTTATGCATTTTCGCCTTGTTATATGACACTGATACAAACTGCAAGCTTTTGTTACTTTAGAAAATCACACCATCTTAGTTTTTTTCCAACCTAAAGCAGATTTCAAAATGACTTTATTATGCACTTAAAGACAGGCGAAACGAGTGAATGAGAGGAAGACTTAGGGAGAATAATGGGAGTGATTATAACACACTACATAATAATTTTTTATAAAATCAGAGGAGTAGCAAAATGGTGTCAAGTTCTAAAATAGTAAGAGTTCTAGGCTTGAAATCAATTAAGCATCAAAGCACAGGTTGCAGAATAGTAATCGTTATTTACAAATTACATAGTTCGAGGTAAGATTCCACCATATTTCAATATACGGCCACATGCTTGGCATCACAAACATCATCAGGAAAGCACGCAAAGTTCTAAAATATTATAAACCATTTATTGTTATGACTAGGAGGCAACAGTTGAAGTCACCTCAGCCTGACTCGCAAGCTCCACAGGGTGACATAAATATATTCCAACTACTCGCATCAGTCATTGGTATGTAAAGTTGGGCTTTTCTTTGTTTTACCAGAGGAGCAGAAACGATCTACTTCAGTAACCCATCTTTCAAACTTAGTAAGAAACAGTTAGTCAGTTGGACGTCATTTTTTAAAATTATGCTTTTGATAACATTGCTAAATGCTAAAAGTAAGTTGAATGTACACCACAGATGCAGTTCTTTCACATAGTTTATCGTGAGATCGATATTAAAACTGTTGACTTTTATGAAGTCACAATATAATGCATTTGATTTCTACCAGTGGTAATTTAGTAAACGGTGGATTAATTGATCATTCATGTTATCCACGAAGATGTTATGATTATCAAAGTGGATATCATTTGGTTAAATGGTTTCAGTGAGTCATTCAGCGATAATCCGTAGTGTGAAATCGAGCTTATTGAATGCAGCATTATTTGTCCGTTTCTGGCAGACGATCACATAATACAGAAATCACGAAATCGATTGCTTGCGAGTGATTGAATTATTTTCAGTCTGTTGATTGACTCACTCTTGGTTTTCCTCAAGATTTAAATAAACTTAAAATCGATTTATACTGTTGCAACCTTTCGAGCAGTTTCGTTTGAAGTTGTGTCCTCATCTGAAGAGATCAACTACACTTTGTTGACTTAGTTTGATCGCCTCGTCGAAAAGAGGTCAGTGATTTTTATCACAATAAACCAATAGTGCAAAATAGTATGTTGATATGAATTTTCACGTTCGTTTGATACAAATAATTTGACATGAGGTTATTTTATTGATGTGGAGACAGGCCTGTTTCACTAAATCAATAGACTTTCAGCTTGTCAGTCCCGAGTTTGAATCCCGTTCTATCTTACTTAGCCTGACGAACTAGGTAGTAACAGCTAACTTAATTCTGTCGACGTTCATTATTGAGAAGTGATCTGTAATCTACATGCAAACAAATACGTATTCTCATTTAATCCTTTGCGCTAAATTTTAATAAGCTCTTCTGATCGCTCCTTTGAATCTTTAAGCTCTAAAAGTTCATTTTCTAACAGTGTAAAATGAAGCCTACGCTCTAAGAAGTAAACTTAAGATCAAGACTCAATTTCATCAACTACGCATATTACTGCAGATGGCATTTCAAACATCTGTGATTTGAAGGAATGGCGATTTTAGCCAAGAATCTCCTACCAAAATCTTCGCTATTCAATTTATATCTTTATTATAATAGTTGACTCCGTCATTTTTAATTATATACCTGGCCTAATTAGCTATCTCATTTAAGTAATCATGTTATTTTATTCAGTGGAATTTCACGGAAGTTTTCTGAGCAAACCTGTTTAATTGTGCACTCACTGTTGTCCACGAAGCACAACTAGTACTTTTTTCTTTTCTTTTTAAGGTGGACACACTAATCAAAGAAGCAACAGATGTTGATCGACTCTGTCAAATGTATAAAGGATGGATGCCGTTTCTATAAATTCCTAGATTACTATTTTTTGGAATACAAAAACAGAAAAAGTTTCAGTTTTTCTTTCACCTTACTGTACATATACATGCCTGTTGTTTAATGGCTTTCACTCTTATTATACCGAGTATATATATATATATATTATATATATATATATATATATTCTTGTACTTAGTACGTGAAAGAAAGTTGAATATATAATAGTAAATAGATATAATATTTTTGTCAGTGTAATCAAACTTTTAATTGATGAAATTGTCGTGAATGGCCTTTGTTTACTAGACGGTCTTCTGTGCTGTGATAGTTTTTTTCAGTCATTAGCAGAGTTAGATATCTTAATCTAGTCGGCAGCCGGATCGCAAATCTCAGGCATTTTATAACTTTTTAATAAATTTAATATTTTCTGTGTGTTATTAAAATGAACACATTATGGTTAATGACTGATTGAGTTTCAACATAGAACTACGCACAGAAGTGCAGCAGTTCAAGTTACCACACTCCATGTACGAGACAAAAGTAGATGGAGAAAAGATTCAAAAGAACTATAATGAGCAGAAATGTGCGGGAGAAATTGTAACATCGAGGGTTCAATAGATATTGGGGATTACAAAGAGTGAAGACACTTGAGTCAATAGTCTCCACTCATTGATTCTTAGCATCTCAATGTCCCCAAACTGGCAGTCTATACCTCCCCTTGTGACTAGCTCAGACCAACTGTCAAAGACATCGTGAATAGATTCCAGGTTTCTGTTTGACTGCCCCTGGCTCTGTTCCAACAGCAATAGCTCTAAGTGTGTAACACGTTTCCTAGCCATCTCACAACTTCATCCATTGACTGAATCTCCTTATCCAACACTGTACATCTAATCTCAATATTGCTTATCATATTATACCACTTAAGCAGTGAAATAGAACGCAATCATGTGGCTGAAGACAGCTAGTTTTTCCACATCTTCCACTCTCAATGGCCTTATCAAGGATGCAGTGAACTGCTATGCACCACACGTCCTTTGACTGAACGCCGGATATCACGTCTACTCCAGAGATGATATAAGTTGGTAAATGCTATACAAGCCTTTTGTGTCCATGCTGAGATTTGTTAGCAGTCAGTCTATTTGGCCTGATCCAACATCCCAAGTAAATGAAGTCGTCAATACGCCTTTAGAGGCTGACGGTATTGACTTTCACGGATAGTGCGAAGCATACTAACGCAAGATCTAATACCCACAACTTCTGTAGTATTTGTTCCGCGTAGACCAAAGGCAAAGCAAAAGATCACAATTGATCGTCCAAATTACGGAGATATATTTCGGGACCAAACCGGAGTGCGAGAGGATTGCTTAGCTGGCTAGGGATCGTGCACGAACGTGACACGACGGCGTACCAAATGGCGAGGATGCTTGACCGGAAGCCTTCAGCTAAACAAGTTGACTTAAACAGTGAGGCTCAGCATCCAATGTTCAGTGATGAGTGCTGTGGTCAATAATTTTGGGGAATTATTTACCGCTACACACCCTATCACTTCACTCCCTATCTTTAAACTAGGAGTCGTGTTGTCCAGTTCTGTAGCAGCATTTCACTACATTTGACATGGACAAATCGTATGTCAAATATTCGAAGATTTCTACTCACGGTTTTCAGAAGGCTGCATTTTGTCACCATCTTCATCTAGAAAGACAATATCGTCCGCACACTCTAAGTCAGCAATACTGTACCGTAGTAAGAAGTTAATCTCTAAGTGATTACAGTCAATTCCACCAGTATATCTATCATGAGATTGGACAAGAATGGGTATCCCTGAAATACTCCACTGGTTGTCATCACTTCAGATCACAACCCTCCTTAGGTCCTCATGCGACTGCGTAAGTTCGAGTGAATTGCCCTGATTCCTGTGACATACTTTCGCGGCCCTTTTTCAAGGCAAATTATCGACTTGGCGAAAACCGAAAGGTCGGTAGAACAAGCAGCAAAGACAAGAATTCACGGTCGGTCGGTTTACGACATAGAAATTTGCACATATGTGCGGCAGTTCAAGTCGCCACACTCCATGTAGCACACAAAGGAAGAGAAGAAAGTAGGAGAAATGCATAATATAGACAGTAAATAGAGGTGTGAGACAAAGGTATAGTAATAATGAAGAACAAAACAGTTTAATTGGAAATCATAAGTCACAAGGAGTGGATGCATCTGCGCCATTGAGAAAGATTTTGAGCCATGTCACCAATTGTTCCCAACCATTGGTTTTACCGTCCCGAGGACCCCAACCAGGAAGTCTACACCTTCCTACGTGGCTTAGACTAACTGTTGTGGATCTCATTGACTGGTGCCATGTTTTCGTTTGACCGCCGCTAGCTCTTTTCCAGCCTGGCCCTATATCAGCTAACATTGCCCGTCGAGTAAGGCAATGACTAGGCATACGTAGCACATGTCCTAACCATCTCAGTCGATGTAATTTCACAGCCTCGTCGACTGATTTCCCCTCCTTACCTAGCACTCGACGCCTAACCTCAATATTGTTCACCTTATTATACCACTTCACGCAGGAGATAGAACGCAGACACCTATGATCGAAGACAGCAAATCTTTTCATGTCTTACGCTCTCAGTGGCTATGTCTCACAGCCATAGAGGAGGACGGAGCGGACTGCTGAGCAGTACACGCGCCCTTCGGTCGATAGTCGGATATCATGTCTACGCCAGACACGACGTAAACGGGCATATGCGAAACTTGCCCTCTGTATCCGTGCTCAGATTTCGTCAGAGATCAACCCTTTGGGGCTGATGGTACTACCGAAGTAAATGAAGCGGTCAACGTCCTCTACAACTTCACTTCCTATTTCTAATCTAGGGGTCGGTGTAGTCCAATCCTTCATCATTATCTTACATTTTACAGGGGCGAATCGCATGCGAAACATACGAAGATTGCAGCCCAAGGTGTTCATAAGACTCTCTATTTTGTCAGCGTCCTCGCCTAGAAGGACTATGTTGTCTGCATATTCTAAGTCAACGAGGTTATTCCCTGGTAGCAAGTCAACCCCTGAAGTGAGTTAGGGTTAAGACCATTAGTACGTCTATGATGAAGTTGAATAGAAATGGGGATAATGGGCATCCTTGACGGACGCCACTAGTCGTCACCACTTCAGATGACAACTCGCCGTAAGCCCTCGCCTGGCTGCATGAGTTCGAGTAGAGTGCCTTGATCAGTGCAATGTATTTTCTCGGGATTCCGTTCACAGCCAAGCATCGCCAGAGAACCTCTCGGTCAACAGAATCGAATGCCGCCTTTAGGTCAAGAAATATAATAATTGTCGGACGCCGGTAGGAATGCCTATGTTTTAGGATGTGTCGGAGGGTGAAGATAGGATCAATACACGCTCTTCCTGGCCTAAAACCTGCCTGGTTTTCTCGTGTTTGTGCCTCCCGAGCACCACTTAGTCTACGCAGTATTATTGAGCCTAGGATTTTAGATACTATATTAGTCAAGCTAATCCCTCTGTGATTATCACAAGAAGACTTGTCTCCCTTCTTGTATATCGGGATGATCAGTGACTTACACCAACCCGATGGGACTTCCTCTGATTCCCAGAAGCTGCCTAGAACCTCAGTTAATGCAGACAGTAAACTGTCTCCACCGTACTTAAATACCTCTGGAGTCATTCCATCAGGTCCCGCTGCTTTGCCTTGCTTCAGATTAGTGACAGCTTTAGTAACCTCAGTTAAGGACGGAGGACCTGTGTCTATATCTCATTCAGGGAGGTGTTGGATGTTCGGCAGGTTAAGTGATGCTGTAGGCCAATTAAACTGCTCCTCATAGTGTTCTTTCCAGTCGTCTATCTTCGGAGCTAATTATGGTGCCATTTTTCTCCGAGATTGTTTTGCTTATCATTTGCCTTTTGCCACCTATTTCCCTGATATGCCTGAATAGTTGTCTGGTGTTGCCAATCGCCGATGCCTTTTCCATCTCTTTCGCTTTTGTCGCCCACCACTGTTCACGGTCGTCGTGAAGACTAGCTGTCTTTGATCATAGGTGTCTGCGTTCTATCTCCTGCGTGAAGTGGTATAATAAGGTGAACAATATTGAGGTTAGGCGTCGAGTGCTAGGTAAGGAGGGGAAATCAGTCGACGAGGCTGTGAAATTACATCGACTGAGATGGTTAGGACATGTGCTACGTATGCCTAGTCATTGCCTTACTCGACGGGCAATGTTAGCTGATATAGGGCCAGGCTGGAAAAGAGCTAGCGGCGGTCAAACGAAAACATGGCACCAGTCAATGAGATCCACAACAGTTAGTCTAAGCCACGTAGGAAGGTGTAGACTTCCTGGTTGGGGTCCTCGGGACGGTAAAACCAATGGTTGGGAACAATTGGTGACATGGCTCAAAATCTTTCTCAATGGCGCAGATGCATCCACTCCTTGTGACTTATGATTTCCAATTAAACTGTTTTGTTCTTCATTATTACTATACCTTTGTCTCACACCTCTATTTACTGTCTATATTATGCATTTCTCCTACTTTCTTCTCTTCCTTTGTGTGCTACATGGAGTGTGGCGACTTGAACTGCCGCACATGTGCAAATTTCTATGTCGTAAAGCGACCGACCAATGACTTTTTGTTAGTCTTCGTTTAAGTGCCTTATGCTCCTCATCATAATCGGAGCTCGCTAGAATCAGTCTTCTTGCGTCAATCAGTTCGGATGAGGCGGTAGAGCTCCAATGGCTTTTATTAACTTTAGGTTTTAGCTTGTTAACAGCTGTGTCTACAGCTTACTGTATGTTGTGAAAACTAAATGCATTGTATTCGGTTCCAGGAGATGAAAATGCTTTTTTGTTAGTTCACTCTATTATCACGAACAGTAGTAATACCAGAACTTTTCAGCTGAAAACTCAGTTATTTGGATTTCTTCGATACCCTCATTTTATTTAGCTAATCCGTGGTAAAAATACACCCTTTTGGAAACTACTGTCAATTTGAACCAATGCCACTATTCTTTTCACTTTTCGATATTTCGTTGCCATTCATACTATCTTTCGTTCACTCCCACATCAGCAATGTCATTATTACCATCCTTTCATTTCCATTTTCGTGGCTTGCTTAATTCTATAAAAGCCATTGAATGAAGTTCGCTGATAATTATACAGTTTCAGTA